CGCTCTCTCTAATGCTGCAGACCTAGTATGAAGTATTCGCATCTCAACGCCACTTTCAATTACACTAATAGTAATGATGACACCAAAGAGTTTTCCTTTGCGAAGGTACAGGAAATACAACAGGGTGATTCTTGAAAAAAACATGAATGTAAAAAATAAACGAATGACATGATAGTGGTTCTCAAATAATTTTGAGTGTGACGCGAAATACCAATCCATTTGATAAATCTTTTTTAGTCGACCACGTTAACGCCGAAATCCTGGAAATTAAAGTTGAAAGAGCAGCATTCTCACATAAATAATCGCGATATATAATCGTTCATGTGCACAAATCTCACATGTAGCATCGGTTAGTTGTGCATGAAATGTAAAACTCTTATGTGTGTGCGTTTCAATTTCAATAAAATCAAATTCGTTTTTCCATGCACCATTACTTGTAATTTTAATATTAATTGCGTTCCGAGTTTGTAAAGTTTGGAAACCTTTTATATATACCATTACCACTATTTTGATTGGCTAAAGAAAGATAACACGTAACCGCTTTTCGGCAACATGGTATTCGTTTTATATCTGCTTTGAACAGAGAAAAAACATGTGCCCTCTCAGTCATCTGATCACAATCAAAACTCCGTATTTATTTTTTTCGCGATTTCGGCAATCGTTATTATTAAGGGTTTTCGTCGACTGAAAAATAAACATCGTTCTGTTAATAATATATTTCAGGCCATGTTCTTTATATCCTGTCATAATTAGCAAATCTTTATTAAGCAACCCATGATTATAAAATAGCTTTGCTTATCATTTGCTGCTGAATCTTGTGCTATCGCTTGTCAATTATAGCAGAGACGTAAGGAACATATTTAAAATTTTCCATGTTTATACAGAAATTAGCGACGTTATCAGCGCCAACTAACAGAAAATAACTTATCATAAAACACAATTAAAATTCAGTCGGTAATAAATGGCGCTAAGGTGATGCCATACAGAACAAAAAGATTTGGTCGCGAGAGTTACCTTAGATGACTGTAAAACGATGTTGTTTTATAAGCGGAAGGTAGAACAATCAAATTTAATAAAAAAAAACGGGGGTTACGACACCCGTAACACATCAAGTTCATTAGACATCTCTAAAGACTTCTAAGTTGGTTACCCGATTACACTATACTATCAATATTACACTTATTACACCTGTTTGAGTATTTCGGACAATTTCGAATTTGAAATAAACGAAAACTCAACATATCATAATTAATACACAAAAGTAAAATAAACATTCATCGAAAAAGTTATTATTTAAGAACAACAACATATTCGTATAATTCCGCCCAACCCCGATGTTCGCAAGCTTACAAATATTCTCTGCGTTAATATCATAACCTCGCCTATAGGACTGGGCAAAATATTCGTATCGTTTCAATTCCATACTTTGCGCCAAAAAAGGTACCAACAAAGCTTCCTAATTTTAGAAGAGTCAAAATAAATAGACTATTCGAAATAAATATCCCATATTTTCCACCTCCGTATATTGGCAGCATGAATTAGCCGTTTCATGTAGGAGCCGCACATACATTGATTGTCGAAAATTAAAAGTTAAATTGACGTTCCGAGAGCCCACACACGGTATAACATGTACAGGCTATAACCAGAAAAAAATGACAAGTCATAATCCTTTTAATGTGCTTTCAATTAGCTCGTTAGTGATCCCTCCCATCCTTGACCAAGTAATGTTTCGAAAATGTGAATCTTCCACTCAGCCATGCATGGCGGTGGAGTGTTGAAATCGTGAACAAGAGTATAACGTAAAATCGATCGTGAATTTCGATGTAACAACGCACACTGTCTCCGTCATGAATTGCGCCTATTAACATCGGAAATGATTAAATTCGTTATATTTTGAGTATTTTTGCACCAATAATTAGGGCGTGATCATCAAAATGGTGAATTTGCAAATTCCGTAAACAAAATTGTAACATTTTAGCTATAATTATCACCGGGCAGGGGCGCAGCCAGGATTTTTCAACGGGAGATTAGGGGGAAGTTAAAACATTACACCAAAACTGCAATTCGCGACGACGTAATGCGTTTATAACTAAAATGTAAGGTCGTTCACGGCGAAATTTCGCAGTTACGTGTAGCCCGCCTCTCTTTGCCGAACGGTCCGAAGTCCTATTTTAAAACATCGACCATTTATCCGTAGTCAGCGGGCATCCACATCTAGAAATGAAACATTAAAAATCGCGAAAATTAAATTTGGAGAGATCTATAACTCGCAGATGTCAGTAGTGTCATCATGGTTTATATGTACAAAAACACGCTCGCATGTAGCGACGATCAAAATCATGAAAATGTGAAACTATTACTTGAAAATTATTGTTAATGAAGTTAAATTTTTATTGCCATACAATGATTATTTCATAATTTTGTCATAATCGAAGGCTGCAGTAAATTTTTTGTCGCCGCGATCGTGTTGTTAAACTATATTAAAGCATGTTTTTATTCACTAGCAAATATTAATTCTCACGTAACGGCGGGCATCGTAGTTTGGTTTTTATATTTCGGATAGAATTGTGAATTCACATCGGCGAAGATTTTAAAGACAACTATTAATGAGCGCATTCACAACGAAAATTGATTTTGTTCTGATTTTTATCTTCTGTGTAGGATTTGTATCAGTTCGTAAATTACGGTCCCGAGTTTGAGCGAACAATAATATTATTACTGACCCCGGGATGCGATATTTGTGAAGCAGATAGTTGACATTTCTATGCTTTTTATTTTAGATCGTGTCGGTGTTACTTTCGTATTAAATAATAATTGAAAAACTCCGCAAATTGGTTATCTCTGAGTACTCAGTGTTAAGTATTTACGTAACTCAGCTTTGGGTTAAAACACTGATAGTAACTAAACACGTGAATAAATCGGCAATAATGGCATTTCGACATGGTCAAAATAATATTTCTCACCAATATCCCATGAAAGTTCCATAAAATACATTATTTACTTGTCTTACTTATCGACGTTTCTAAATTTACAAAAACGATGTTGACACGCTTTATACAAAATCGTTTCAAATTTATTGTTTCTACATGTTAGCGATAGCCGTCTGGTTAATTCTTACCCGTAACTCGTTGTAAAGTAATGTTAATAAATTGTGTTTTGCTTTCCAATGCGCGGTTAACTGCGGTTAAATTCGTTTCATGGTGAGGAAGGAAAATACGTTTTCCGGAATTGCAATCAACAATTACACATTTTTTATTTATCATTATCAGCGCCGAATAAAAAAGATAACATATCGTGAAGACGAAAAAAGTCGTTGAAACTTAAGTTGAATTAGTTGCAATTAGCGCCTGATTAGGCACCAGAGCACTGGAGCCCAATGTTTTTAGCATTAGTCGCCTATGTAAAATATCCTTAAAGAAGTGCTGTTTATTAAAGTCATCTCGTCTTATGGCCACGCAGAAATGCCTTCATTGCCGAATTATTTAATCACAATTTTAAATCAACATTCAGGATTGGCACAATCTCAGATTTGCGAGGTTTATCTGTAAATTAATACAGACACCATAAAAAAAATTATAAAAGTTAATTATCGTCTTAAATATCTGCATTCCGGCATCGATAATAATAATACCATTCGCTTAAAATTGGGACAGTAAATTTGCAAACGTTGATAGGTAATATCAAGTCAACGCAAATGTTTATTTTGGTTTTGAAATTTGTCGTTAATGCCCTTAACAGCTGTTGCTGATGTGAACGCACGCGTAAGCCTGGATTGCCAAACCCAGGATATAGTCGCCAAAACGATTGCGGTGACAAAAACAATTAGCTATTATAACGAAATTAACCAGTAGTAAAGGCTTACTTGCTAATTTTTCGACCGACGTTCTAGACTCCTGCTGTGCATAAAAAATATTCCTTATTCGTTAAAAATATTCAATTCGAAAAAATATTCGATTTTGCCCACCCCTACTCGCATATTAATGAGGAAATAGTTTAGATTGATTTTTGACCCTGGTCTGAGTTTGATTTATCGTGAATGACTAGACTAGCTAATACTGAATATCGCAAAATTCCGCGAAACGCCATTTGCTTTTATCATTCGTGGTTACAATAAAATGGCTGTTAAATGTTAATACGACGACGTATGTATTTTGTCAATTTGGCGATTTTGCAAATCTGTGTGATGTTGCTAAAAGTTTTTTCTAATTTAACAAACAATGGCCCAAGTTTACATTCCATTACTAAACAATGTCGTGTCGAGTATCAGAAATTTCTGAATGGCTCCAGTAAATTCACTAAGAAGATAACACAGACCTGTCAAACCAGTACTAGAAAATCGTGTACTTTGGTCACAATTCATCGATGTCATTGACAGTCACATGACCACTCTCGTTTAGAGAAACGCACTGCCTTGCATTCGGACATCTGGTTTCAAAGACGCCGCCGAGCGTTTTCGCGGTGGAAACGGAATCAGTGTGCTTGTATAATAATCATATTATAAACAAGAATTTTGCCATTAATGCAAAAGCTTTATCTTCCGTGTCTTCACCACATAGGTTAGAATTCCGGTAAATATCGTTATGATATGCAGAATTGAGTTACAAAAGTACTAGTATGTTACTTATTTGTCAACTTAATACGCACACAAAAATATTTGTCAACTTTGAATTTTTATTTCATTCAAAATCGAAAAAAAGTGCTATTTCTCTTCAAAATCGGAAAAAAGTGCTATTTCGCAGTCCCTAAAAAAAGTTGCGAAAGTGCTTCGCAATTTTCGCAAAAAAGTGCGCTAATAGTGAACACTGTACTAAACACTAATCTGAATTCATAAAATAGGCTATTACTTACTAGGCAACGAGCAAACTACACTGCAAAATCAGTCAGCCATATGTCGAACATCTGACATATAATAAAGTGTTTTTGGCAAGCGTTGATAACCAAAACTAATCCTTGGAAATTTCAAGGCAGTGCTGTTGTCAAATTTACAAATGGGAACATGGTTTTATGGACACTGTCCATCATGATATTGTAACATGCCAGCCTTGTCTGGCCTTAGTAGAGAAAAAAAAAATAGGGAAAAACAAAAAGGTAAAGCAAATGACAAATCTATTTTTTTGCAGTGAACTTAAGAAGACAATTTAATATCTGGGCCTATAACCCATATGATTCATATGACCTTGCGGTGGTTGATGCATAGGTTGGTTCAACATCATCGGGGGCATTGATGGTGCTCCTTGGCCCCCTAATCTTGGAATGGGGTGACCTGTTGGGTGCATACCCAGAGGCACACCTGGGTCTCTTCTTTGACCCATTAAATGGGGATCTGGGGGATAACCAGATGGTGGGTACTGATGTGGTGGCAGTTTAATAATATCTGGTGGGAGGTAGTCCATTCCACCTTGTGATTGGCCCATATCGGGGTGGCGGCGAGGGGGCGTCGGTCGACCTGATGTCACATTGGTTGGTATAGGTCGAGGTCCTCCCCCTATTACAGGAATTCCTTGTGGCTTTTCTCCACCCTGAAGCATGTCTTCGTTTCTTGGTGGGTGATCTCGTCTATCCCATTGCATCATGTGACCAGGCGACCGATTTCGTCTAAAAAGAATTTTTTTTTTTTTCATTCCTGTAAACTTTTGAATCTGATTAATCAGTCTCAATAATGAAAGAAACAAAGCGCCGCCTATGTAATATGCACTTATACCATGGCTATCTGTAGCAAATATTTAAACTGTCAAAATTTTCGATGACGGTATAAAGTAGTTAACACAGAATTGATAGCTACCTCATTTCCATTTCCATGTGAGATGACTGACGAGGTGGCGATCGTTGTGGACGAGATGCATTATCTCTGAAATACAAAATAAAGAATGTAAATTAGTTGAAGCCTACACTACACATATCCATTTACATTTTACGCTAACAGTGGTAGTCCCGAAGTATGTGTACCTGGTTAGGGTTAGGCCCCTGACCATAGGTTTTGTCCTTTTAAACAACTTGATGCAAAATAGGCGAACAAAATTAGTAAGTGACCTCCATATTGGTACATATACTTCTAGAGTGAATTTTAGCAAAAAGAATATGCTCCAGAAATTGCCTCATATTTGCAGACTTTTTAATCAAGAATCAGACAACATTGATAATTGGTAATCATTGGCAATAATAACTAAGCAACTATAGATTTGTTTCAATTTCTCTGGATAAACTACACACCTAGCATCATGTCCAGTCTCCCTTCTCTTCTTTGCCAGCATTCGATCAAAATCCATGTTGGTATCTGACCCCATCCTGAGCTATCACTCCCACTCATGCAATAAATCTGTTAATAAAGGAATAAAAGAATTAAAATATACAGGGTACATAAAGTCCCTTACAATTTAAATTTGGCTATGAAGTCTGTTCTCAATATATCTTAATCAGGTTTGTTGTTTTTTTTAATCAATAATTGTGTAAGTATTCCTATTTCATTTAATACACCTGCGAGGACCAAAACAATATATGGACTCAACATAAAAAATTGAAGACTTTATGAACACCCTATATGAATGGATAAATATGCCAGCAAGTAATTACTGCTCATTGATTTAATCAACAACGATTCCAAAAGCAAGCTTTGCTGCCAGCATGACTTAAAAGCCAAAACTCCTCATTTGATCAACGTACCAGTTTTTCAATTACCCATTTTAAAGACTTTTCGCTCTGGACAAGACTGATGGATAAGAAGCTACTTCTTTTAAACCCAATTTATTACACCCGGGGTGAGGTGATGCTGTTTTGATCACGATACAATGTACGAATATTTTTATCTAATGTGATAGGAACCAATGCTTGTGAAATAGAATGCTATACAGAAAGATTTTCGTCTTCGAATTTTGTCACAGCAAGTCCAGGATCCTTCTAAATTTTTCGCTACACTAGCAATTATTAGATTATCGCAGCTTTCTATTACGACATGCATTCAGAGTAGGCAAGAGCTCAGCATTAAAAATCTGTTGTTTTATTATATGAGAATCATCATAATGCATGCTGTTCATATCACACACAGACTTATGGAGAGAACTGAGGAGCAAGAGAAGCATCTCAATCAATATTATATCGATTAGTGATTTTGCTTTCACGAATTGAAGACTTGGATGAGATCAAAGGTTCAGATTATAGGTGGTCAAATTGTACTATTGATTTGGTTTACAGAAGAAGGATAAGTAGTTAGTCTCGCAGACAATAGCCAAGTTAGAATTGTTGTGAAACTTGTGTATCCGAAAATGAATCCCATCTACTCCCGACTCATCAACTAAGCATAGAAAAAATTGTACCTCACAAAACAAACAGGAAGATATAATATAATATGAAATGATAAATAATTAACAAATAAAACTTATATCATATCTTGTTGTGATTAATAGGAAATGATAAAAAAAATTTAAATTCGAAAGAGAAAATAAAAGCCTACCATTCCATCATCCTCTGGTTTATCCCAATCATGGTAATTTTTTCTTGGTAACTGACGACGTGAACGTTTCCTGCCACGAGACATGTGACCATGCTGAAAATAATTTGATAATAACTTCAGTTAATTCAGCATCATACGCATTCGCATCAGAAAAATGATACACAAGCGTTTGCCTCATATTTGCAGAACATTGTCAACAACATATATCTGAATTAAATCTTTTCAATAATCATCGGCAAGAATGGGAATAATATTGGTTTAATGAATGATATTCACAGAGCGATACATCATAACACCAAAATATTTATCAAAATCTATAAAACTCTTCGCAATTCTAACTTAAATGAGGCGAATTAGTTTGAACAGTTTATTGCATCGAAATTATACTTGGTCAGAATACGGAGCTAGCAAAGCTTACTAAAACATTTTCTCATTTTCATCAATTTTCACTATAAACCCTCATGCTTATTATCTTACTTCAACCATTCAATTGGTCTTTATCCATTAATCCTAAGCATTTGCATAAGAGCGCTTGGCGTGTGTACGCATATACGCAGCTTATTTGCTTGAAGCAATTTTAAACCCCAGCTCTAAACAAGCCTCTACAGCGACATATACATACTGAAGATGCTACAACAAACTACAAAGGACTGGCAACATTTCGTGTTGCTGGGAATGACCTTTGATGCAAACAAACTTACGTCTACTACTTTATAATAGATGAGAAAGTCGTATAATAAATAAGTAAAATACTAACATGTCGTTTTCTTCCTTCTTGTATTGGTCTATCATGAGATGCAGGAGAAGGTCTTGAACGTCGTTGCTCTTCATCAATCATACGCATCATCATCATGACATCTTCGTTGTTATGAGGATCTGGTGTACAGAATGAAGAAATGAGGAATAAAAACAATAACTTTGTACTACGTTTTTACAAAAAAGTAGGATAAAAACCTAAATGTGAACTAGGTTGAAATGAAGAAAACAGAACAGACATATTGCCTCATATTTGCAGAACATTGTCAACAATATAATTTAGAATAGATTATTTAAGTGTATAATCACTGGCAATTCATCTTAGTTACATATAATAAAAGAATTCTTTCTATTAAAATTTAGATTAAATGAATCCTAAAATTACGAGATATGATTATGCATCACAATGTCAGGAATATTTCTTTTTTTGTAAAACAAGCTCTCTGTGCTTGCAGTCATAGATAATGAAAGCTATTTTTCACAAGCTTTTCAGTTTGGCGCTGCCCAACTAATTTATTACACACACTATCAGGGGGGGAGAATGGACTTTGAACCAATGACATTTAAATGACACCACACAATATTTTACATACCGTATATGCTCCTTTACCACCCGATCTTGATTATTAAGGGCCCGTTTGAATAGCCGCCCGTGTGAAATGAACATAAAAATAAATAAGGGCCGGTGCTCGAATACCTGCCCGATGTAAAAGCTGATTTTTCAGTGGTAGAGAACAATAGGAAATAAGAAGCGTTTTTGTCACAACTCTGTTGAATTTTAAGCGCCGGTAGATAACACTCACGCCTTAGGCGTACAAGTCGTAACAGATAGCATTAATTACGCAACACCATGGTTCTCAAACTGGGCGTCGAGAATATTGATAGGGCGTCTCAAAACTTTTCTTTTTTTGCGGATTTGTACCTGCAGTGCGTGGAAAAAGTCAAAATTTTCATTATTCTCGTTTAAATCATACTCGAGAACTTGATATAACAATATATCAATTATTGTATTGGTCGAAAATAACAAGCGCCTGTGTTTGAATAAGGGCCGGTTTGAAAAGGGCCAGGTTAGGGAGTTGGATGAAAAAATATGGGCCCGGGCCACAAAACGAGCAAATATGATACATTGAAAGAGCATCTAATATGCACAATTTTCATTTTGCAGCCTATTCCAGTGGCATGGCCAAAAAGTTATGGCAAATAAAACACAACAGTAAATAGAGTTAGTTATTCGGGCGATCCTAAAACAGCCCAAAACAGCTAATAACTAGCAACATTGTGCACCAATATTGCAAATCCCAACAATTCAAATGCATGAGTGGAAATTGCACTCATACTTCATTGCACGATTTAACCATTTCTTTCTTTAGGTTGTTTGGTGTGTCCAATAATTGATATATTGAGAACTGACTTCATAACAAAATTATGATTGCAAAGGGCCTTTATAGACACCCTGTATATCACTTAAATTACTAACTCGTTTGGTCTTGTTCTATGTAATTAATACCTCATCTCAATTGATTGAAAATATTGTAATGTAATTGAGATATACCTCTACCATCCCCTTGTCTCCTTCGAATTGTAGCAATATTATCAAGAAGTTCCTGATCTACTTTGGGTGGACCTTTTTCCCGCCCTTCTTCCTTGTCATTATATCTCGCCTCCATTTTCTTTTGCCACAATTCAAACTCTTGTGGGTCAGTGGGAATAACTAAAGGCAAAGGTGAGGGGGTTCGTTTTCTATGTGGGGGAGGGTTATGGTCCCCACTGGGTCCCATCGAGGGTTTATGCTGCTGGGGGTTGTTCATCATGTGTTGGGGGTCACCGGATCCTCTATGATCTCGTGGGTGATGTGGAGGGTAACCCGGTCTTTCACGCCCTTGTGTCATGAATTGTGGGTTTTCCCTTGGGAATGGTGGACCCCGTTCTTGCATTCCTGGGTTGTACGGAGGTGCCCCAGAATGAGGTGGATAGTCCATAACAGGGGGCCGTTGTTCATTGGAAGCCGCGACTCCTGCAACATATAAAAATGTTTTTAACGCATATTGTAATGTTTATTTTCATCAGGATGAAAACCTAAAAGTGAAATTAGGTTAAAATAGTTATGAAACAAACAGAACAGACAAATTGCCTCATATTTGCAGAACGTTGTCAACAATATAATTTGGATTTTTTAACTAAATAATCATCGGCAATTCGTCGCAGATACTTGTAATACAAGAATTCTTTCTATCAAAATATAGATTGAACAAATCCCCGAATAACAAGATGGTTTTTATAAATTTCAATAAAAAAAAATCTGCTTTTTTTTTGTAAGCTTGTTGGACTTAAGTCAATCAAGTTAATCAAAATTTATATTATTAATGTACATTGAACAGAATCCCACGGAAACAAGAGTTTATTTTTATGCTTTCCAATGATAAGAATATTTCTTTTTTCGGAAGCTTGTGGGACTAAATTCATTTCAAGTTGATCAAAATTTATATTATTGTTTTTGACTGGAATTGCAGTGTACTTAGTACTAGTGTAATGTACTTGAGGAATTGTAAAATACAAAATCATTCGACTAAAACTAAACAAGACTCTCACCTGGAAAGTTCGGTTGATTGGGATCGAATGATGGTCTTGGCATTCCACCTACTGCTCCCTGCATCGGGGGGAAGAAACCCATCGGAGGAACAGGTGGAGGTGGCAGGTTTTGAGTTGGGGCATGATGCTGCGGTGTTTTATTCATTCTGTGAAAATACAGACGAAAGTATATTAATATTCAGAATTTGGATTATAGCAGATCGTTTTTGCATAAAATACCTTCGATGAAAAATGCATTCAGATATGATAAAACATCAAAATAATCAGATGTCCCTATCTTACAGTCATCATAATGCATATATAAATTAATTGGAAAGGTCAGGTTCAAATTCCATGTGTTCCACCTCACGCAGGGTGTAATAAATTGGTTAGGCCGAATAGGAAAGATTTTGCCTGGACCATGGATGCTACCATTTCTTCATCTTTATCTCAAAGACAGGTACATGTAAGAACAGTTTCTGCTACATATCAGAAGGTAGTTCCAAAATCAATTCGGTAGAAATAGAATGTTAATGGATTTGTTGTCTCAAATAACTTTTATACTTTTTGAGTAACTTATCTATCTAATTATTTAGTAAGGCTATTCGCTACCTTCGATATCATTTTTAGTGTTCATGAAAACATTTCTATAATTATTATATTTTGTCTTATTATAATCGAAGACAGCCCATTGCGGCGCGGCAATTAATTACTGCCAACATGAAAGGATTTAAATCAGCGAAATACTCACTCTTCATCACTGCTATCTTCCTTTTTCTTCCGATGCCTCCTTTTCTCTTTTTTATGTTTCTTTCTCTTCTTTGTTTCTTTATCATCTTGCACAGCAACTGCGGATGTTCCTTCATCACCACTGGCAATTTCACCGTCCTCCACATCTTTGAGATGCTGAAGTTGAGCCTAAATCAGGATTTTACAATTAGGCCTTTATTCCAGATGCATACCAAACTCGATAGCCACTATTTCTTAGGGCTTTCGGCCGAAAGCTGTTGTTATAGTATTTATGGGATTTAGTCTATCGAAAAGAAGTACAAGTGATGCTTAATCTTGCTTTTGTTTGCAACAAGAGTTTTATTTGCATCGCAAACGAGAGAGTGTCAGGGGATCATTTTGTTAGTAAACATGGCGCGTGGATGAACAGCTGAAGAGGTAGCGAATTTGTTTTTGTTGTATCAGAAGGTGAATTTAGATTAGGACAATCCTTCTGAAGACTCGTGCTATGACGATACAGGATTTTGACATATTTCAGTCTATTCAGTATGCTACTTTACACTTTGGAATTCATAAATCTTTGAATGTTGGACAACTTTCAAACCAGAACCTTCAGACATGCATCTGACTCCTCATTCAGATCCACCTTCAGCACTTGTAGTAAGCGGAAGGGAACGTGGTAGACCTTGTGGTAGCAGGAGAGCACAAACGACCTAATCTAGCTCATACTTTTCGGAAGAGGTTGTGAGCAATATTGGGAAATGGGACGAACAGATATGCCCAAGTAGATCTCCACACCATGACATTGGAAACAAAAACGCACTTAGCAAAATGAAGACATGATACAATTGCTGAAATGTACATACCTACTTCTGGGGATTATTTTGAACATGGGTTTGGTCACACAAACAGGCATTCAGAAATATTGAAAAATAAAAGTCCAGGATTGAAAAATACAACCGTAAGATGGACTTTTACTCTCTAGTTATGCCTCTGAATCATGCTTCATGTGTGAGATGTTGACGAAAATAAAGTGAGACAAAATGAAGCCAATTATACAACAAATGGTGATGTCTTTTCAAAAGTATTTTTCTCCTTTCAGAGAGCTCTCATCAAAAGAATCATTAACGGGGAAGTATTTAGCTAAGGCAGCATGTAGCTAAGAAGCCAACAAAATGGGGATTACTATACTGATTCAGCTACAGGATACATGCTGAATATATCACTGTATCATGGGCGAGAGGACAAGGAAATGATAGCTCAATTGACCAAAACTTTAACAACTGTCGTGATTTTGCCCCAGCCATATTTGGATGAAGGGTACCACATGTTTTGTTTGTGACAGATTTTATACATCTTAATAACCACTTGCGAAATACCTATATATTATTAAGAAGAACGTATATTACAGAAACACTAAATCCCAACAGGAGAGGTGTTCCACCATCAAAAAAAGCGAAGCAAAAAGACTTCAAATCAATATTCAAAACGGGACAGATGAAGGAACCATCACAGTCCTTTGAACATTTTACAGTTTACACCACCAATTTGCAAGAAAGTTCAAGGTTGAGACAATGTGATCGATGCACCTGTTTTGATCGAATCATACAAGTACATGGGTCGTGTTGATCTTGCAGATCCGATGTTTCCTACTATAAATTCACTCGCAAATTGGTCAAATGGTGGAAAAAGCTTGTTTTTCTGGATACTAGAAACTGCAGTAAACAATGCTATCATTTTATCAAAAATGTGAAACTCAACTGATGCAAGAAAGAAACCTCAGATTCAGGGATGAGTTGGTTTCGCATTAACACCCATAAAGGAAGGCATGCTCCCGAGAAAACAAATCAGGCCATCAACCTCTGTACAAGGATCAATAGCAAGACCTTTCACATAAAAAAAAGGTATCTGGCCGTCGCGAAGAATGTGAATACTGCACCAATCGTATAGAAGAAAAACAAAATGACTCGTTCTTCTACTGTGATACATGCAAATCTATTTTTCATCAGTTTGAAGATTCAACTTCAAAGAAAAAAAAGCATTTTCTATCCAATTTGTGACTCTGAACATCACTTCTGAAAAAACATCTTTATTTTAATCGCTAGGAATCTCATCATTCTCGCTGTGGAAAATGACGAAGAAAGAATTTCCGTTCATACAGAGTGCGTTTTACGGCCCCCCATGTCATTTTCTGTAACCAAATAGACAAGTCATGGAGTATACTTCACCAATACTGATCTCGCATGATTAATTGTACTACTTTAATAATTGGCCTTTACGTACTACCAAAAAGGTGAATACAATACAAACTCTTTATCGCATATTCTGCTTCATAAGAATATTTACATTTTAGCAAACGCTATCAAAAACACAATTTACATTTTATGCATTCAGTTGAGATAAAACATCACAGTTATCAGATGTCCCTATCTTATATTCATCATTATGCATTGTGTACTTCTGATTAGCTTATGATTACATTATTCTGAATATTCACTAACTTATCCAATTCACACTCTCACGCAGAGTGTACTATATAATTACATATGTGCAATAAATGTGGCAAAGGATTTCCCACTGAGAAGAAAGTCGGTACCAAGAAAGAGTTTGTCAAAACGCTAATTATGGGGATCTCGTCAGGTTAACAGTCCAGATTAGATATGCATTTAACGAGGTGTTTGAAACATGGCCTTGGATCACAAAATAAGTATTGGATTTTGTATGTTTCTGCACATAAAGGAAAGTGATAAGCTGACTTTTTCATATGCTGAACCAAAGCCTATCGTCCAGTATGAAAACATTAAATTGTTGGATTATAGACTTGGAGAAAGTGGATGAAGTTTCAAACATATCATATTTGGAGTTTAAGAGACTGCATATTAAAAAGGCTTAAAAACTTAGCTCAGTGCAGTGATGCAGCATCACATATGATATTCCATACATGTACCATTAGCAGACTCAGTCCATTTAATAAAATGTACTATAAAAAACTAATCTTCTTTTTGAAAATTCCACACAGAAAATCAAACCTACCAATATAGCTGCTTTCTCTGCTTCAGGATCTAGTGTTTTATCATCGGCTTCATCTTCTGAACTTGAATATTTTTTCTTCTTATGTTTCCTATGTTTTTTCTGCTTCTTTTTCTTTCTTAACTGAACAAAAACAAAACATCAAATTTTAATTTTTCTATAAACTAGAAGGTACTAGGTTGGCAACTATTTTTAAATTCTACACTTTAATAAAAATCATGTTGTTTGCTGCCATAGTTTATAAAGTACTCGGCCCCTCCAAATAGGATGAAAAAGATAAAAACAAGAGTTTAGAATTGAAATTCGTCATTCAGACAAGATAAAACATCACATATATCAGATGTCCCTATCTTATAATCATCACAATGAACGATTCTACAAAGTAATTAAAACCTTTCGGAATACTTTGTTTTGAAATCCACATGTAATATTTCACATAAACTGTTATTGCACAAGTTATTAATATGATTTAGATCAGCGGTTCTCATACGTCCACGATCCCTTCCAAAAAAATCCAATGCTTGCTGTGTCTCATTGGTTTTCTATAAAAATATTTGGTTTTGCTTTTGAAGAGTTTCATCAGTAATTTTATGCGCCATGTTTGAAAATGATGTTCATCAGTTATTTTACGCACAATGCTGGAATGCATCATACTCAAAAGAATTATCACAAAGTCAGCAATTATTATATTAGATTTATATTAGTTTATTGTAAGTGTCACGGACAACTAGTAAGGCTCTTGGGGCCACTGGAGAACCTCTCCTGGTTGTTTGGTGGCCCAGACCACCTGTCTTTTAATAAATGGAGTAAGTTTTAGGTTAATGTTTCCTAATTACGCTTATTTAAAAATCATTCTGTCGCAACATACCTTACTAGGGCTGTCATCTTCCTGTTGTGCAGTATTAGTACTGGGAGGAACGGTTACAACATGTCCTTCCTCACCAGGTGGTGCTAGATCATCAACAGCTGATGGTGGACGCATGATTTGAGGTTGGGCAGCCATGTCTACAACCTCTCCTGGAGGGGGAGGCTGTTCCTGAACTAAAAATAAATATAAAAAACTGATTACAAATAAAAAACTTAATATGAAGATAGATGAGCTTGTGAAGTATGATACATTCATGATGATTTGCTGAATATATAAAGAATAAGTAAAATTGGTAAATTCACCCGGCGCACCGAAAGTGTGTTTACCAATATGGAGGCTCCATAAGTGTGTGTACCAATATGAAGGTGACTAATTTTGTTCGCCTACTTCACACCAAGTTGTGTAAAGGGACTGATGCCTATTGGGTATATTCACTCGACTAACACAGACAGTCCCCGAACTCGTAATAGAACTAAAATAACAAAAATCGAAGTAAAATCATGGCCTAACCCTAACCTGGTACACACACTGCTGGGGTACCATTAATTTAAATGCCTGGAATTCTATTTGCGAGATGCACGAAGGGTGTAAGAAACTGGGTAGGCAAAACCGAATCAAAAGGCTTTCAAAATCTCATATTTATAAACGCAGTAGCTTCTTACACATCGGTAGATATCAGTATTTCCCGTATAGCCTTGTTCGAAAAAAAGGCATGAGCGAATAAGAGCTATAAAAAGAAAATATAACTATGCAAGGATAATCCATACCTTGTCTTTGCTGATTGAAACCATCTTTTGGTTGTTCTTCCATACCAGGAGGAGGATATTGATGCAGAGGTTGATTTGTTGAAGGAATCTGTCTTCCTTGACCAGGAGGTCCTTGCAATAGTTGCTGCTGGAAAAAAATCATTATTGTGAATGTTCAAAATTCGTGTTGCCTGAACGGCACTACAGAAGTGTGTGCACCAATTTGGAGGTAACTAATTTTGTTTGCCTACATTACATCAAGTTGCATAAAGGGACAGAAGCATATGGGCAGTGGGTATATTCACTTGGCTAACACAGACAATCTCCCAACTCTCAACATAACTAAAATAAGGAAAATCGAAATAAAATATGGCCTAACCCTAACACTGTACACGAACTACAGGAGTACCGCGTGAACTGGCTTCAACAAAGACTTGTATGATGGTTTTTCTATGTTACTCAAGACATGAAATTGTTCATGAATGTAAGGCATTAGAATATTTTATCTTCTGATGTTAACGCGCCACTCAGTTCCTTGAAGTTCTCAAAACTTTCGTAATAACTAGAAAATCTTATTTATATGAATTGTTCAACCAGTGATTCATAAATAGCTACGATGAAAATGCATTCAGATATGATAAAACATCAAAATAATCAGATGTCCCTATCTTACAGTCATCATAATGCATATATAAATTAATTGGAGCTTCACGCCATGCAACACATTTTATTGCCTACTACCTGAATGCCCAGAATCGAATAAATTGCTATTCCTGATACACTCATAAAAAATATTTTCATAATATATATTTTGAAGAAATCATTAAACTTAGTAGATATTTGGTATTGCGGAATAGTTGAGATAACATTGTCTTGACATATTTTTTCATTCACATACATGAGCTAATTACTAGACCACCGGTTCACAACCAGTAGGCTATGATTTCCTTTGTGGCCACAGAAACATATCCAGATGGGCGAGAAACCTATTAAAATTGCCGAAGTTATTGACAAATTAGTTAAACTTTGGCTGAAAAGAATGATGCTGCTGCTTTTGGCTTTGGGTAGTAATTCTCATAATAAATATTTAAAGTGTCTGTCTTTACGGAAATGTTTTTTCTGTAGTTCCCCCCTGTCTTGAGGAAGTTGATGAGCAAAATAATTTTTTGTGCAACAAATATGGGCCACAACAGAAAAAAGGTTGCGAACCACTGTACTAGACACAAATCTAGTATAACTTTCTTATGGAAAAAGTCAAAATACAAAATTTAGCAAAAGAAATACTGCATTACTGAAACTCACCTGTTTTGGATGGTGAGATTGTAGTACAGACTGAATTTGCTGTTGTTGTTCATTTTGTTGTTGTTGTTGCAAACCAACTCCCGCTGGCTGTTGCTGATCCGGTTGTGATGGCTGTGGTTGGTCTCTTTGCCAATGGAATCTATCTTGAGGTGTCGGTCCAGCTGAATAGTGATTAACGTGATGAATTTCACATTGAAAATTGATTTGCCAGAGTTAGTGGGAGTGAGTCAAATCGAATATGTATTGGATCTGATAATTCAAATATTAATACAGTATATTTTTTAAAAAATCTGCAAAGTCAACATCCAATGAATTCTGAGTGAGTTAAAAGACTGATGGAATTGAAAATAATGGCATTTCTGCCAGATCAAAGGGACATTTCTCTTGAAATATCGTAATCTATTATCTGGTTAGATATTTTTCTAAATTTATGGAACAGCCCATGAGAAAAACGTCAAATTTGAGTACTATAGGGCACTTTATGCAAATTCAGAAATATAAACGTCATGCTAGACATCATAATCCGATGACAATGGCTACTGAAATTCATCACTTCTGTCTATTAGCGCAAGTGATAGACAGATTCTCTCAGGATTGAAGTGTTCGATATAGCAACGGCAAGATCTGTGTCCAAGCAAAGTAGTGCAGGTCATGTGGTATTATACGATAGTGATATGCCATTAGAATATTTTAATATTTAATAAGTTTTTCAGACATTTTGCCCAGCCGTAGTGGACTCCCAAGACTTCCGTTTAGTTGTTGATCAGTGGTACTCAGAATATGAAATCATGGATCCCTTATTTTTCTCCCCCTTTTTATAGTTATTAAATTCAGACTCCTATTTTTTTAACAGAAATCACTTACGTCTTCTTTCATGATTATAATCATATGTCTGGTGTTCAACATCTCGAAATTGCTGGTTGGGTTGACTTGGCGGTGGCTGACCATATTCTCGGGTTGGTCGGATATGTCTATCCATGAGTGAAGGTATCGGTCCACCTTTCATGAGACCTGGCTGAGGTCTGGTAGGTCGCGGGCCACCTGGACCACCTCTGAATGGCATAGTTGGGTCCGGTTGCTGCATCCCCTGTCCGTGTGGAAGCCTACCATGGGGTGGTATGCCCTGACCTCCTGCTCTAGGAGCCATCACACCTTGTCGGAATGATTCTGTGAGCATGGTTGAGTCCTGAATGAAAATTGACATGATTAAAATAATAACACACTTTTTTGGGATGAATAAATAAATTTTTTGAGTTATGATTCTTGTAAAGCTATCACTATGCTTGGAATTCAAATTTATAGTATTAAAAAGTTATAAATATGAAAAAAACAATTAAAGGTTAGGGGCCGGAGCCAGTAACATTTCTGTTTTCTCCGGCTGCATCTATCCTCCCGATCTAAACACCACGCCCACCAACATCAATATTCTATAAATTGGGCAGATAAAGCTAAATTAGAAAGATTCCCGTTATTCCAACATTAGTATCTTATACTTTTTCAATGTCTGTTTGTACGTAGCTCTGATCAGAGTGAGGTGCAAAACCAACTCCTAAAATATTCCCGAAAGTACCTGCATTGGTGCTTCCTGAAGTGCAGACTGTTGTGAAGGAGCATGAGTGAAAGTTGAATCTCGTCCTTGATATTCTGAACCCATTAGTGGTGGAATGCTACTTGATGCACCCTGGAGAATATCAGAAATTAAATTTAAAGTAACCCAGTAAGCTAGCAACTAATCTAGAAACTGGAAAATTTTTACCCTGCAAATCTAAACATAATGCCTTTCAGAAATGTAATATTTGAATGTATTGAAAGTAGTTAATAGTGAATCCCTGCTGCTTGGAGCAGATTTGTTTTAAAATGAAAAAACTAAAAATGAAAAAAATTGACCAAAATAGATAAAGAATTGATAGAATTCAGAATGAAAAAAGTTCTGACGAGCTGATTGTTCTTCTGTATAAACTTCACTCAATGAATCTTCATTCATAGCCTTATTCAGGGCTTGGCAAAAATCAGACATTGCATTATTGGGTGAGATGGTGGTAATGGGTTTTGAACTTTGAACTCTAGTACGCATTAAGACGTCAAAACATACTCACTACCTGAGAAGCAGAAACCTGTCTTTGCATCATAGAATGAGGTGTCTGCTGTTGGTAATACATGGACGCAGGTACTTGTTGTTTGTTCTGCCAATACCACTGCATATAACCAGACTTCTGTGCAGGATTCCAGTTTTGCATGTATGTCATCTGCATTCGTTTCATGGTCGATTCATCCATTTCTGTTTCAAAGTATCCGTGGCTTTCCATCCATTTCTGCATGTCCTGGAAAAAAGAAGATTCACTTTGAATGAATTGGTTTAAAGAATTCGTTAAATATTAATAATAAATTGCTAAGGTATTTAACAAAATAATCTGATAAAAATTCATTTTCCAAGTTTAAAACTCAGAAAATAAAATCAACAAAAAAATGAAAAAATCAAAACAATTATATCATTTAATTCGTATTTGTGTACGGTTTGTCGGAGCCAATCTTCAGCTATGCCCCAAAATTGAGGTATTACTGAAGCGAAATTGTCAAGCGACCAGTGAGGTGAGAAACTAGTGAGGAGAATTAGAATAAGAAATTGCTCATAAACAAATTAGAGATATACATTCAAAATCAGATGCAATCTCTCATATTATCCAACACAAATGACATGTCAAGCCCACAATATTCGACTAGTGAACCTGGCAAACAAAAAACACAAACTACTGACCTGTTTGTTTTTTACTTGTTGTTGATACCATCGTTGATCTCTCATTTGCTGCATTCCTGGATGAGTCATTTGTTGTTGTTGCGCCCCCATGTGGCCCGTTGCCATGGTGGGGGTGACCGAAGATGAAATATCACCTGCTGCGACGCTAGATGTTGCAGCCGCGACTCCTTCGTTTGCGATTAATCCTGATTGGCTTCGTAATGCTTCAAGCTCGAGCAGTTTTTCTCGTACTGTTGGATCCTCTAAAACGGTTTTCCGTTGTTTCTCAATTTCTTCTTGTATTTCTTTGCGGATCTGATTACGAACCTGGAAAAGAGAAATGCTCTTAACAAACTACTCTATTAATAATTTGTTCCACAAAATGGGGACAAAATCAAAATTCTTTAGTAGAAACATTGAAAATTGTTGTCCAGTATCAAAACAACAAAAAAGTAAAAATGCCAGTTTTGGTATTGCAGCCATTTTGAAATTTTATATTCATTTTGTGCTGCAGGAAATTAGTCGTAATTGATTAACCTTAAATAACTAATTAGACAGGCTATATTCAAAATTGAGGCAAATTGAAACAAAAAAACATGCCAATACCTCTTCTCTTATTCTCATAATCTCATTTTGCCTTTCCTGTTCCAAAATTTCTTCCTTCATTTTTTCTTTTTTTGCACGTTCAGCTCTTTCAATTTGTTCTCTCATTTCTCTTTTTGCTTCTTCTTTCAACCTGGCTTGTTGGTCTGACCATGCCGCAAGTTTCTTCTCTTGCTCTTCGGCTTTGAGTCTGAAGATGGAAATAATTGTGATGAAAATTGCATATTTTACCTCTTGGAATGACTATATCGTCACAGTAAGACCAAACCTGATATCAAAGAATTCAGAAATGTATTTTTTAGGGTAATTAGAAATACAAGTTGTACAAAGATATTAAACAGCAAATGGCACCAGAACCAAATGTTGGGTAAGGTCTTTGATTCAATATAGCAGACAGTTCCAGATGTCTAATGAAACTGAGAATATGAATTCACAGACAAGGATAGTGACTGCATGAAGGCAAAAAACATTTTATCGTGTTACCATGGCAATTCTAATGTATCATTTATAATTTGTAAGCGATTGGCGCGTAGAGATGCAAGGACTGCTTGGGAGGCATATTTCATATTTAGTTCACAAAATTATTTCGAATACATTTAGATTGGAAAACAAATCAACACATCTAAACATACCGTTTCTTATTACTAATATATAGCATTTATCAATATAAAAATTTTAATATAATAATATTACTAAATATTGGTGAATTTGATTATACAAAATGAATTTAAAGTTTTGGGAGTGCCAATCTTTCACTCACTTCAAAATAAGATAGGATTTACATATTTGAAAGGTGGCTCAATTATACGGCAAACCATGGGCTCTTGCCCGGTTACCATTAGATGTCGAGTATGAGATTAGCCAGTTATTGTTTCAGATGCATGGACTTGATGGTGGAGGAAGCCCCAACAGACCAATGGTTATGTGAATCACCCTACGACAGCGAAGAGTATAGCTATCCTCTTGCACATAATTATAATCCCACAGAATCCGAACCTGCGAACCCACACTATATAATCAGAGGTGCAGTGACGAACGCTTAGCATGATGCACCACACTACCGTTTATGAACCTAGATATTACAGAAAAGAAGAACTCACTGTTCAGCATTCTGCAATTGATCTCTTATATCAGCAGAAGCAGCTACGATGTCACTTTTGTTATATCCAACCCTGCCACCATCTTGACCGTCTTCGTCTGAAAAATAGGAAATTTGATATTATCTATCTGGGCGCTCCAGAAGTGTGTGTACCAATATGGAGGTAACTAATTTTGTTCGCCATAAAGTTGTGTAAATGGACTGAAACCTATTGGCCGAACTCGTAATAGAACTAAAATATTCTCAGTTCTACCGGAAAGCTTGAGGAAATCTAAACAAAATTATGGCCTAACCCTAAAATGGTATATATATATCTCTCTGGTCCATTTAAAACTTGAACATTCTAGTCAATGCCTGCTATGGTTTGGGTATTGGAAGGCTCGATAATTATAACAGTTTAAATGTAATTAAATCACAATACAAAATGCATTACCTTGCTTCGGAGAACCTTCCACTTTACTCCATAATTTACCAAAAGTTGATGAAATAGCAATTTTTCGACTCTTCAAACTTCCAGGTCCCACGAATACTTTATCTGCCGTCACATCAGCATTCTATGAGAAAAAAAAGGAATTTAACAGCATGTTTTTCGTAGTACGCATATCTAGACCACTATTGGGCAAACGAGAGAAATCTATTCCTAGAGAGAATCTTGCTGCTTACGACGAGGTTAAAACTACAGAAATTTTACTTTATACTTTGTGAATAATCGGAAGGAATGAAAAGATCCAAAATGAGATCCAGCTATGATAGGACCCTATCCTAACTGTGCATAAATAATCCAAACGTGCGCATCACAGTAACACACACTAGCTAAGAATCCTAAAAATTGAACGAATAATGAAAACAGGATTTTATGCATCGCAAGTAAGAAATAAAGAGATAAAATAAAAAGAAAAATAAGCAAAGAGAGACCCCTTGTTCAAGTTTCCCTCAGATTAATAAAAGTGATTCTACCTTGTCTTTGTTTCTTGCTTGAAACGTAGGTGACATGTCTCCATCTTCTTGTTTTAATTTTTTCTCTCTCATTCTTTGCATCAGTTTTCGAGTCAGATCATCTTTACTTTTGGTTTTTGACATTGCATCCTGGATATGAGAGTAAGTGCAAACATGAGCGATTGAAAGTAAATAATAGTTTTGAACTCAACTGCATTAAAGATCTCAAGCAGGCAATGCCAAACTGAGACAATTGCGGGAGACTCAAAAAGGTGTAGCTTCTTAGATATGATCGACGGCTCCCCAAGAGCTTTGCGACAAATAAAAGTATCTTACAAGCAGTTGAACATATAACTAAAATTGAAAGCTCAGAAAAAATCTGAAAGCACTAAGAGAAGCAGCTTCCAACAACTTACTTCACTTTCAGTTCCAACTACCGGATTATGAAAACTATCGGTCCGTCGGTCGAAGACGGTCCGAAGAAAAGCAATTCTCTGACCCTGTACATTAACTCATTTTTTTTTATCCTAGACCATTGATTCAACGAATAGCTTTTAATAGTTCATAATGTAATTCACAAACCTTATCTTTATCCCATTTCGTGAACTTGGATTCATCTTTGATTTCGTTTCCATCATCAGGTACAGTTATGTTCAAGTTTTTATTTTTTGCAGCAGTTTGAGCAAGCAATGCAGGTGTAATACCTGCTGCCAACGCTGCTGCCTGTGTTAAACCTGCCAGATTGGGCATTCTGAAAATCAAGAAGGGTTAAATTTTTACTGGTCATCTCTAACATGGTAATGATTTTTCTATACAATTCCACTCAAAACAAAATGTATATAATAAATATTATAATCCAAAATTCGTGGATAATATGCCGATTGAATTTTTTTAAATACGAGTGGTCTCGTTTTTGTCTAAAACTGAGAAAAAGCATTTTGGCCCTTAAAAAAGAAATACACCTTTGGCACATTAATTCCAGAGTAACTCATTTGAGAATATATTTGATGTTCAATATATTTAATTTCAGAATGTATTTGGATTTGCAAATTACTGTTTTAGCAAAGCCCTCAAGCAACTCCATACAGACCAACATTTATTCTTAACTCACCCCGTTCCGAGCAATCCAGCAACTTGTAACTGCTGTTGTTGCATCATAAGCACAGCCTGGGCTTGTTTCAAACTTTCTTTCGACACAAGAGGAATTGCACGATCGCTTGAACGTGAAGAAGACCTGCTTCGGCTGCCACTTGAACTACGTCTTCTCCGGCGTCTACCCCTACAATAAATCAGAAATATTTCGATAAAAAAAATCCACAGAGCAATATATAATCCGATGATGAAAAATTTCACGAGCCAATTCGACAGTTCCCGCCCAACAACTAATCAAACCTTTACAAATCTTACCTATCGCGACTCCTGCTTCGACTTCTCCTTCTATGCCGTGACCTATGACCCCTTCTATCCCTCTTTCGATCATCAGTCTTCTGCTTATCATCGTTCTGAGTTTTATCTTCTCCCATCTCATCAACGAGACCTTTGGCTCTACGTTCAGCCTTGATTTGTTCAGTGAGTTTCTGAGCTCGAAGGTAGCATTGGAATAATCTGAAAAGAGAACAAGATATTGTTACGTAAAGTTATTGGCATATTTCGATATTGATTTGGTGTCAGAGCTGTAGTCGTATTTTCAAAGTACCCCTCGTGAAAATTTTTATTATATGAACTAAAGAATGCATTAAGTCAACTAAGAACTCCCAGCCAATAATTAAAGAAGGCTCGTTGTAATCAACTTTGGTTTTCTCTGATTTTCTTCAATTCAGTTTGGACCAGAATTCTGAGTAATAATTTTGTCGCGCTGTAGACAGAAGTCTTTGGTTAAATCACTCTTGCGCCAGGCAGGAAATTTCCCAGACTCCACATATGATGTCCGATAGTCACGAATTATACTCAACCAATTTAATACAAACGCTCAGTGTTACGATTTTTTTCTATTCTCATAGTCTGATTCAAAGGTAACGATTTTTGTGTAAATAAGCCAGGCTGAAAGACATTAAATTAAAAAATTACAATAAATATTAAAGTACCTTGACTGTTCACTCTCTGTGATTTCTTTCTCCATTTCGTTCGCTTCCTCATTTGCTTTATCTTCTTCCTCTTGTTCAACCACTGTATCAATGATTTCCTAAATAAAATACTTATCGTTACAAGCATCTTTCAAAGAAGTACTGGCGCTCCAGAAGTATGTGTACCAATATGGAGGTGACTAATTTTGTTCGCCTACTTTACATCAAGTTGTGTAAAGGGACTGAAACGTATGGGCTCTTAACATCGTAATTAGGGCCCGACCGATATATCGGCCTTGTTTTTCACAAATTTTGAACTATCGGTATCGGCTAATTTTACCGATAGTTATCGGCTAATCACGTGACTGCCAAAGTGTCAAAATTGCGCCGGGAAAGCAGTTTTATCGCTTGTTTAATTCGAGAGCGGTTCTGCGTGAAACTCTTTTTCTTCACTATTTCTATTTCTCTCTTATCAAAAGCGGTTTCACGGACGATTGCGACACGGGATTTCACACTTTGCAAGCAAGTTTGCAGCGTGGTGGCTTACAAATCGAAGCAATAGAACACGTGAACGGCTTATTTGTGTCAAATAATATACGCTAGATAGAGAATTTTCGCGTAGTTTACACGGCGCTTGATTTCCCTTGCGCTTTAGTCGTTGAAGGTATTATTTAACTTCTTGTATTGGTATGTTATAGATGGCTGGTTCTAGCGGTAAGAGCAAAGTATGGGAATACTTTGTATGCCACAGTGATGGTGTACTTTGTAAAATATGCTCATCATTGTTAGGTCAAGGTTCCGCCGATTCCAAAAAGAAAAACACCAGTAATTTGTGGAGTCATCTCAGATCGAAACACAAGAGCAAGTATGATGAGATTTCGCAGACGCAGTTAACGCGAAAAAGGCCAGCTGAAGCTTCCCAGTTTAATCGGCAACCTTCATGGGAACACATAATGGATAAATTTAATAAATGGCATGGAAATGACGCAAGAACGAAATCACTTGATAAAATAATAATGGAGATGATAGCCACTGACAACAGGCCATTTGCAATAGTGCAAGATGATGGATTCCGCAGGCTAATAGAAACCATTGAACCTCGCTACGCCCTAAAGACTGAGAAGTATTTCAGAACAGAAATGCTGCCACAAATATATGAACTTGTGAGCCAGAAAATAATGACTCTTCTCGTGACAGAAAATGCTGGCGATAAATTGGCATTTACTACAGACTGCTGGTCAGGACCAACAGAATCACTTATCTTATGAGCTTAACTGTTCATTTTATAAATTGTAATTGGGAAAGATTCCAAATTGTATTAAACATCAAGGCCATGCATGGCTCGCATACTGGAGAGTACATAGGAAGAACACATATGTGAAGAAACATCGGTATCGTTATCGGCTTATCGGCCTAGTTTTGGAAAACTAGCAGTATCGGTATCGGTTCAAAAAGGCAGTATCGGTCGGGCCCTAATCGTAATAGAACTAAAGTAAGGAAAATTGGAATAAAATTATGGCCTAACCCTAACCTGGTACAACACTACAGGAATACCGAAATACTGACATCTAGTATTCTCAAAATCTGAATATTGAAATATTCTTGAATATATTCGAATATTCGATTCAGACAACTATGAATATAAAATTATTATATTGAAATATAGGTTGTACAAAGATATTAAACAGCAAATGGCACTAGAACCAAATGTTGGGTAAGGTCTTTGATTCAATATAGCAGACAGTTCCAGATGTCTAATGAAACTGAGAATATGAATTCACAGACAAGGATAGTGACTGCATGAAGGCAATAATATTTTAAGATGTCACCATGGCGATATTAGTGTCACATTTGTAACATCAAAAATACAGCAATTTTGAAGTACGACATATGAACACAACAGGCGCAATGACAAATATAACAAGAGCAGTGACAAAGAAAAATACTATCTCCCTTTATTATCTTAACCAATTCAGAGTAGATTCAAACAAAAAAGGATGAAATTATAACAAAACTGCATTTAAACACCTAAAACAAATTTGCTGTCTTCAAATATAACGTATTCCTACCTTCAGACAAAGTCTTGAAGCAGTTTGTGGATCGTTAGGAGTAATTTTATCCAGAATGGAATCAACACAGTCTTGTATAACTTTGTCAAACGGATCTTCAATTTCTTCATGTAGTTGTGTTGCTTGGACTGGTGCTGTAGATACCTGTTGAATGGTAGAAAATTGTCCAAAACTAAACCTTCGAGATTTTAAAATTTTTATAGAAAATTGAATCTCAATTTAGTTTCTAGGGAATATAACTCCATGCAACACATTAGGTTATCAGGAATAAATATATCTGTTTGGTTTTAGAGAGTATATTTTACTTTTTTAAACAGTTAGGAATATATTCAAATGCGGAGTGTCAATGACATTCAAAATAGATCTGTATAGGTGAGAATTCAGATACAGGTTATTTTGTATGATTTTCATTCTTTGTATTCGAATGGTTTCTTCCAGAGTTGGATTAAGCATAGCATTGCCTATTGTTGAATGTAAATTAGCGTAAATTGATGATTTCGAAAAATCATCCCAAAAATAACAGGCTTACAAAACTTCTGAAAATTGGAAAAAAATCAATCAATCATTTATTTCTACACTATGAAGATCAATTCCTACAAATGTATTTGAGTTTAATTCATATTTCAGATTCCAAAATACTATTTTCTATCGTATTCAGAATATACTGTTTTGGTTCAGAATATTTTTTCTTCTTCAGAATAATTAATTTTTTTAGGATGCGCTCCTGCGCTACAATAAGAATGCCCCACAATCCAAGGGAGGCAGTATAAGTTCCAATTTGCTGATGACTGTAGACTGTCAAACAATTGTTCACAATTTCTGTACTTATTGCCCATTCTTAACAATGTATGCATTAATTAGCTACAGTACCTTGACTACAATATCATTTAGACATTCTCTTGCTGTTTCCAGACATTCATCTTGTTGTGATCTTGCTTTATCAACAAGATTCATCAAACAACGAACGACGTCGATTTCATCTGTCGACACGATGGATGGCGGCTCTGGTTCAGCTGGAAACAAGAAAAATACTTCCAGCTTAAATTGTTAAAGAAGTTTGAGGTTACAACATGAACTATTGTGAAAAAATATATTGAAGAAGATTCTTGTAAAAATATCTTTGGAAATTACAAAATTGCATATTTGAAATTTTTCGTTTTATTTTATGTCAGATTCCCTTATGTTTATAATAAGGATGTCAATATATATCTTCTGGGAACTATATAAAACTTGAAAATAGTTATTGAAACCAATTCTCAAAAAATGTCGAATTCAGATTTCAACTCAAATGTAGACAGGCCACACGCACAGCTGAAAGAACATTTAAAGCCGATAGAAAATATTGTTAGAGCACACTTATCAATGACATAAATCCTCATTCTATATAAAAGCAAATCTTGTCGAAAAAAATTAATTTGGAAATATTGCACCTTTTGAAAATGGTTAAATACTGAATTTTCTGAATATCCTTAGCTCACAAACACCCACCACTAGTTGATCCCTTCTCAAAAGCTTTCTCTTCTTCCTCCAATTGTCTTTTTTCTTCTTCTAATTTCTTTTTTTCGACTTCATAAGTTTTATCGAACTCCGCCCACCACGGCACTTCTTCATCATCAGAATGCTTATCACGAACTGGAGGTTTAAAACCATCTTCGTCGTAAGCTCTGTAGGACGGACTTGCCCTAAGAAATATTAATATAAATATTTTTTGATATTTCCTTAGATTAAAACAATAAGGCAAAGCTCAATTCATTCATATGCCAAATCTTACCAGTTTTTAAATGAATTTCAATGCATTAACACAGTAATTTTTAAAGTGGGTAATGTCACTCCCTCGGGACAAAACATATACCCCAAGCTACTAGAAAATCCACAAGGGGCGAGCCGAAGAGCATTGCAGAAAAAATTAGAAATTTTGTGAAAGTAAAATGAAATTTTGAAAAGACAGTTGATATTGTTTGGTACAAGTCATCTCGCAAATATCTATTCATTTTTGACAAGTAAAACCAAGGATTATTTCCTTCCCAACGTTTTATTTGTTAGAAAAAGAGTTTCTCTATAAAAATCAAAATAAATTACCTTCCATCGTCATATCCCCATGGCTGTGTCGAACCTTCCCTTCTGCGTGAACTAGAAAAGAATAGTAAAAACAATTCTAATTGGAAAATACACAGCAGAACTAGGAACTGAATGTAGAAACATATTTAAAATATTATAACAATAAAAGTTAATTTGGCAACACAAAACATAATATGGCAGAGAATTTAACGCGTTCTGCAAAATATTACTATACGTTTTTTTCATGATTAGCATATTTTATGATATATAATATTACAAATTAATTGGTTTTAAGAGAAGTTTTGTGTGGTAAAATTTTCATTTCGTGATCCTTATTAGTGGAATATGGAATATATAGGTAAAATGGCGCTCCAGAAGTATGTGCACCAAGATGGCACACAACCTTATAACCCTAACCTAGTACACATACTATGCTCAGGTTGTGTGTCATCTTGGTGCACATACTTCGGGAGCACCGTTAAAATCTCCAAACCTACCCAGATTTTGATCTTCTTGAACTTCTAGATCTTGACCTGGATGAACTTCTTGAATAAGACGAATATGACCGAGAATACGAGCGAGATCTAAGAAAAAATTTCAACAAATTTGTAAATTTTACATTATGAATATATAAAATTTTATTCGATAAAAATTATTGTGACACATATAGAAAGACATAATAAAAATTAAATGTATGAGAACCACCGAAATAGTCAAAAACTGACACTGAAGAAACTAAACACACAGACTAACAAAATAGTACATTATCGATGTAACACCTTCTTACCTTGACCTGGATGAGTATGATGATCGAGAATACGATCTGGAAGAACGAGTAGAGTACGAACTAGATCTATGGCGCCTCCTGTGACGACGTCTTGATCTTGAGCGCGACCGAGAAGAACCACTGGACGAGTATGACCTGAAGAGAGATATCAAGATTATGAGGAATGTTTATAATTATATTCGTACATTTCGATAAGTATAGAATGCTGCTATAGCGGTTTCATCTTCTTTTGCATGAAGATGTTAGACTATGACATGACGAAAGCTTCTAACACAGTGGTTCTCAAACGGTAGATAGGCGCCAATTAAGCTAATTAAAAATAAAAATATTTGTTAGATTCGATCTCCGCGCCTTATTTAGGATATTTACATTTCAAAACTTTTCTTTATTTGATTATTTACGTTCCATCCACATATTTTCAAGTGTTTTTTGAATACAACATACCTATCTATTCACCTATCTATTATTTGTGGCTTATTGTTAGCTAATTATTTTTGAGTTGGGGCACGACTTGAAAAATTCTTAAAAGGGGGACGACTTAACAAGGTTTGAGAACCACTTTCTAATATATACTTAGTATTTTGAGGAATGTGATTACGTTATTTTTTTATGACATACTTGACAGTAATCTGATCAGCAGTAAACTTAGTTAAAACTTAGAAGCAAATGTACAAATGCATTGTAAATAAAATGAATACCAGTGATAAAAGATTTATTCTGTAACCATAACAGCCCAGAGATCGACACGCTCACACCTCTCAAGATTCTACTGAAACTTTCTAATCCCTTCAAAAACAGTTGCTCTTAACATATAAGCCGATACTTTATTTATTGCTCAAATATCAAACATTGTCTTGTTTTATTAGCACCATTTTTTAATTTACCAAAGTGAAATCCAAATTATTCTTGACTTCCATAATAAAAACAATCAGCCAATCGAAGCTCCCTTTTAGGAATTCAAAAACCAACCTCGAAGAATAACTCCTCTTTCTATGTTTCTTCTTCTTTTTTTTCTTGCCACCATCAGAACTCGATGAACTACCGCTCTCTTCAACATACACCGCATCGCCTTTATCATCTTCTGTGTAGTTTCGGTGAAATCCAGGGGGAATACCTCTACCCCGAAGCCCCCTGCCTTTCCAAGGACCCAGGTTTACAGGCTGACCCCGACCACGAGTTGAATCCCCACCTTTTTCCCCAGGCATACCAGGGAATTGAACAAAGTTGGGGTCACCTGAATAAAATGAAAATATGCATTACATGACCAGGAAAAAGGTATTGTAAGATGAAGCAATCTACTAAATAACAATACATGAAATTTCATTATTTTCAAATTGAAACAAATTGGCATTCCACCCTAAAATTTACAGAAAAACAATCCCCAACATTTTTCCCTTTCTCCCATATTTCCAAATTTTAATTTGTATAAACTAGTTTCTCTTGATATATTTTTACAGGTTTCAAATAACATTACCAGGAAAGAATGGGAAAAATCCAGGTGGTGGCGCTCCACGTCCTCTCCATGCTCCTGGAGGAAATCCCCTACTGCGGGGGAAACCCCGACCCCCTCTTCCTCTAAAAAAGAAAGGGCCAGGTGCCATAAATCCCATTTGTTGAGCTCTGATTTGTTGATATTCCATCATTGCCTATGGAGAAGAAAAAAGAAAATTATCAAACAGTAAATTTCAGAAAAATGTATCACATATATTTGTAAGGGCATTTCCAAACCTAAAATGGCTCTGGGTTGGAATTTTCCTGATTTGGAATAACGTATCAGGTTTATTACACACTTGAGTGAGTTGGTGGGTGATAAGATGGTCGGTGAGGATTTCAACCAGAGATCTTGCAGCACCAACATGGTCCACCACACACATTGTATTTCAGCCAATACAGCACAGAAAAAAATAGTAATCAGAAAAAGCATTCTCTTACCATATCGAAACCACCTTCTTCTGAAGGATCATAATCCATCCCAGCAAAATCAAAACTATCACTAAATGCTGAAGAGATTGATGATAAAGAAAGTGACGACAAGCTTCGAGATCTGGTAAACAAAAAATAGGAAGGTTCGATATAATGTTAATGAAATAGTTTTGTATTACTTCCATTCATATCAACTACCACAAATTTAGGTATATTTATTTTTGATTCGAAGATTAGAAAAACATCACAAGTTGGTCTTAAACTTGGGACAAACCACTCAAGGTGTTCCCACAGGCATGAGAATACCTATTTTCACATGTTCGGTATCCTACTGAAAATGGCAATTGCACCACAAGGAATTTTGGGTGCTCCAGAAGTGTGTGTACCAATATGGAAGTAACTAATATTGTTCGCCCACTTCACACCTCGTTGTGTAAAGGGACTGAAACCTATGGGCAGGGAGTGCGATTCAGTTGGCTAACACAGACGGTCCCAACTAAAATAAGGAAAATCGGAATACCTAACCTGGTACACAAATTACAGGAGTACCGAATTTTGCAGCATGCAAATCATTATGAAGTAATTATTGAGAATGTTTTTATTTAAATAGCGATGTAGTCCCTACTTAAAAAGGATTTGACAGCTAAGTCTGAGTATTCGAATAATATTCATTTTCATCTGTGGCATACCTGCTCCTCGATTTTCTTTTTCTTTCTTCTTTATCTCCCTCTTTCTCACTCTCACTTTTCTTATCATCCTTTGTCTTTTTAGTTTTCTTTTTCTTCTTTTTATGCTTGTGTTTCTTCTTCTTCTTTCTTTTATCATCATCAGAACCACTGTCTTCGCTCTTGTTTTTATCATCATTGGGCTGAGTGTCTGAAAATGGATTCTCACAAACATTAATTAACAGAGCAATCACAAATCAATACCTCAGTGAGCTACAAATACTGTGCTGTTCAAAACACATGATTAACTTTAACTTCTTCAGCCAGTTTAGGCTTAATACGCTACACAACAAGTGAAATAATTGTTATGTTAGCTAACTTTATCCCGATATCATTTTAGAAGCATACAGTTTGGTTAATACGCATCAGAAAGTGAAATTAGTGTTATTTATTCAATCTCTAAAGCAGTGGTTGCGAAACTCTATGTACTACTGGGACAAATATGCACATTGACTAGCGTGCTGACCTCAATAATTTACGCCTATGAACAATGCCACATTAAACTTTAAATTAAACTAACAGATGATTTCGCCAATGGCCCACGGGCCGCAGTTTGCCAACAACTGCTCTAAGGGATCCATATTTAATGTTATGAACAAAACTTAAAAGTGGTTTGTGAAGGAATAACTGTTTATGAAGGAATAAATATTTATCACAATAATACTTAACATCTAGAACAATATTAATAAATCTACACCTAAAATGAAGTATATATCGGTTTCTCTCTCAAAAATTTTTGCCCCAAAAATCATCCTGTCTATTATTTAGGTTATAACGAGTGATATGAATGAATGATATACACTACATACCGTCATCGTCTTGCTTTATAGAAGTTTCTTCCAATTGCTTAGAAATTTGTTGCTCCTCATCACCCTCTTGCAGTGGTTGAGTGTCACCTTCAGCGACCTCCATAGGCGTTTCATCATCGTTTCGTTTACGAAATGATTCTAAAAGAAAATGACCAGGAATGAAATATCAAAATCTAAAATTTGCCAACTTACATGCATACTCCAAAGTTCGGATTCCAAATGAATTTCAGCAAATGTAAACAAATACTGATTCTATTAAATAACTGAATGCATTACAAGCAATAGTCAAGACAAAAATTGTAACCAGTCGATGTCACGTATGGAATTAGTTAGCCAGCTTCATATGCATGGATGCGATGGTGGAAAAAGCCTTAACGACCAATGGCTATGTGAACTTCTCTACATCGGTGAGGAGTCCAGCAATCCTATCACACATAAATATCTCGCATGGGATTAAAACATATGAGCCCCCTCAGGGTAATCAGAAATGCGTCGCCGTAACTTAGTGAAAATAACACAGACTCACCAATATCAGGCATATCCAATGGTCCTGTTTCTCCTTGGTACTCTTCAACATCTGCATGGTCAGGCGCCTGGGTAAAAATTGAGTTTCTTTATTATAGGATTTCAATTTAGTCAAAATGTCCAAAACAAAATCAATTTGATGTAGTTATGGGTATTAACGATTACAAGTTGACAACATCTGAATATTGGAGATAAAATATTTGATTATACTGAAAATCTACCTGTGCTCTCTCTCTATGTTTCTTCTCCCTTCTACGTCTAGAAAAAGATGATAGTGTACATAAGTATAAGTATATCTCTTGGGAAAATAGTACAAGTTGTCAAAAAGAACAAGTTGAAGCACATATACAGCCAAAAAGAGGTAATTAACCGTTCATCAACCTTTTTATGACATATGAATACCAACATTAAAATTCAGCAATAGTCAGGGCAGTACTCTCATAGTATGTGAGCCAAGATGGCGGACACCGGAACGTAGTATGTGTATCAGGTTGGTTTAGGCCATAATTTCTTGTACAAATACTACGGGGGTCACTTGGCTAGTCCTCGAACTCGTAATAGAACTAAAATGAGGAAAATTGTAATAAAATTATAGCCTAACCCTAACCTGATACACATACTATGTTTAGGTGTCCGCCATCTTGTTGCACATACTACGGGAGCGCCGTCAAGGCAATAGTGGCATATTGAATACCTAGAAGTATAGATTACCAATGTCACAAACCTGTGTCTTTCTTTACGTTTTCTTTCTGCTTCTTCATCTTCCTCATCACGTTTGGACCCAGGCATGCCTCGATAATCTGTGTCACCATCGTACGCATCATCTAACGCTAATTAAAATAGTTAAGATAAGACTAAGTTTGAAATTACTTAGGAGTAAAACGTAAATGCAATATAAATTTCAAGATTAAAATATTTGCTTCAGCTATTCATAATTTGATAAGAAATCACAATGTCCTATATAGTTATTCAAGTTCTATTCGGATCTCTCATTTTATTTCTAAAACTGAAATATGTTAAAAACCACCTCACAAGCAAAATTGAAAACGAGACATCATCTCCTAATATGCAAAGCCAAGGAGATTAAGAAGGATAAGGACTTTTATGTTCATAGTATGCCTTATCACTTCTCTAGAGTGTTTCACAGATGACAGTTCATTCACCTTTATCAATCTCATCGTCACTGTGTCTTCTTGGCTTCGTACTCGCAACCAATCCTCGCTTTGCTTTGTTTGGATTTCTTTGCTGCCTCTTGCGCTTCATCATAGTAATTAAAGCAGTTTCAAGGCTCTCTTCACCGTCCTGTATACGAGTAAGTATTGGAAATTATTTGAATAGGATCAAAATATACAAGCTAGTTATAAAAAAAACAAAAATTCAAAAATGAAGTCTGCCTAATTTCACATGACTGTTGTGTAGAATCTTGTTCAAGCTGAAACACCAATTTATAACAATAGTTTACAATATTTGAACTTAAAAATTTGTCATTATAAGCATTTGACATTTATCCACATATGTTATTTCCTCCTAAAATGACTAACGTCTCATGAGGCTGATATGATGTTTCGAAAATAATGAAGAAATGGAACAATGTAAACATAGGAAGGTAAAAGTTTCAAATAATGCATTGTCACCGTCAAGTTAAAATGTTAATTAAGTTATGACGTTGATTGAACAAACGCCCGATCTTTACGCAATGACGTGATTACTTGATATAAAGCATCCAAGTTCAAATTGGTAATAAAAATCAATCATACCAATTTTTATCCCCACTATTCTGCTTTACCCGATTCAATTTCAATGAATGAGTTGAGAAGACAAAAAAAGGGAAATAATCTAGAATCACAATTTGAATATTTTTTCAGTTGGTATAGCAAAACACCCATGCATTCAATAAAATACAAACACATAATCGCAATTTCAAATTTCCTGGACCAATAAAATTTTGAAAAAGTCCTAAAAGCAGCAATAACCTTTGGTTTTTCATGTTTATCTAATGCTGATTCATTCAGTCTTCTTAATTCTTCTTCCTTCTTTATCAAATCTTCAAGACCGGGAACATTGGCTGGAACACTTGGTCCTATATCTCCTCTATCTCTGCCTGTAATTAGAAAAATGATGATAATTACACTTGAATTGATTGGTATAAAATAGGGCGCTCCAGAAGTGCGAGTAACAATATAACTATGGGTAAGGGGTATATTCACTTGGTTAACACATACGGTCCTCGGAACTCTTAATAGAACTAAAATAAGGAAAATCGGAATAAAATTATGGTCTAACCCTAACCTGGTACACACACTACGGGAGTACCTAAAATAGCATATTCCGTATAAAAAACATCACTAAAAAGGGATAACTACTAGCTAAACCAGTTAATACTCACTATTTATGTCTTCATAAGCTTTGGAATGTTTTTTCTGTTCAGGTGGTGATGTCTGTTGGGATGCCTTTGAATCTTCAGGTGCAATATTCTCTTCACGACTGAAAATGGAAGTAAAACATTAGATTGAATAAAATGTGAAATATCCAAATGCTATGATAAGGTGCTTCAAAAGTATGTACCAAACTAAATCCTTTAATGTAACAAAATTTGCATCGATTCTAAATTTATTACAACAGTATCTTTTCCACTATCAAAGTAAATGAAAATTTTTATCTGGTGTTTCCCTTACCTTGTCCTTCTTGAAGGAGATCCAGACTTCATTTCACTAGAAGGCTTCCTACTAGACGATTTCTTTGCCTGCAAAAAATTAAAGATTTTAATTATATAAATTTTCATAAATATCATTTAATTAGTTTAAAACAAAAAGCAGAGACAATAATACCAGACCAGATGGCGAAAACTTAATGATCCAATATTTCGAACATAATCTAAATTAGGCCGTTTTCAGTATAAAAAAACATGGAAGTCAATGTATACTGAATGTACAATGTATTTGAATTTAGAAATGCAGAAAAAATTAGATAAACAGTGATTTGATTAAATTTTTGGTTGCACTTTGAGATTTCAATTGGCTAACTAACTTATAACCAATCAGATAGAAGTATTCCAAATTATTCTGAAAATCACGAATACAAATAATTGAATAAAAATAATTTTGAACAAGTTCAAATATTGTTCCATACCTGGCCAGATCCTTGCGACTGTAGACTGCTCAAGCTCGGTATAGGTGTTCCAGCTGGATATGATGTTACTGTCTGTTCTCCTGAACTGTCGATTCGAACAATTTCTGTTTTGATAATTTCGCCGGTTTTTGCATTCTTTACCACCCGACGTATTACCTGTTTTTAATTCATATACTGTCAGTGTTTTATAGTTGAATATTTACTGATATGCTATCACAACAAGCATCTAAGCTTTAGCTCTGATATTTCACATGCATTACGTACTTCAAATAGTGACATAAGCGATGTTTAAAAATAAAACAATTCTGTAAAACAGAAGGCATAAAGAAGCTGTGTTTCATGCTATAATCTTATTCACTAGAATTTATTAGTCGATAAAATTTGAACAGTACAGGGCATGAATCCTTATCTGAAAACAAAGATTGTGCAGAAAAGCATAATTCCTATTAGACATACTTTCTTTTTTCCTGGAACTGCTGCAGCAGAAGCCGCAGATTTTTTCGATTTGTCCATTTCTTCGCAACTGGTGTCTCAATCTTTGTATTGCTACTAAAATTAACCATTAAAAAAAAGAGCAAAAATTAAAAAATGAATTCAACAATGAAAAATGTAATAGCTGATTTGACAGTTGGCTTTAATAAATATATGGCATGAAATTATTTAACTGGAATATCATTAAATAAAAAATTACCATTTTCCTTGTGTTCACTTTTCATCAACGCTAAAATTCAGAAATTAAGACTTGCAAATTTTTAGTTTTAATTCAAGTTCTGACATTATGGTTATAATACTGCCAATAGCATTGCATTACATCAAAATTCACTTTCATTTTTACTGTGTTAATAATATATGAAATCTGGGCCGGGGAGAACCATACCAATTACAAATCATTACTTACCCAAGCTTTTGCGCCACTTGTTATATGCCAAGTGACACATTATATTCATGTGTGTTATCTCAGAAGTGTCCATTTGTAAGATTTTAGCATTTATATCCTAATTAAGCAAATTTTTATATAATAGCAACTTAAAATTAAATAAGGTAACCTGAAAGAAAACTGAAGACAGTGAGCATTATTTTCTTGGTAGAAGAAAACAAAACTTCGTTCGAATTGAGTATCGAAAATACAGAAATATGGCTGTACAGTATATAGTTTTTCAAAAATAAATACACATTAAACACGTTTTACTTACGACAAAATCAGCTAAAATAAGAAGATCCCAGAATAAATCCAATTCCCCGAGTTTCCCATCAATAGAGATTCCAAATGTAGATCCCTTTCTTGTCAGGTTGATGTGGTCTTCCAATATAAACCTGATCAAATCGGCACTCAACAAAATGGCGCCAAGCTTTGTTTGATAGCACAGCACGCTCAGACGCCGACACGCGTGCAGCGAAATTTAAGCTTTCAAACAGACATGCAATTTTAGCACGTATTTGAACAAAACTTCTGTATGCTCCACTACAACTTGCAGTATTTTATGTCTGCGGTACTTATTACCAATTTCAGGAATACTCCGTAATATCTGTACCAGTACCCTGCTCCCTCTGCGAACTTTTCAGTAAAGCTGTAAATCGCAGATTCCCAAACCACGAGTCGCCGACGAACCTTCACGTGACGTAAGCGCGCATGCGCAATAAAGACCATGTGATAAAATTGTCGACAACTCGTGGTTCCCACAAGAAGGTATGAGTATATTTAACGGTACCTTGTCTTCCTACGGGATTTGTATCAATTTGAATTAAACTAATTCTGATTCACAACATATTTGAATATATATTTTTTTTTCACTGGTTGGATAAAATAAACTTGACTTGACTTTCTGGGGCTACTTTCACTACTTCTGCTACCGTACTGCCATACGAAATTGTCACGTAATTTACAACATTTTTGTTAGAGATAATCATACATTTTTACTTTGGAAGGGAAGCTGCGGAGACTGAAATCTGGTTATCGAGCAGCGACACCCCAGGTTTACTACTAATATCTAGTTCAAGGTGGTTCAAACCCAGGCCCGCGGGTCCTCGTCGTAATATTCGGGGAAACAAAAAAATCACATTTGGTGTTGTTCCGTCATAAAAATACCCAGAAAAATCTTTTGCCATATTGTCACATCACTAATGTTACTGAATTGACTAGTGTTATGGCTAGCTGATACTACTAGCGCAGTTGTATAATTTGCTTGGCTAGTCTAAATTGTAGACTGGCTTCCTTTTTTATCGGGGATATATGCTTATAAAAGGCTTCATAAAACACTAAAAATCAAATGAGGAACCTATTCGCCTAGGTTGGTTATGTCTGACAACTGAAAATCAATGTAATCGCCGAACAATATAATTTCTGCCGAGTGTTTTTTGCAACCAGCCTAAACAGTAATACAAAAAATGCTGCCTATATGTCAAAAAATTTAGTAATTACCATTTTGTACCTCACATTTAGTAATCAATAGATATGCAGTTATTTTGTAAACATGAGTTTGAGAAGAAAACTGGCCAATTCAAACAGATTTTTGACCGTACGAGTGAGGAGATACCACAATTCTTGCCTAATATGTCTGCATGTTGTGTTGGTGACAATCTAAAAGGACATACATTTTCGCCTTATGACATTTTTTTCCAATATGAAGAGTTTGAAGTCTTACGCTAGATACAGTAAGATTTTTGCATGTTTTAATGAGTGGTTTTTGCGTTTCTTGGTTGGCTTGATAAATATTAATCAATGTGTTCAAACAATAAAAGTGTATTTACTTATGCTTGGCAGTATTGTGGCCCGCGAACAATACAAAATTAATAGTGTGGCCCGGGAGGCCGACAACCCTGAGTAAAAAGATCGGGTAATTTAATTATAGAAATACTGTTATTGGCAGTGAGTAAAATGTAAAATAATCACTTCCCCGACCACACAGTCTATGTTCTCGAGAAGTTATAGCCATCGTTACAGCCAAGCCATTCTCTAAAAAAACAATATAAATTCAAGAAGTAGTAACAATAAAATTTTCACTTTTTCATTCTTTGCCATCCCTACGGGGATTCATTTATCTAAACTTTTCATATTGTGGCCGTATATTTTATATCAATGAATATTTCAAAATGATGATACTTTAAACTAGATATTACAATCTTATCCCTGAATCATTTTCCCCAAAGATTATCGAATATATTTTTAAATATTTTTTTTTTTACTTTTTGCTGACTTTCTGGTCCTCTCCTTTAGTTTTTTTTCTGCTTCTGGTCTCCCTCCCCCTCTTTGCCAGCCACCGTGACCCCTCTAGCTTTTACTTTTTACCATTATTCTCTTCTGTCTTCACCACAACTTACCGTGCATTTACATTTTCCCCAAAGATTATCGAATATATTTTTAAATATTTTTTTTTTTACTTTTTGCTGACTTTCTGGTCCTCTCCTTTAGTTTTTTTTTCTGCTTCTGGTCTCCCTCCCCCTCTTTGCCAGCCACCGTGACCCCTCTAGCTTTTACTTTTTACCATTATTCCATTCTGTCTTCACCACAACTTACCGTGCTGCCTCTTGCCCGTCAGTCCGCTTTCTTTCCTCGACCACTGGTCCTGCATGCTTTTCCTTCCCTACAACTTGGTCTAACATGTGGGGTTTGAACCCACTTTCATACCTGGCCTGATGTTTAACACCGAGTCTACGCTTCCCCTGAGCCACCGTTACTGACGAGGACCAACTGTATCAGAATCTTGTTTAATTAACAACGTCACGCTTGGCAGCCCACGGCGAGGCTAATTACCCCCCAAAATTACATTAAACATACTGCGTTGATTTGAAGCAGGTTATTCATTCCGTGATTAAAAGGCGTTTATCTGAGACTATGGTGTACGTTGCTTTACCTATATTGAATGTGTGAACATTTGTGCAAATAATATGATATCCCGTTTTGACTGTAGTTCAGTTGAAAATGCGTTATTATACGATCATCGGCGGCAAGGGGCAACGTTAAGGGTGTGAATCTGCAAACCAAATTTTCTACTGTCAGTTAGGGAATACTAAGACTGGAAAGCAGGTTATCAATTGCGTGTGATGCTGTAGACTACCTTAATATTTATTCTGAAAATACGACGAGACCAAACGCCATCTCCCCCCGGATTATTATGGAGCCAGTCAATGTAATATAAGATATGGTCCATCAGTTTTCTGTTCTACTAAAATAAATGCATTCATCGGGATTCTATTGCAGGTCGTCTATAGAAATTTATGTTTCCCCACTTTCCCTTAGCGCTCAATAGGCAGGTGCTTATTTTGCTTGATGGTTAATTGGCTCGCAATTGACGTCCAAACTACAAAGTTTTCTATTGTCGAATCGTTGCCCTGTTTTACGAGTATTATAACGAACATATGTTTTCCGTACTTTCGTAACTGGTATCTCCAAAAAAAAAACAGTTCAGTCGCTGCACTCACCCGTTGACTGGCACTTGTCAGTGCAGTATAAGACGAAAAAGTTGACAAAAAACTTGTAGTGTGGAATTGGTGTGATTGTATTGACTTCAAAGTCTTGAACAATCGGTATTTGCGGGTAGACGCCCTCTCAGATGCGCGTTAACGTAACCTGAGCGACTTATCTCGTTATTAAATACTATTTACAGTTAGGTCGGCCAATTTGTCAGTATGATGTCATCGTCACTATTCCAATACATATCAAGATCGTGTTTTTAATATTCATCGAAACAGGCCTAGACAAAATCACGATATATATACGAGTTTATTTTGAAAGATATACAGGTTTCTCCCGTCTTTAATTTAGCCTAAATAATCGTCAAGACCCTTCAATGACATATCCTTGCCTTGATTTATTCTCTACTGGTAAATACTAAGTCCAGTGCTGGGGGAGTAAAAACAATTCCATCTACTCCATCGTCAAGGGAAGGAATTTTTGTACCGTCATGAACAGAAATGTCAAAATTTTGTATCAACGAAACTAGCAGAATGAAAAGCTCCATTTGTGCCAGTTGATCGCCAATGCAATTACGCTTTCCAATGGCAAATGGCATCCAATATTTTGACTTCTGGAACGTTCCATCTTTAAGATTTAAAAATCTTTCCGGTTGAAATTTGTCTGGGTCGGGGAAACACTTCGGGTCGTTATGAATTGACCAAGTGACTGATTGAATCTGTTGAATGGAAATAATAATATAAAGGCCGATTGTGTTTGAGAAAGTATATTGAATTTCGACACACTACCAAAAATAGGATACGTTTCGAAGCATTCGCTTTAGCGCATGTAGCCTACTGCCAACAGAAGGTACAATAGTACCCTATGCGTGCGAATAGTCATGTTACGGAGGCACGTTTTTTATGATTTTGTGCAAGTTCAAAAATAATTTTTTTTACCGTAGTATTCTTTGGTAATTTGTATCCATTGACATCAACACCATCCACAATAGTTCTCCCGAAGAAAGATTTTACAAGTGTGCATCGACGCATCAACTCGTGATAAAATGCTAGGGTTTGTGGCATATTTTTACGATCCGATAGCGAAACTTTTCTTCCACTTCCTTGAAATTGTTAGATTAAATGTGTCAAAATGAATCATATATTCATTCATAAATACCTAATATGTTTAAAATTTCAAGTAATTCATCAATTCTGTCGCCCACATGCAAGGTAAAATACTAGGTTCAAGTATTTACTGTAGTTACGAAACAGTTGAATTAAGTTATCAAAGACTATCAGTCCGTTTCTATTTTAATATATTAGGGTTGGTTAGAATATCACAGTGTTGAAGGGAAAGCTTCCAAAGTGTTGGTATAACTATTGGCGACTTGACGTTACACTTACCAACAACGGCATCGACTTCATCTCTAAGAATCTTGTAATATTTTGGATACTTAATCAAGGCAATCATGCACCATGTGAGAGTACATGACAAAGTTTGTGATCCTGCGTCCAACATATTATGCAAAGCAACCAGTAATTGACGTTTCTGCGTGAAATTTTAAAATTTTTCAGATTCGTAGTCAATATCACAACTAATACAGGCAAATACGACTGAACCAAAAGCATTATATATTACTGTTTTAAAATATTGATATATTAGGACAGGGGTGGGAGGCGTTTTTGAAGCAGGGGTCGAAAATTTTGCCCACCTAAACTGGCGGTCTATGTACGTGTGACGCAAAAAAGTTACGTTTTATGACCAATATTCATAGTGTTACAAAAGCAAAAGTGGAAAACAATAAGATTCGCACCAAACCTAATTTTTTAAGATATTAATTAGCTAAAACATCACATTTGGGTTGGTTGTGGCAAAGCCAAAGGGCCGGATTTGGCCAGTGGGCAGTAGTTTGCCCATGTCAGTATTAGTATGACGTAACAGGCTACAGCGCTTCCCAAAGTTTTTCAATAAATTCATCTCTTTGCCTATGTCGGAATTCTTCATTCCTCCCTCGCTATATATAAAACTTACTTTATTTTTACAATTTTTAATGGATCGTTAGCGGTGCTATGCGCAGCATCAGTAGTTTATTTTTACACATGCCTAAAATACACATTGTACAAATAGGATAAAGAAAAAATGCATTTCAGTGTGAAGGAAACGCGATAAATCAGTAATGGTTATCGAGCATCGTCACCTATAAGGAAGTCGAACATCAAATTTTACTAAGGAAAGAAAAGTCGAACATTAAATACTAAGAGAATACGAAAATAAAATACATTCAGCCGACCCGAATATCCGAGTCTCGTTCATAACAACGGAAGCCAGCGACTCCGCATGCATGCAAGTCGCACTCCCGTTTTAGTATTATTATACGAAATAACAATACCGATTAAGTATTATTGTAATAATATTAATTAATAATAAGTAACACTACTGCAAAATGTTTTCCAATTACGGCAAGAGTCATTACTGGTAGGAATTCAATCCCGGTTGAGAAAAGTTGACCTAAAGTGATGCATTACGAATATTTTATAATATCGCAACATGCGCAATCAATGTCACAAAAATATATGAATGATGATACAAATACATATTTTAATTAAAGCAAGTTTTCCGACAAAAACCATTTCCCCATTAAATTGAACTGGGACAAAAATAGTTGGCATGGCAAATGCAACATGGCATGTGCAACACACTTCACACAAAATTATTAATTACTTTCTCACATTAAATGATGGATCATGTTCATCCTTCTTCATCTCTTGTAGGAAAATGTCAATATAGTCTCGCATTTCGTTTTCGTCGTAACTGCTTTCGTGTTCGTTGATCTTTTTTTCAAAATATTCTGTAAAGGGGATGTTCAACCACGTTTATTTTTTTCATTTCCAAACTACCTTTCTCAAAATTTTGTTTGTTACAGTTTTGTTTGTGTTCATAGTTAAATTGAGTGTAGCTGATTTAGTGAACTGATTCACGCCGATGCGGCTTTGTGTGGTGCAGAGTTGCGACAACAAGATTTCTAGGCAGGCAGACATGCGCAATTTTCCAATCCGTAACCAGTAATTTATTTATTCACCATGCTGGAAATAGGCTTACGCACTCTACATACAGAAATTAAAAAAATTACACTTCAGGGTGATGAGAGAACCGAGAACCAATCTGCAATCTGGCGGCGACACCCTTCGAACTGTCATATCATAATGTGCACCGCAATGCAGACATTTATTTATTTATACTTGCCAAAGCGATCTGTGTTGATGGTGTAATATCTATAATCTCCATCGGCATAACAAAAATATTCTTACCAGCAAGATGATTGAAATCGTTTATATAGTTTTGCATTGAAGTTTTGAATGGAGCGAAATGAGGCAAATACTTGGAAGATCCAATGAGAAATATATATTTTCCATAGTGTCGTACTCTGTAGATAATAATACAATGAATTACTGGATAAATAAAACTAGAATACGTAAGAATAAGAGCTAAAATAACAATATGAAAAAGATGCGATATTATGAAAGGTATGCTACACATTTTTATACTACGCTTATTTTCATATTTCACTTCAAACAAGGACTATGACAATCATAAAGATTAAGGGCATTGAGACGGTCGCATAAAACGATAGTCAGGTCAAATTAAAAACAATCGAGCTTGGTATGAAATTCACTTCGTAAATACAGTCTAGGCTAGGGGGCGTTCGACATAAGTATCAATGCAAATGATATTTTCCAAGGCGGTGCGTAGTTTTGCAAGGCGGTGCGTATAGTATCAATGCAAATGATATTTTGCAAGGCGGTGCGTCGCTTCGTAGCTAAGTAAATACAGTCTAGGTTCTAGGGCGTTCAGCGTAAGTATCAATGCAAATGACATTTTGCAAGGCGATGCATTGAGAAATAAACATAGATTTCAATATCAAATATATTATATCTTACTCGTCTACTAGTTCCGATCCTACTTGTTGCAATATTTTATCATCGTATGGATATCGTTCACCCAATGTATTCAAACATGAAATATTGAATGCAGTGTACAAGAATAATCGCTAAAAATAAAAATAATACGTACTTAACTATATAGCTTATCTTACAAAGATTCTAATCAGTAGACATGGTCCCAATCGCTATTTGGATGGTGCCTTCCCTAGAAGACGTATTCTTTATAATAATCGGTAAAATAACGTAAGAACTTTGTTACAAATAATTACTATATAGCCAGGCTTTATCTAACTCACAACAATTATAATTAAACTATGAAATTCAAGGGGCGCTCCAGAAGTATGTGTACCAATATGTAGGTAACTAATTTTGTTCGCCTATTTTATATCAAGTTGTGTAAAGAGACTGAAATCTATGAATATTCACTTGGCTAACACAGACAGTCCCCGAACTCGTAATAGAACTTAAAAAAGGAAAATCGTAATAAAATTATGGCCCAATCCTTCCCTGGTAAACAAGCTACGGGAGAACCGTTCAAAGACTCTTGAATTGCATAGTATGGTCATGTTTATACCTGCTACAGCATCCTTGCAGCATAATATGGGCCCACTATCGTAAAGGGTAGGGAGTTATAACCTCTACTGAAAGTGTAATTGAATTGCATTTGGTCTAGTTAAGAACCACTTAAAGTCGAAAGACTTACACTCGTATCGAACGGTTTTCCGGATTTTTCTCGGATAGCTTCAACCAAATACGACGCTTCTTGCTGTATCCTTGTCTCCATTGTATTTTTGCCGAGTCCCAACCTATGAGTTTAGTGAGTGTATGTCAAAGGTGGCTTAATTAGGCAAGCAGGAAAGTGTTACCACCAGGGGGATTCAAAACCAAACCGCAAAGTCAAGTTCATACATTTGAAAACAAATAATTGGCTAACTAATTCCATACCCGACAGGGACTGGTAACCGAACGAGAGGTCGTGGTACGCCATATGATTAAGCCGTTTTATCGATTTCCCTCCCCTCTGGGATAAAATTGTGAATCCTATCTTAAATTGGTTGTCACCACTCAACTGGAAATATATAACTCTGTGGTTAGCACCGGTTTCTATGCCTGAGTGGTGTTTCCATATGTCCTTTTAAATGGGGTTGTTGAATGTTGCTGAATGCATCAAAAACTTTTTGAGAAAAATACCCCAACAGATTTTGTTACATGAGAAAAAATTTTAAATTAAGAATTGATGTTGATGATAAATTAATTACAACCTTCTCATAGCTTGTCTTGTAAAAGGTCTGTGGATATCCGAAATTTTTGGAGATGCAAAGATAAGTCCAATTCCTTGGTTGCATGCGTCATGTACAGTCAGTTCAGGTCGAGCTCCCATTTTAGATGCTTGGCGTATATGAACCTGTTAATTGATAGGTGTAAACCTTAATTTTTATCATTCTTTTGCGGAACAGGCTTTATGTATATTATGTTTTTAAATAAATAGGGAAAATTTCTTTTATTGCTGAACGCCGATGGAAATTCGCTAATTGGAAGTACCAGGAAAGCTAGGATGTAAGCATTTTCACTTTATTAGGTTACTTGCAATGAACAAACGATTGTGTGCACGCTGTTTTGTTGCAACAAAAAAAAAAACAGTTGAACGAATACATGCCACAATAATTAAACGGAAATAGTTTGTCTGAATGTTGTATGTTTTAACCAGTGATGAGGTTTAAATTTTCTATTAACAAATTCCTCATTGATATCAACTCACTATAACCACAGGTCCCGTTATAATCATATCGAACTAATAGTTTTCAAAAATAAGAACGGATTCGCTGATTATCAATTCACATAAAAATTCAATCTTTGAGCACTGAAAATTTCAAAGCGAATGGTCCAGTAATCAAAGAGAAAAACGATTTTTTTCTGTGACAAAGAACAACAAGAAGAAAAAGAGTGCCAGCATAAAATGCAAAACGATCGTTATGTCTACTAACGTGTCCAACAAGAGAATACTTTACTCACATCATGAATGACGTCATAATCGGTGAGAACTACCATATCTGTGTTGCCAAATCGAGCCGTGTATGCAGTGCCGTATTTCCTGCTCCATTCCATGAACTTTTTAGTTGGATCAGAACCCAAGAATAGGTTTATTCCAAATATTGGTATTCCTCTGGGTCCGGCAGGCAATCGACTATCTCTCCTATACCAATATATGACCAAACCCGTTATGAAAACGAGCGCTAGTGTGGTAGTAACGAGAAACATTATGATTACAAGATTTTACCTAAACAATTTACTGTGAATTATAGTTTTATTTTGAAATCTTTTAATCTCTACTGCGAGTCTTATATATTGTTACGGTATTTCAATAGTTTTGTTACTGATTGCCTACTGATAAACTACACTCAACGACATGATCTTATTTTTTTATGTTGGAAATTTGTCCATCATTTGTTCTCACTTCCAGTTGGCTTCCTCCACCAATCAAGCCCATGGAACTCCTCAGCTAGATGGTATCTATGCCCAATCGTCTGGCACTGTCCGCACGACGGGTTGTGATTTTCAATACCATTAGTCCGAGGTATCTATATGGGTTTGCTTCGTGGCGGTAATGTCACAACCAGTCGGGGTTCATTCGATTTTTTGTTCTCTAAATTTCGCTACAAGCTAACAACTCGTCGATTATGGCCTGTGCTAGTCCCTCTGCTACTAACGCAACATGAGAGTTTATTAACGTGAATTGAGGTCTATTTATAGTTTGGTTAATCAGTAACTTTTCAAAAAAACATGTATTCACATGACACTGTTTGCAGCTGGACACTGGTTCCCGAACGTTGAGCATTTTCTCATTAGCTCGGAACTTTAAAATTTTTAGGGCATAATCTTACTATTTCTAATATGGTTGTAATTTATTCTAAATGACAGACTGCGCATCGGATGATGCCTGGGATCCTCGTTTTAACTTCTATACTTTCTTTACAGAACATTTATTTTTAGCTAAAATTAAATGTTGCTTATACGTATATGCTATGTTGTGATGTAACGATGAAATATATTGGGTCATTGGTTCTGCGATTTCAAATACTTTCTAAGGCTGACGTCTGAGTTCGGGGGGTGGAGAAAATCATCTTGCGTTGGTCAAAAAAAACACTTAAAATTTTCAAGCATCTAAATTCAGAAGAGGAGCTCGTGTCGAGACTAAGGATGCTAAGTATGACTACTTACAAGTATTCGATTCTTATCCGATTTCTAAATTTTCGATTCTGATTCTCGATTCTTCGACATAGCTAACCGGAGTTAACATACCCACTTAAACAATATCATATGATTCGAACAAGATAGCGATGTTCGAATATATATGGACACGAAGACCAAAACTAAGTAGTATGGGTATTCAATCTGTCAGAGTAGACAAAATCGCACACAAAAAAGTAGCCTATGCCTTAGAGCCCACAGAAATGTTGAAATACATGAAATGAACGTAAAAGCCTCCTAGAGAAAAAATTTCAATTTTCAACCACTGAAAATTTCACAAAGCAATTGGTCCAGTAGGACTTGTCACAAAACGTTATACCTCCAAGTTTTAATTCTAAGATTTTAATTCCAAGACATCGGAATCGATTTCATTCGAATCCACGAAGAATCAATTCCGGAGTCGAGTCCGCCATCCCTACTCGAGACCGCCTGGCCTCAATACTAAATTTGTCGCGATCGTCGGTGTCTATGAAATCCTTTTTCAAGCTTGATATTGTTTGAAACGGATTGAAAATAATAGAGATTCAAAATATCCTCGCAATCAACGAAGGAAAAAGTCATTTTGGAACAGAAAATATTTATACAATGTAAAAATAAATCTTTCCGACAATATTTTATTTACAGTTTATACTAGCTTCAATAAAACGAATCTGAACATTAAGTAATATTCGTCATCCGCACTTGACGGTTTAGTTTAATCTTACACTCTGAAGGTCCGTCATTCGCAAGGTGCCAATAAGTTTTACATCAGAGGCGATAAAACCAATGTGTATTTTCCGAGGACATGCCCTATATGAATATCAATCTCAATATAGCGTTCCAACCAAAACTTGCCTCTTCTCCGTCGTTTCGTGCAAGTCAGGTTACCTAGTTACCGGTCAAAGTTATATTATTTGATTTCTTTGTTGCCTTCTGTTAGAAACTTTTTGGCGAATCCAACGACAAACATTTTCCCAAATCCCGTAGAACATTTTCCACAACATACTTTGTTCAGCAACAGAAACTTGTTCACCGTCGATTAGTTTGTTCTGGTTATAAATAGCAATACTTTATATAATAAGTTTGGTTGTGTGGGTGGTTTTAAAAATTGAAGCATTTTCAATAAATCTAACTACACGAGTTTACATATCGAAACTGCAATGGGCTGGTTCTAAGTGGGTGTAATATAACGCTTTGAAAACAAAAATAAAATATTGAGCACGATCAATATTATCATAGTGCTTTTTTCTCGTGGCTGGGAAAATTTACACATTACTCCAAACTCCGGGTCATCTAAAAAACGGCTGCGATTACAAAATTTCGACTTTCGATTCCAGTATCTTGAAGAAAATTTTGACTCGCACTCCAACCTACGAGAAAGTGAGTTTTTGATAACAAAAATTCGTATTTATTGTTGAAATTTATGATTCGATATCACCACCAAAAATATAGATATTTTTACTCCCGGGAGTTTGAAAATACCGGCTTCAATGCTAATAAAGCATCCCAAACTGGCACACAGCACTAATAATAAATAATGGTTTGCAAAGAAAACCTTGTGATAACAAAACCGAGAATTTGTCTGATTTCGGATTTAACAGTTTTTAATACTGGTGAATTAGTCGATCATCTCTACTATGCCGAGACATTATAAATAGTTTTTCACAAACAATCCTCTAAAACAGTGGTTCACAAACGGTTAACGATTCCATCCACGTATTTTTCAATAAAAACATACTTTCGCCTTACAATCTGTTATTTGTACCTTATTGTTATCTGGTTATTTTTGAGGTAGGGCGCAAGACTTGATAAATTCTAAAAAGGGGGCGCGGCCTAAAAAAGTTCGAGAACCTCTGCTTTAGCATATGAACTGCCCAAGATTATTGATACATACCGTTTCACCATAAGAACTTGTTGATCCTTCAAGAAATGAATAATCCATGACAGTAGTTATTGGGGTCGGAACTTTCGTTTCATCGAATACGGTAAAACCAGTCTCTTTGAGCCAATGTGGTTTGCAGTGGGGTAGTGTTTCGTCGCCAATTAAAATGATATTACGACCTCCAGCCAATGACAATTTTTCTGACCTCAGTGATCTTTTGCTAACCACATTAACCTTTATTTTTCGAATTGCGTCGTTATATTGGGCAACACGAAACACGTAGAGTAGTAGATCATCCAATGTATAATATCTCCCTTCTCGTCGGAATACGCGAATGTCACCTAAGTCCTTGACTTCCAAGTTCCACGATTTCCCCATGAGTGTTTCTGCGATGTCATTGGCTGATTTTCCAGTTGTGAAATGGGAGCGAACTTTGCTTTTTACAAAGCGTATTTCAGATGGCAGAAGATATTTGGTTTCAATGTAGTCATTCATTGCTGCAGATTGATAGGTTTTTATATTTGTTATACTGTTTTGGCCTTTGAACAAAAAGGTAGAGTTTGAATGGAAGTTTTGTATGTTAGCGATATTACTTTCAGTAATGTGACAGGAATTCTTTTTTTCCAAATGTTAATTATATTGAAATACTGTATCTAATTTAGTTTCGGCGAGAGAGAATTACGAAACCAAACCCAGTGCACACTCGGTTACTATAACAGGTTTGGGTAACTTTTTGGCAACAAATGAACCGAAAGAGGCATTTGAGTATTCCAAAACTGCTCTAATTTTATCATTATTTATTTTGATCGTTTAAGCCAAAGTGACACTTGTTTACAGTGAATAAATGCTATATAACATTTCTTTAGGCCTTCGTGTATATATAAATATCAGTGCAGTTATTCTATTTTTAAGTCAATCCTAATTCATCATCGAGACTCATTAGTATAAAGTCTATCCGCGTAGCGACTTCCTTGTTCAATATTTGTTACTGAGTTTAAATCATATGAGTATGAATAATATGACGTGTGAAGCCAGCGGTGCTGAATTGATAACAGTTTGTGGATTGAATACATTTGGGTTTATTCTGTTCATTGATTAGAAGAAGGCATATCATGCCTTGAAGGTGGCTCGACTCCCCACCACTCGGATTAATTACCTCGGGATTAATTGAGAAATGCGTATATGGTTTTTTCCATACACATACACATGGATAAATATTTGAAACCATATTTCAGTTTAGACTAGAGTATAGAATCAATAGACGACACAGTCTATTAAAAGAAGTGGCTTGAGCGTCATGTCTGACTTGGTTATCTAATCTAAACCTGCGTGACTCAGAATATGACGTTTTTTGTTCAGAACTCAATGACTGACAAGTAATAAATACTGATTGCGGCAGTTCCTAGATAGCATTATCGATATTTTTTTTGACGTAGTTTCAGATCTTGCCTATTAAATAACAAAAGCTAAAATGGAACGATGAAAGCCTCCCTGATTCAATTTTACCCAAATCAAAGCCAACCTACTCTGTTTACAATCTATAAAAGAATGTGGCCGCCGCTATTTGTGAGGTGATGAAGCTTGTCCGGGGGCGTACATAAGGTACGAACAAAACGCGGAATTAACCGCAACTGATTTATTTATATATTGGAACACCTAGCGTTAATAACTGGGTGACTACAACTAGCAACTCTCCGCAGTTTTTCAGTCGCTCATTGCTCTACAAAATTTCCTTCTTATCCGCCTTTATTTGACGCGCCATTGCAAATTTCATTCACTATTGCCAATGTTGGCCAAGTCGAAAATTTACACGGATACTATCGCCTTTCATTGTGGTTACACTTTGGATAGAAAACAATATATAACGCATACAGATATTGAACTGAAACGCCAAACAGCTAATAACGTTGCATAACCCTGACTCAATCCCTGACAATCGAGCGTGATTCAAACTTCAATCATCAATCGAGCGCGCACTGATGTATTTGAGGTTGGAGGTCACTGCCGACTCCACTCTCCACGAGTATTAAATTTGACGTCACAATTATTTGTTTATTTTTGATTAGTAATTCCTCCTGAATAGGGGATGTGGTTTAGCAGCCCATGTGTTTTACATAGAGTTGGCGAAAAAGTGTGCGGATGACTCCAGGCTCTTTATGTTAAAACGTCCAAAATTGAATTTGATTTTGAGTGCACGGCAATGCCTGTCTGACGTATTCTACATTCTCATTGGTGTATAATATATTCTAATATTTAATATAATATAAGTACAGTTACAACTTCAAAATTCGACGGTAAACTGAATCACAAAAATCCTATACCAAACAATCGAATAGTAATTACATCAACGCGCAATACCGTTGTAACCAATTGTCGCTCAATTTATTTCAATCTAAAGCTTATATTAATGCGTGCGATATAATTTTCAGGGAATAAAACGGTTCAAATTTCGGGGACCCACCGAAAAATAAATTCATTTATCCATAGGCCACGTTTCCAAAATGACGTAAGAGTAGTTAGTTACCTGTCAAGTGCACTGTGGCGGAAAAATCTATTTTCAAAATTAAACAGTTCAGTTATGTCTGCGGTTAAACTCGTTTCAATAGAATCTTCTTCATATCGGAGTTTAACTCTACCGTGATTTCAACGGACGGACAATTCGCAGAGGTAGGTATGTTCGCCAATTTGTTATTAAGCATATATATTGCATGATATCTTGCACGGTATAGCGGTTTATTAGGGTAAATTCAGCCAAGTTGACTATTGCTTCATCTAATTCACTGTTTATCCTTTGACAATTCACGCCATTTTTATCTTCAATAAAATTTACGTAAAAATTGACAATTCGCTCACTAAATCTATAACTGGTGACTGGGTAATCTCTCTGCTATGAGGTTACCCAACGTAATTTATTTATGATCAGATTGCATTAAGATATGGCCGAACATGCGCAAAAACAGTTACAGATAGGGGTGTAGCCTATATATCGCTAGTAGATTACCCTCAGCCATAGATATCGATAATTTATATTCACTAATATTATATATTTCCATAAAATAGATGAATATAAAATTGTCTCCTAAAATATTTGTATAACCATGTAGTGATCCCGAGAACAGAAATGTTGATTGTCAATGTTTCATTTTTTATTCTAATTTTTTGTCAATGGTTCACACTGACGAGAAACATCGTTTCAATTTAATATGACAATATACCTTGGTGTGCATTTTCAATAACCCAACTTTTATCGTAACATCTAATTTTCGCATGAGTCATTAAGCAATTCAGTTTCAAAAATATCAGAAATTGTTTACCTGGTGTCCTGTAACTTCCATAAACTTGGAAGAGGAAGTTGTTGGTTACTTTAAAATAAATAACGTATAGCAATGAAATTTAGAGCACAAAGCCGACGGGCAAATTGGACAGGAAATATTGTCCCAACAACCATGCTCAGTATGAGAATCGATGTCTAGAATCACCTTCGAAACAATCTTCAAATTTTAACCGTGGAAAATATAATCATTAAAACAAAAAATGTGTCGTTGAAGGAATTAAGGAGATTTGCCACATTGATATCAACGTGATAATTGCGATTCGTATTTATGTGTGATATTGGGCGGTGAACAAGTCAATACTAAACCTAATGGGTACGATGATCTTTAAAGAATCAATATATACATTGCGAGACGACTCAGTGAAGCGAAAACTACAATCAGAAAGGTATAAAATATTAGTAATTGTGAAACATCGTATATTGAGTTTTTCGATGGATGTTTCCTCGACTATTACCTTCTTGCATACATGTGTAATATTGGCTAATCAGCGAGATATTAACAGGAACGTAACAATTAAAATTCAGCTGGCGCTCAAGACACTTTTCCGCCCAGACGGATTCTAAGACATGGCTGTAAGCATTAGCTTGCGTGGTTTTGTCAACTTGGTTTAAATTAGTCATGGGAAGCTGCGATGTCTTAGGCATAGATTGGCTAATAGTACCTTCGAATGACAGATGTTCAAATATTTTGAATTAAAGTTTTGGACATGAACTAGTTTGCAAGAACCAACTCGCAAAAACACTGTAAGCATAAGCATAGGACTTTTTTTGAGGTCAAGGTTCTGGGGAACATTCATTGTTATTCATTTTTCGTTTCCATTTATATGCAACATCAGTGAAAAATATTGTTCATATCGATAGTTCATATGGATATAAACAGTGTTTGCTAAGTTGCTAAAACAAAAATCTTCCACTCCTCTTGGTGATAATATTCGTTGAATAACAGCCACGCTAGTTGTATAACAACTAAACTAACAACTAGTGATAATAAAACTGGGAAGTTTACCCCGGTGGCAATAATCAATCGCGCCTGTTAGAAGGTGCGTGTTCATGCGTCATTTGAAACGTACACGTTACATTATTTTAAATGTTATTTCTCACTTCTTCAATCGGCTTTAGAGAGAAAGCGACGTCGTCAGCTCTGACAAATGTAGGCCAATCGATTCGCTAATATATCTAATACGGAGGATATTGAGTTGCGGGTCAATAAGCGCAAACGAACCGATAGAACGCATTTAGTTTGTAACTGCTAGAGAAATATGAAAGAATAGTCGACTGCAGGGAAGTATGATTTGTGAAAACGAAGGGGAATTACAAAATACCGGTATTCAAATGAAGAAATACTTCAACTGAAATTGTCGTTGACAATATAGCAAATTATTTAAAATAAATTAGTTTGATAAACAAGCGCGGGAATTTTTTCGTGTTTTGAACTTCGTTTAAAGCTTTTCGAACGTTCAATTCTACAGTTTTTAGCTTTTCAGATTAATCCTTAATAAAGAAAACTTCGCAACGCTTTGTTGTGACGTGTCATATTTGGATATGGCTTTATTTTCACTCTCGCAATATAATTATTTATCCAGATTATTACCAAATTCACCTCACACAGATGCCAGAAGCGTATTGTAGACTCACATATAATAATAAAACTACTTTCTAAGACTTTTATATACTGTAATACTTAGATCTACGAAGACAGATATGTTTGGAGATGAAGAATACTGGGATGTTGAATATCCTGCAGAAGTACTATCTTCAACTACTAGCCAAGCTAATACCAACGGTAACTACAACAATGGAATTGAGTCGAACAAATCGTCAGGAAATATTGGAACATCATTTAGGTACAATAACGAGCACCACGATATATATGGAGAAAGCATTGGAAACGGCTTTGACGAAGAAGATTGGGATGCTGATCCTACATGGATTAGGAACGACAACAATTGTTCTGATAACAGCGCTGCGAAACAAACGAATGGAAAATCAAATTTCGGTAATGAATCTCTCACTACAGGGCGAAATAATTCAAATCACGGTTTTGGTGATATGGCGGGAAACGACAACAGAAGAAACTATTCGACGACTGTGACTTGTTACAAATGCGGTGAAATCGGTCATATGTCAAATAACTGTGAACATTTGCCCAAACAATTTGACGACAACCAAAGGAGGCCCCGTAGAGCTTGCTATAAATGTGGCGACGAAACCCATTTGGCTAATAACTGTTGCTCCACGGAAACTAACGAAGATCAGCGACAGAGAAAAGTTACTTGTTATAAATGTGGCAAAGACGGCCATATATCACGTGATTGTAAGAATCAAATTTCGAGTCGTAATTGTTATAAATGTGGAGAAGAAGGCCATATTGCCAGTGACTGCAACACAGCAAATTTAGATAACAAACAAAAAAATCGCCCGCCACCGTATATCCCCCCACCCCCATCAGAAGATGATGACTTAATATTTTCTGCGATTCCAACTGGAATTAATTTCAATAACTACGATTCAATACCGGTAGAAGTAAGCGGTGTCAACGCTCCCTCTCATATTAATACCTTCGACGAAGCAGAATTGACTCAAACAATTCGCACTAATGTGTTCAAGTCCAAGTACCTTACACCGACACCTGTTCAAAAGTATAGCATTCCAATCACAAACGCCGGAAGAGACTTGATGGCGTGTGCCCAAACTGGGTCGGGTAAAACAGCTGCATTTTTGTTGCCTGTCTTGTCTGGGATGATACGCAGCGGTTTACAAACAGCTCAATTTTCTGAAAGGCAAACTCCTCAAGCAATTGTGGTAGGACCTACGAGAGAACTGATTCGTCAAATCTTTGATGAAACAAGAAAATTTTCTCGTAATACTGTTATAAAACCTTTCATGGCGTATGGTGGAACAGCTATTAACAATCAACTTGAAATACTCACTAGGGGATGCAATATCCTAATCGCCACCCCTGGTAGGTTGCAAGACCTCATTAGAAGAGAAAGAATCGGACTTGAATATGTACAATATTTAATCCTTGACGAAGCGGATCGAATGCTCAGCATGAACTTCGAAACAGCCATTCGTGAATTGGCAAGCGCGCCAGGATTTCCTGATAAAACAAATAGACAAACTTTGCTCTTTAGTGCAACTTTCCCTGATGACGTACAAAAATTAGCGCATGATTTTTTAAAAGAAGATTTTATATTTTTGACCATAGGTCGCATTGGCGGTGCGTGTACTGACGTCACTCAACATGTTTTGAAAGTGGATCAGGATGACAAGCGGGAAACATTGATTGAACTTTTAAATGACGTGCCCGCTACGGGAGCAAAGACTTTAGTGTTTGTCGACACTAAACGCAATGCTGATTTTCTAGCCAGTTTTCTTTCACAAGAGGAATTGCCTACAACAAGTATTCATGGTGACAGACCTCAACGTGAACGTGAAATGGCATTACGGGATTTCACAACGGGAACCTGTCCTATTATGATTGCTACGTCGGTTGCTGCAAGAGGTTTGGATATTCCTAAAGTGGAACACGTGATCAACTACGACTTACCAAAGGAAATTGACGAATATGTTCATAGAATCGGTAGAACAGGAAGATGTGGAAATCTGGGTCAAGCGACTTCCTTTTATTGCGAATTTAAAGACGGAGGTATTGCGCGACCTCTTGTTAAGGTTCTTAGAGATGCCAATCAAATTATACCAGAATGGTTGGAAGAAAATGCCGCCAATTCTATGGAAACAAGTCATGGCGCCAACAGAGGGCGTTTTGGGGCTCGGGATGCAAGGCGTGGCCGCGGTAGGGGACATCAATTATCACGGCAATATACCCCGACGAATCGTGAACCAAGAGAAACGTTTAGTCAAAATGGATGGAATTCAGAAGTCCAATCGCAATTTGGTTCGGATCAATATGCTGAGGTTGATAGATTTAATCCTCGGGATAACACAGATTCGAATCAGACGGATATTATGGCAGGATTTGGAGAGGAATCTTGGGATTAATTACCATACACTAATTTTTTTTTTACGTGGGTGATAATGACAATATCGGCTGGTGCATTGATTTATTTTCACGCTCACCCACATCAAGTATATATATATACAGTTTGTAATATCATGTGAACGATACTTTTCCCAAATGCCGAGATGATAAATCTGCGGGATTTCCGTTTTTTTCCGTTTTTTTCCGCGGCGGTGTGGCTCAACGGGCTAAGCGTTAGGAATACGCTCGCCACCGCACCTCTAATTACTCTGCGTGGGTTCGCAGGTTCGAATCCCATGCAGGGATGGTTATGTGCGGGAGGATTGCTGGACTCCTCGCCGTCGTTGGGTGGTTCACGTAACCGCTGGTCGGTTACGGCTTCCTCCACCACCAAGTCCATGCTTCCGAAAACAAACAATACAGTAAAACTAATCCCATACCCGACTTGGAATGGTAACCGGACGAGAGGCCGTGGTTCGCCATATGGATAAGCCGTCTTATCGGTTTTCCTCTCCCCCGGGATAAATATGTAAATCCTATCCTATCCTATCCTATTCCAAGCTTTGTCAAAACCTTCAACTCATTAGTAATATGTTACTTTTCTCTAATCTATTTCTGTTTTTACACTCTGATTAACGCGACATACTTATTGATCAAGGTTATGCATGCGATGGCGTGACATCTTTCGAAATATTAACCATGCACTTGCCAGGTTTTAAGTTATGTCTAAGGTTGTTGCTTGGTAATCTTGCACTGCCAATTCCATCGTCTTCATTTTTACATTCTAATCAATTTCATGAAATTTGTGTTTGTTGTCGAAAATGTAACGATGTGATTGATAATATTCTCTGTAACTGCAATACATTTTGCAATGAATGTTTGATTATTGAGTCCTGGTCCGGGATAATATATATTTCTCTGCCTATGCTTATTAATCGATATACTTGCTTTAAAGGGTACGGACACTGTCAAGTTTAAGAGTTGTATCAACTATGCATTATTGTCAGTCAATGTGCAATTGGTACGATGATCTCTTATTTGATCTTAATCTATTAATAAGCAGGCAAATATTATTTGCCTCGATATGGTTTGATGAAATCAATTTACAAATAAGAAATCGTAAAGAGTGGGCAAATTAAAGATTCATAATAAAGAAATTCATAGACAACATGCATATTTTTATGGATCCAAATAAAGAAATAACTAGAAATGGGATAAAACTAATTTTGAGTTTCGAATAAATACAAATAATCAGCATTAAAAGCCGTGATAGGAAGATCTTTTGCCTGAAATGACTCTAAACTAAAGCTGGGATTCGACGAAAATGACTCATTTTGGCTTTAAAGATAATTGTGCGCAATTCTTTGAAATGAAAAAAAAGTTACCCCAAAAAATATGCCGCCCTGATACGACAATAAATCAGACAATCCTATCCTGAAAAACCAAATCCGCGGGCATATTGCACACATCGTGAATGGGAAGTAATGGCATGTACTCTATTTCGTAATTTCAAATGGATTATGGATTAGAAAATCCGACACATTTGAAAAGTAGACACATTTATTTCTTGTAATGTTGACACGTTAGCACGAGCGCATCAAGGCTATTATCACTGAGGCGACTGCCGATATTTTTTACAAAGTAGCCAGCACACCAGCTGAAAAGTATGTTCAGCCCCAATTGTGTATTCTGGATAGCCGTGACTCGTAAGTACTTCGTAGATATTTTCAGCACCACTTCTTTCTACACCACAAGAAAAGTCAGACACAGAAAATCCACCTGTGTACTTCGATACCGTATACAAGTTAAAATAGGTTTAGCAACGTGAAGTTATGGGCCTCCGCGAGATTTCGTTTCGGGATCCATAAAATCCGCGGGATCCGCGGAATGAAGTTGATACGTTTTGCTGAAAACGCCGCCAAAAGGGCAGCAAACAGATACCTCCTACATATTACAGTCCTGTAGTCTGAAGTAATTTTGGAATCGGGACGTAAAAAGTGGTCGAATCCAGGGATCCCAACTCCACTCTTTAGAAAATGATGCCTATTCACATTCTTCATCCCCTCAAGTGCCACCAGCTAGCTCTTTCAAGTCGTATCCGCATTGTTGGATTGATTCTGGGAACCTCAGTTCCTATGTTGCACAAATTTGCGGGCGGTTAGTGGCCTTTTTGTTGATCCATTTCCAATTTTGTTAGGTAGCTTTCGTCAATCATAACCGATTCTTCTTTTTCACCTTCTCTTTTTAAAAAATATCTAACTTTACTTTCGCCTTCGTTGTCACCTCCAGACTTTCACAGACTACAGGGATGGTGACTCCTATACAGCCCATAGGTCGGGGCCACGGTCCATCTAATTGAATCACATGGGCCATGGCCCATCAAGTTATGGGCCGCGGCCCCATAAGGAAAAATGGAATTAACTTACCAAAATTTTCAATTTTTTCAGAATTGTCAAAAAAATCGCGAGATGCCGCCAAATTTTTTTCTTACGATCAGCCATTACATAAAAATAAAGTAAAATACCAAGCAACATAAAAGGATACTCCTGTAGTATGTGTACCAGGTTAGCGTAGGACAACATTTTGTTCACATTTTTTACATTATAGTTCTATTATGACTTCGGGGACTGTTTGTGTTAGCCAAGTGAATAGTCCCTTTACACAACTTGTTGATTTGAAGGGGCCGCGACCCATAGCCTGATGGGCCGAGGCCCAATTCGATAGGCCGTAGAAGAGTCACCACCTCCACTTTTCACAGAGCTACCCTTCTACTCAATTACTGTCCTAGTTTATGTAGAGATGTCCGATTGTTTTTTCTTTCAAAGAATTACCGCCATTTCGATTTGTGCCCGAATACTTAGAAAATCGATTCTCCGTTCTCTACCTCCCCTTTTCTATCCTATTTGTTAAAGTATTATACAAACCGGCGCTTCGGGTATAGTTCTGCAAACCAGGACACAAGATGAGATCACCAGAAATATGATTAACGAGTCACATTTTTAATTTGGAATTCGGAGCTAATTTATTATTGACACATTCGGGTCATGAATTTTTTGTCAATTCGGAATCGGACCTAATCTAGTGACAAGGCGAATATGAAACTAAAAAAATGATGATCAAAGTCGTAGATAACAACGCATAGCGATGTATAGCGCGAAAAACTGTGAAGTAGGCTAAATGGAAAACTACATCTTATCAAAAAACGAACGAAATGAAAAAATAAAATTAGCATAACAGTCCAAAAATGTTTCATAAAATCAAAAACTAGCCAACTTGCTTCTGGAATGCTATTATCCGTTAAACGTATTTTATGGTAAAGTTAGGTAACGTCAACTACTTGTCACGTAATGTGTGTCAGCAATGAATTAAACAACGTCATTGGTGTCAGTATCATTTTTAACCAGACAACGATGGTCTTCTACAAAATGGCGGGTATGAATTTTGATTAATGGGAAATGACAACAAAAAGAAGACAGCGACGTCAGTCATTTAGGTCAGACTTTTAGGTGGCTTTATCTTGTGTTGCGTGGGAGTTTATGGCTTTGTTGCCTTTGTTGTTTTGGCCACAGCCACACACTTTATTTCGTTTTGAGTGTCAGTTATTGTATTGGTAGGAGCATTATAAAACCCTAAATTTCAAATCTCAAAATTCGACTGGTCACTGTTACTCAGTTTTCAAAAGGCAGAGAGGAGGCATATAAATTACCGTACCTACTTTTAGTCTTCGCGTTTCTTATTTTGTTATTTTGTTTTTAAAATTTTAATTCATAAACGTACGGTACCAGGACTCTGTATTCGGGTGCTGTTGTAGTGTAGCCAGTTCTCTAACTGTTTGCCTGTCTGTAGAATACAATTACTGAAATACAGAATTGAAATACAATTTGTACCGTACATTAAATATGGTAGGGTGTACCGGTACCTAATTGATTTCGGCGGGGCACAGGGCTAGCTTAATCTCTCAATCTGGTAAAACGGTTTCATAATACTGTAATAGCCTATGTACTTTTGTGATTAGTCGACCAGTCTAACGAAGGCAGATAGGTATCGGCAGTCCTTAATTAAATAATAACTAGAAGCTGGGTCGTAGCCAGTAATTTTCAAAGGCTGAAAAGGGGGTTCTGACATTTCTAATCGCCAAATTTAACTGTAACAGCTAGGGTGGTGTAGCCAGTCTGCGGACGATTTCATTCAAACTGCTATAAAACAAAAACCAATATTTCTAACCCGTTAATTTTTTTACCGTAGGTACATTGGCATTTATTCTACGTGTCAAACCTCGAATTAACTTTCTACTACCAGGGGTTAAAGCTATACAAACCGCCAAAGTACGACACTCTAAAGACGTATTCGCGACCGAAGGACCAGTGTGCGACCACTGTTTTCAAGCCTTGAAGATCGTTTCTGCTGCGTCGAGACTAGGGCATACGCAGCCATGCGTGAAAAAAATAGGCTTCTAATTGCATTCCTGACCGTCATATATTTTGAAACCGCGGTTATTTCGAACAAAACTCGTTAAATTATAAACAAAGCACCGCATCACAGCAATCAAACAGACAAAAACACGGTGGTCGCAAATTGGTGGACAAAGATATTATCGAGGTATTGGAAATGCGCACCCCCCTATTCCCCCTCCTTCAAATGTAAAAACGCGAAACTTTAAAGATGGTTAAAAGAAACACAACTCTACCCACCTGCCAAGTTCTATCTCTTTATCTCTTATATTTGTATGAATTTTCAAGCTTTTTCAAAAGAACAATGGGTAGTTGGCGACATGAAAAAGTGGTCCGTTTTTTTTCTTCGGTCTGGTTTTCGGTCGTAACTTTTTGTTTGTGGCTGCATTTTAGTGTAATTTCGCAGAACTATGAGGGATAAGTGGACGATAACGCGTGAGAAATATTGTCACGGTTCGTTAATTTTTTCATTATTAATTTAATCGATGGAGTTGATGGTCGCAAATAGGTCGTGGCCGCAAAGTGGGTAAGCCACCCTAGCAGGTCAGACCACAGGCCGGAAAACTTGGGTTTTCAAGAGTCTTCAGGAGGGTCTAAAAAGCTATGAAAATTGCTTTTTATGATACAGAAAAACACCCTTTTTTACATGTCAAAAATAGAGGTTTCGAACCCTTTTAGCTCACCCCTAAATAGAAGTCATAGAGTCTACCGAAAAATTTAGTAAGTAGTGCCCTAACTGCCTAAATCATTTTAATACTGGAACAACTGGAATCTTCGACCTATGAAGCTTAGGTCCGTATACTGGTAGGCTATACAGCTATATGATTTACTGTACAAAAACAGCTGACACTGTGATTGTCTCATAATATATTTTGTTAATCTTCTATCCGCTTTTAAATTGCCTCATCTCTACAGCCCCCATCATCTGGTAATATTTCCAATAAGTGTTATTTTTTCGAGAAAACAAGAGTATTACAATGGAAAGTTTAAAAATGCTTATTCCTAAACTTGACAATGAAGAGAAATGCATCAAATATTTACAAGAGGTTGGAATACTGCAGTTGAAACGAAAATGTGCGAATGGACACTCAATGAAGCTAGTTTTCGGAGGAGGAAACAAGAATCGATGGCGTTGCTCTAAAAGAAACTGTAGAAAAGAAAAAGGAGTGCGAACAGATAATTGGCTTGCTAGTTCAAGGCTGCCATATGGAGATTTAATTCGCTTTATTTTTTCGTGGTCATGTGGATTGGCTTCCGCAAAATATTGTAAATCAGAACTTGGAATGAAAAAAGACATAATAACTGACTGGAATAGATACATGGGAGAAGTGTGTCTTTGGAAACTTTTAAGAAATCCTGTTACTATCGGAGGTCCAGATAAGCATGTGGAAATAGATAAAGTATACTTCGCAAAGAGGAAAAACCATGTTGGTCGAGTTCTTCCACAACAATGGGTGTTTGGAGGAATTTGCATCGAAACCAAGGAAGTATTCATGGTATCAGTTACAGATGATACACAAAGTACTGTAATTCCACTAATAATTGATTACATACACCCTGAAACGATAATATTTACTGAAGACTGGAGTGCGTTTCGGGCCATTCAGGATGAATCACCTGAAGAAATTTCAGAATCCCAACACCTGATATTAGAAGCGGGCTATAATTTTGTGGATCCTTGCAGTAAAGACCATACCAAACATATTGAACTTCTGTGGCATCCTGCAAAGGCAAAAAACAAGAGGAAGAAGCTAGCTGGGTATTTTGCTGAATTTCTTTGGCGTCGCTCTTCTTTAGCTACACATTCTGGTAATATGTTTAATGTAATTCTTTCAGATATGGTTTCATTTCGTCCACCAACTGATTAAAAAATATATTTCGATTTTTATTCGTAAAATTTTTCTAAAAAATTATGTCATTGAATTCTATGCATTTATGTTGTTCAATACTTTCCGTTTCATTGCATTTTTTAGTATGTCAATAACAGATCAAGCTATGTTCCTACATTTATTGTGTCCATGAAGACTTGAAGCAATTTTAAAATTGCAATCGATACCATATATTGTTTTGGCCTTCACAGATGTATTGAAAGAAGTAAAAATGCCTATAAACAATTACTGATTAAAAAACAACAAACCTGGTTACGATATATTGACATTGAGAACTGACTTCATAACAAAATTGAAATTATAAAGGGACTTTACTTTACTGTCACCCTGTATTATAATGAGCATCCAAATATATTGATAATAAGTTTCTCTTGTACTAAATGAGTAATTTAAGTAACGTTGAAGATAGTTTCAATGTAGATAAAAGACAGTTAGATAAAGAAATAACTACTGCGATTAATGTGATTTATTTTGTCTGGATGTTTTATGCCCTCAGGCTATATGTTTTTTTGGACATTTTGAATTGATCAACTTAATTAGACTAAAGATGGTAGGATAGTTAGGAGTTTATTTCAATTGTTTTATAGTATTAGGAATATAGATATGAGAAAAGATTTCATATAGTCCGAATTTTCTGTCATCAATTTTACCTGTTTTTTACTTTAACGAGGTTGTGTATAAACAGAAACTATCATTTTGAATATTTGCTTATTTTTGAGTGAGTGAACTATCAATTGGATAGAGAAAGATTGTAATATGCGATTGGACTAAATTGAAACTGTTTTGTTATAAATTTTGATTTTTTGTAAATTAGTTTGGTATGTATTTTACACAGATATAAAGTATTGGCATAACTCCTATTGTTAGACTTTTGTACTTGTATATCGTTTAGTGAAGAGTAACTAATTGATTATGGTATATTTTCTACTGCGTAACAAAATTTCAGTCTTCCAGATGCAGGGAGTTATTGTATGCTATTTGCATGTTCATATAAACGTGTTACACTGAAATATAAATATTTTTCATGGAGAAGCTTATTATTCGAACTGTTGTATTAATTGAACACTACAGATATTCTTTATATAAAAGGTATATATTGATATATATGAAAATCCCTGTAAGATATTGCAAATCAGTCGAACTATATTCAATAAGATAGCGTTTTTATTCTTATTTTTTGAATTGCGCATGCGAGAGAGAATAGACATGTTTTTGTTCAAATTCATGCTTCTTCTAATGATACCAATTATCTGAAAGAATTTTCTATTACAAACTTTGTTTGCTTTCCTGGCATGCTTTTTAATGCTACTCACCATATGTTTTTATCATTCACTTGTTGCCTTTATACTGATTATTAATGATTATGGACTCAGTCAAAAAGAAACTGCTTATAATACTATATCTTACTTCCTGTTTTTTGTTATTGTAATATTAGTATGTTCGTCTAATTATGATATAACTCTTGGTGGTGCTGCTGGCTATACTACAGTTTATCAACTAGTTTTATAATAATATTCAACATGAGTTATTCAAATTACTGCCATTGAAATGATTTGTTTGCAGATTTTTGCTGCTATCCTAAAATGTTTTTGCTTTTCCAGAATCCAGCTTCTTAAGTACGTTGATTCACTACTATTTTATTTATGCTATAAAGAGAGATAAAAGAGACACAATGCCGTGGTTTACTTCATGGCCTGAATCAATAAAAAAGCGAGCATGCCGATATTTATTACAGCACTATCTTGGACAATTCCTGCAGGAGAAACTTCGCTTAGACCAGCTCAGTGTGGATTTATATAACGGAACTGGATATGTAAATGATGTTGCACTCGATATATGGGCTTTAAATGGAATGTTAGACCAGGCTCATGTGCCTATGGAAATAGTAGATGGTTTTATTGGATCAATCGTTGTCACAATCCCATGGTCTGCATTACTGAGTGATAACTGTAAAGTTGAAATTAAGGGGTTGGAAGTGACGCTTCAACCGAAGTATCGCACTGACGTAGATCATGGAAATATGACTGATTCTTTGTATAAAAGTCTTGGAAACATGACAACATCAATGCAACTTGCTGAAGGTTGCCTCAAAGAAGAAGAGGATGAAGCTCAAGACACATCTGCTGGAGGACTTTTTGAGGGACTTGAAGTTTTTGCGCAAACTATTGAAACTGTTCTATCAAAAATTAAGGTTTCATTAACAGATATGGTGATTCGCGTTGAACATTTGCCGGAAAATTCTGGAACGGGTATTGGTCTTGAAGTTCATATAGAGCGTATCGAATATTTTGACGAAATTACAATGGAGGACAAGAATGACTCTTCCCCAGCGCACGAGAAGAAACCTCAACACACTGGCGACAAAAAGACTGTTTACCAACAGGAGAGTATTACATGCAAGCATTTTCGAGCTACTGGTATCAAAATCCTTATGGATGAATTTCCAGAGCAATTGAGAACAACTCCACCTGGGTCAACTGGCAGCCCAGAAGCACGAGGTACAGAACCAATTGACATATCGCACACTGAGTTTGAAACGATGAAAATCATAGAGGAGAGACTAGATAAGCCTCAGAAGGAAACTAAATACGATGGCCCAGTTGTAATTGGAAAATTTTTTGGCTGGCAAGAGGTTAAACTTCGTATTCGGCAAAGTGAACATGTATCTGCACCGAAACTTGATGCTGAATGTTTTTTTGGATCCTGCAGTATGTTCCTTACACCACACCAAGTCCATCTATTAGCGGAATTTGCAAGTGGAATTGCTACTCCTGTTTCAGTAAGTCCCGACCCCCAAAGAGATGAATTTCTATCAATGCAGACAAATAATTTCGCAACCTGCCATGATGGGATTAAGTTATCACCTACAAATGCAATGACCTCACCGTCGGATAAGGACAAAGAAGAGATAAGAAAGCGTAATCGACAAAGAAATGAAGATCTTTATTTGGCGAATCCGCCTTATCAATATATTGATGAAGGAGATCAGTTCTTTTCGATGGAAGGTTCAAAATTGTATTCACATGTTCCCCAAGAAGCAGCAGAGTATGAAAACAGTGAATATGGGACTTCTATTTATAGTCAATCAACAGGTTTTACGCCATCATCTGCTTATACTAACCGTTCTAGAATGACACCCATGCATCCTTCGTCGAAAGTAATGGGTGGAGGCCATCACCATTTTGGCACAGAACATGCTCAGTCAAAATACAATGGTTATGGTACATCTCCACATGGTCTGAGACGACATCACTCAAGTCGCAGTGAAGAAGATAAAACAACTTCGAACCATTGTCATTATCAGTTTCATATCAGAGCAATGGCAGTCACGGTACTTCATATAAATCCCCTGCCGCCATCAGCATCACCCACGCATTCCCATAAAGTCGATTCGTCCTTAACACCTCAGCCAAGTTTAGAGAGCAATGTGGATTCTTCTCATAACAGTATGACAAACTGCCATGTTGAAATGTCAAATAAGTATTATGCATTGTGTGAAACCCTCCTTGATGAAACGCTCAAAGCCAACAAAAATATAAACACTTTAAGAAGTGATTTAGCTTCAGTGTGTTGTCCACATGATCATCTTCGTTTCACAGCAGCACATATACATCTTGACAGTGAGCAAAAAACATCTCAAACATCCAGCAGTGAACTTTCATTTGGTAAAGCTGAAATTACTGAATGTTTGTTTATTGATGCTCCCAGAAAATCTTCTTTAAAAAGTGGGAAAACGAAAAGCTCTCCAGTGCTAAAGAAAAAGGTTTCTGTTCATTCTGAAATTCTGGTGTTTGATCCTAAACCTTTTGCCGGTGGTTTGGTGAAAACCGCACAATCGGAATTGTCACCTGATATCAAGATTAGTATAAATAATTTTGATAGTCATCGATCTTCCAAAACAACATTGCATGTTCATCTCTCTGCTTGTGAATCTGAAGTTGATATTAGCATTGTAGATCGATTGAGCACACTGCTTTATCCCCCTGATTCAATAACGAAAGCACAATCTAATGCCGCAAGTATGTTCTCACCTACAAGCTATGCTCACAGTCTTCCTGATGCTTACAGCCAGCAAGCAGCTTTCAATGAAGCTCTTTCAGAGGATAATAAGGATCGTCAATTAAATTTGAACATCTCTGCATCATTTTTGAAAATCAATTTCCGATTTCCAATCGCAGATTTGAGACCGGAAATGGAGCGACGACCATGGTACAATCGTTCATTACGAGATGAAACACTTATTCTGGAAGCTCATGACATTGCTTTCCTAACTTCTTCGCTTGGATCAGGTGGACAAGTAGGATCTCGTTCTGGACAGAAATGGCAAACTCATAGCTCGTCGAGCTCACAGCAAAGACAGGAATTTGAAATCACAGTAAAGGATTTACACGTTCTTTACTCAGATGAACCAGAGAAGCCTAAATCATTTCTACGCATTAGTCAAAGTCCATCTGTGATCGGACCCTTAGGAGGTCATGTTGATGCAAACAGTGGGATGGATTATCCACATATTAAAGTAACAATAAACCCAAGTCATGAAGAAAGCAACAACGTTCTTCTACAAGGTAACACAACTTTAACAGAGCAACCATCACCAACTAAAAAGAAGTTTGAAAATTCCGACGACCCTTGGTTGGATGAAGAATTCATGTCTGGCTCACATAATAGCTCTTCTGATGCAAACCCTTCTCCATTTTCGAAGCGTAAAGTTATGTACAACAGTGAAGAAATGATTCTTCCTGGAGATTCGTCTGAAATTTCTGCATTTTCTGATCATGCAATTTCAACATCCCTCATTTCAATCTCTATTCAGCTTCCCGCAGTAAATGCTTTTCTTGTCTCAAAACCATTTTTTGAAAACTTATATAATCGTATCAATAACGACATTCTACTGTGGGCTCCGGCTGCTCCTAGACCTCACGGAAAATCAAAGAATTTGTATGATTCTAGATCAGTGTCATATCTATCAGGAAGCACTTTTCAAATCCCTGATAAGGGTTTAGATATCGCAAGTCAGCTGTTGGTGAACAGTGATGAAATTGATGAAAACATGTCAAGCTCTTGTTCAGATTCTGATGACACAAGTACAAATTACTGCAGAGCTTCTTTACTTGGAGCTTCAAGGCGAACTGTCAAGTCTGTCAATGAAAACGGAATGTCAGTTGGAAAACAGAGCCTCATCTCTATCAATACTTATATAGGATGTGGCCGATTATCTGCGAAGTGTAACTATATTTGCCCAGATGGGTCTGTATCTAACTCCGTACATGGTGAAGTCGTGGTTATGTTGAAAGATGCAAATATTTTCAATGTTGCCAGTTATTGTGGAAATCCTTTGCTTGACTATGTATGTATACAAATAAAAAATTTCAGTCTTTTTCATAAAGCTGATGTTCCAACATTAGGTGCTGTTCTTCCTCCTGTTGAGAGGTTGACTGCAGACGCACCAACTCATTTGGACAAAGTTTTAACGAATTGTGAAGAGGGAATTTCAAGCACATTCAGTGGAAAACAAAATCAAGAAACACAGAATATGATAGTTTTAGCGATAAAGCTTCAAACGGAAGAAGCCCGGCCATTGAAACAATGCCTTCTGGCTGCTGGAATCAACGGTGTCACACTACATCACAGATTCACAAAACCAGGACAAAGCTGGCTGGAACAAATAATGGATTTAGTAGATGCAACAGATGACCAAGTTTTGGGATACAAACCTCCTTCTTTTATCACAGAAATTCATCTTAATGTCAAAAACTCTGCAGCGATATATAGACCAGTAAACATGTTTCCTCCAGTGAGCGCTGTTGTTACCGCAACATCATTTTCTTTGTCTTCAAATATTGTTGCAGGGGCACCCATGTCAGCTTTGAATATTATCATTGATGAAGCTAAAGTATATATCACGGATCAACAAAATATGTCCTACGTTGATCTAGTTTACGATTATGCCTGCGTCGTAGATGTTAATTTCTTTGATATGTGTTTAAAATTACGCAATGAAAACTCGAACAATGAAACCGGTGATGGTAGAAATGACAATGAACCTCTGATCGATTTTCAAGCTTCGAATAATATTATCATGCTAAGAACTTGTGCCGATTCTTGTGCTGCATTGGGTGCTTTGGTTCAATATCTTGCTGACGATGGAGATTTAGCAACAGGACTGCAAGATGACGATTCTATTTCTGATTATCAAAGTCAGGTTGATATGGGTTACACTGAACAAAGTCAGCAGCAAAACGAACCGAGCGAATCTTTATATGAAAACGAACAAAATGAAGAAGAAGACGATGTTGCTGATCAAATCACTGATGCAATGGAGGAATTTTTTGAAGACGCCGTTTCAGATTTTAATGTTTTTGAGGCGAAACCAAAATCTGCGATGACGGAGTCAATGTATGCATTTTCATCTAGTTCTGACAAAAAAGAAAGACATCGTCCAAGCAAACATAATGATATTATGTCTCAGTCTGTCATGATGCCAAATGATTTTAACAAGCGAAAAGTCAAAAATCGAAAAACTGATGTTTTTGCAAGACATTCTGGCCAAGATTTTTATTATTCTGCTTTCCATAAACCCGGTGTTCGTCACGATTCCGAAACTCCCAATGACGATGATTTTTGTATAATTGAAGATGATTTCGGAGTTTCACAGAGAAACAGTGAACCTGAGATAGCCTACAGAAAGTGTGATGGAGATTTTGATGAAGACACAACTCACATTACCTTGGTAGAAAACCACTTCAAACCCACTGGGAAGATTGATCAACTACAGCCACCAGAACATTTCCCTTCTCCTGTCATGCGATACACTTTGAAGGAACTATCATGCATATGGTATATGTACGGTGGATCTGATTTCAAAACCCAGGATATTCCGTCAAGAAAAAATAGTGGTGCAAGAGCAAAAGATATTCCTGTGCAACAGCAATCTCCTAAATCAAAGATTTCATCCTCGATGCACTATAATGCAAGAAAAAGAACATTAAGCGTTGGTAAACAAGGTTCTTCTAGAGATTCAACAATGCTGATGGAAGTCCATCTTACCAAAGTACGTTGTCAGTTTGAGCAATATCCTGAAGATACATTTGAAGCAAATAGAACGGTTCTTATTATTTCTGATTTTGAAATTAAAGATAAACTTCAATCTTCACAGATAAATAAATTCTTGTATCGGTTCCATAGTGAAGCAAGTCCTAGACAAGCTCATGCCAAAGCTTTACTTGTGAAAGTTTTACAAATTCGTCCAGAAGGTGCAGGAACCCCAACTGAAAGCAGATTACGTATTTCATTGCAGCCTTTGCGACTTAACGTTGATCAAGACACACTTAATTTTTTAACCAAGTTTTTCAGTGATATTTCTTCAGCTGCGAATGATGAAAATGGTTCGCCATCACACTGGATTGCTCCTATGTCAGCGTATGAGACAGCAGTTGGGTCACCTCCTTCAGGACAAAATCACCCAAGTCCCAAAAACTATGGCACTCCTTACTCATCACCCATAATGACACGACCAAAACCTCAGGGACCAAATTTGGCCACAGGAACACCCCCTGACAATAATACAATGTTAAATGGAAGTTCTCCTTCTGTCAAAAGTGGTGGAAGTTCTGATAGAAGCGCCAGCAGTTTTCCTACTTTGCAGCCAACATTTTTCCGAGAAGTTATATTCTCACCTGAAGTACCGATACGTTTGGATTATCATGGTAAACGAATTGATACAGAACAAGGAACAATATCTGGTTTATTGATGGGCCTGGGTCAACTGAACTGCTCACAACTAAAATTAAAACGAGTAGTGAATCGCCACGGTGTTCTAGGCGTGGATAAGCTTATCACATACTTGTTAAACGAATGGGCTGCTGATATCAGAGCAAATCAACTGCCTTTGATATTAGGTGGTGTCGGCCCAATGCATTCTGTGGTACAATTATTCAAAGGTGTCAGAGATCTGGTATATTTACCAGTTGAGCAATATCGAAAAGATGGCAGAATTGTGAGAGGATTGCAAAGAGGTGCAACTTCATTCGGAACATCAACAGCTATGGCCACTCTGGAAATTACTAATCGTGCGATCGGATTGATTCAATTTGCTGCGGAAACTACATACGAGCTCGTCTCTCCAGCTGAACTTTATAGACGTGAGATGTACGCGCAACGTAACTGGCGTACACTTGGGAACCATGCAATACGTCGACAACCCGCTGATATCAGAGAAGGAATGAACAATGCTTTAACTGTTGTTAAACATGGAGTAGAAGACACAGCTGGGGCTATAGTTAGAGTCGCACAACAGGAGCATGGAAGAAAAGGTGTCACAGGTGCTGTTGGAGGAGTTTTGAGACATATACCTCCTGCATTGGTTCGACCTGTCATAATGGCAACAGAGGCAACTACAAATGTCCTGAGTGGAATAAGAAACCAAATTCAACCAGATGCAAAACAGCAAGATGAAGATAAATGGAAAGACATGAACTCTCAAGAAATTTTGTAGGTTTATAAACATTAGTAGTGAATTCAGTCACAAATTATCCTATTAATTTAGTATCTCCACTTTACAATTCGATAATCCATCTTTTGAAAGGAATCATTACACCGATACTTAGTGTAAACTTTGGCATAGGACATTTTTTTTTTCAAACGAATAATTCAAAATGACAAATAGCACTTTCCACCACACATGCCTGAGAATCAATTGACCATATATAGCAGCTCAAACTAATTTCCTTAAAGTGTTAAAAAACGAGTGTTCAACGGTACAAAATCACTATTTCATTTGATGTATGAACTTCAACCGGTATTATTTGCTATTTAGACAATATAAATGAAGAGTGCGTAGTAGTAAACTGCATGGTGCTAATATTATTTTATTTTGCTCTATGTACTCTGTATAAATTTTACAAAAATCTTGATCTCATTACAGAGGGTACCACTTCTACTAGATTTTGTATCACCACAAACATAATTTGTGAGACAAAGAACCTGAATTAAATCAAATCATTGCATATACGGGTTGTATTGATAAAATGGATGCTTCAACCAAAATATACGAAATTTGAAAAAAAAAATTTGAGAAGAATAAGGGAATGTCAATTTTTCATTTTCTTAACTTTTTATTGAGATACAATGGTGAATATCGCTATTCAATTAGAAATCAGCTTGAAAGGAAATCCTTTTTTGTAATTTTTTTCAAATAAAATTTTTTCGAAATTTCTTTCAACCTTTGCCCCTTTGTCTTGAAACTCTTGAAATAGTGTGTGTGATGGTATTGAAGTCCTAAGAGTGGAACGCTTTTGGTTACTCTGTACATTGAAGTATATTTATCGCACTGTGTAATGTATATATTATCAATTTGTATAAATGTGCAATTATTTTAATAACATTTGTTTATCCTGTCTTTATTGTTGTTGGTCATAATAATGTTTTCTTGTTTTCGTTTCCCTCGAGGATTTTAGCTTTCCGAATATTACCATTAGTGCAGACTTGTTTAGAGTGAATGGAGATATTGAATCTTTCATATTTCTCACCATCATTGTTACAAACAGCAAATTTTTTGAGCTAAGGAAGATACTTTTCATTTTGAGCAATGAAATCAGTAATACAGTAGATGATAAAGACCAGTTGTTCTCAACCTTTTTTCTTTCTTGACAATTAACTTTTGAGGGGAAAACTACAAAAAAAGAACTATAAACTCTTTCCGCATAAATGAGCAGTTTTACTTTATGAATCCTCCAAAATCTATCATTTATTATGTGAATGTATTCTATATTGACAAAGTCAGTTATATAGTTTTGACCTATTTTTCATCAGTTATATAGTTTTGACCTATTTTTCATGTATTTGTATGACCTTAATCTACCTTGTACTAATTGGTCTATTTGGGTCAGTTTTCAATGTCAGTTCCACTTTTCACGAAATAGAAGAAAAGTCATAAAGAATTCATGTAGCCTACATCAAAAATATAGAAATGGAACATTTACGATAATCCACATTTTAATTCCACAGTGACAAACAATGGCATTTAAAAAATCCATATTGAGTGTATTTATATATTTGATTGCTTTAACAGCTATTATTATAATTCAGTGTGATCAATTGGGCCTTCGTTTATTTCTTTGTTTGGGCTTAGACAGTCTTCGTACAAGGTATGGCCCAAACGTAATGCTTCATTGTTTTTGTTTATGTTCATTGCTCTATCCTTTGCTATAACTAGTTCTTCTTGTGTTTAGTCTTTTTCTAGTATTTTGAACAAGTGGCTTCTATTGTTCATTATACTACTATTCTAGATTTAATTTTAGGTCTTAGAGCGATTGGAAAATTTGAACTTGCATTTGTTTTAAATTCCTATTCATAATTGATCATCGATACCAATTACCGAGCTCAAATCAGCCATCATTTTTTCAATTTAATGTCATACCTTTAGTATAAAATTTTCCAAGGAATATTTGAAGGACGCATGTTACAATTATATATCATACTAATTTACTGCCAGGCAATTGGGCAAGTTTTCACTCCATCTTATTTTTCATATCGTGGTGCATCTTGTTAATAGACGAGCTATTATTATTCATAGCTTATTATTATTTTTGTAATTCATCCCATCTCAAAGCAGTTTTTCCATAGCACACCAATGGCATTAATTCTGAACTGAGAGTAGCCTTTTCCGTATTAAAAAAATATAGATCAGACTGGAATGATAGTCCAAATTTTTGGGTTCCTAAATGATGAAGATAACCGTATATTGATTTTTGATTTAATAATGTCTTTTTCAAAGTGAAAATTCCCACACAGCGTATTTTGAAATTAATTTTTTACAGTTGAATATCGCAAATTTGTGTTCGTATTGTTTTCAGTTATTGCAAATATTTTGGGCAAATTTGCTTCAGTTTTTACTATCATACTTTATGAATATTTCCATTTGTTGTGAAGAAGTGAAGAATTGTTTTTCATTTTCTGAATATGTACAAATCATACATTTAGCGAAGGCCTAATTCTTGTGATCGGTAAATTTTTCTTTAATATGTGCCTCATCTCTGACTGTATATGCCGAGATTATTTGTTGAAAAGTTATTTGAATAATAAAGATATCATTTCTGTTTTATTATCAGGTTTTAATTAATTAATTAGTTAATTTTGCTGTCTCGTTCTCACCAAATTTAACTATCATCATGTCTGTACATAGTGTGGATCATATGGGACCTCCTGATATTGATGATGGTTACCGTGGTTACGACATTGATGAGGAAGGTCAAGTTGTGGAATTCTACGATCACACAAATGAATCGAGCGTCCATGGTGGTAACAGTGGAATTAGTGGATCTAAACGATTGTTGGCGGACCCACCTCCTGCTCAGAATATAGCTGCATCACGCAAAAGAGCAGTTCGTAAAAGTGCTGGATGTTGTTCTAGTTGTGTCGGATGCTTGATTACTATTGGTAAACTGCCGATTGCATCTGCCATATGCATGATATTGATGTGGGTTGGCACAGGAATGTTTATCGGTGGAGGGTGGGCTGTTCTGGACGAAACACAAGCACTTTATCAACGATATGGTCCAACAAATGGAAACCCAGCACGAGATCCACCACCAGAATATTTCTTAGTTGGCGGTGGACAAAGCAGTCTCGATAATCGCTATGAACTACGGAATCCTGAGGATCTTGGAAACAGAGTTCCTGAAGTGTTTCTCGGCATCAAACGATCGTTTTGTGGCATTATTGCTTTTATGTTCGTTTTTTCCATTATTGTTGTGGTTGATGGTTCACGGAGCACTCATGAAATTCATTCTTCTACTAGAGGTTGCAAGAGCTCAAGCGCTGGTGTGTGTTGTAGTGTTTCTATCATATTCCTGTCCTATGGGCTTTTACTTGGATGGGTGTTCTGGCTCTGTTTTGCGACACTCGGCGTCTATTATTACAGAGTAGTCATGCTTCGATGCGATGATATGGAACATCGTGGATTTTCTGAAGGTGTGAAGAAAGATATTTGTCTCGATCTTGTACAGTTCGGTATCGTTATGTTTAAAAACACAAATGATCAAGATTTCGGAAAAATTTGCGGACCAGGAGACAGCAGTAGGCGCACTGTCGGACAACTACAAGATTATTGTGACAACTATTCCCACGCCTGGCAACTTATGCTCGTTTGTTTCTCTGGAGCTCTTCTCAATATAATAGCTATGATGCACTCATTAATGATTGTCACTGGAAACTACAACAACCTTCAGAGACGATACATGAGACCGCGGCAAAGCAGGGCCCAAACTGTAGCGTCTTACTCCCCTGCAATGACCCATCGTACAGCAGTTAGCAGCAATGCTACTGCTCCTCCATTCGTGGTTGGAACAAGAAATGGATCTAATGGAGAATACAGGTAAAATTCATAAATGTGTTTTTAAAGCATAAACAGGTTTGCCTATTCAATAAACCTGTTTTTCCATACATTGTCACATTTTTCATATTGGGCGGGGCTATGTAAAGCTGTCACTAGTTTCTGAAAGGGATAAAAATCATTCCAGTTCGGCGTGGGGTTTGACTTCCATAGTGAAATGACAAACTTTCGAAATAGATAACTAATTCAAACTAAGTATTCAAATAGTCGATATGTTTTAATAAACATTGATTATATTAGATTAAGTTGAGATTTATTTACTGGAGTATAATGAATTCACTCACAATCCAAGGTTACTCTGATATGTTCTTTATAAAATATTTATTTGAGTAATCGGTGGTTATTGCACGCATTCTAGTAAAGTCAAAACAAGCTTCACAATTTCGACAGGTTTCCTTTCAATTTGTAATTTTTCTATCTTAGAAGGCGTCGTTCAAAAGATATTGAGATGGATCACTTTGATGATGATGGAAGAATGCCAACTTACGACGAAGCGGTAGGAACACCAAGTGCCTCTTACATTCCACCGCAGAGATTCCAAAAAGATAGTCATGTTGGTGTAGATTACTATTACAAAAGATACTAAGCAATGCTTTTATAGACCTCAAAGTTTGGTCACTTCCATTCTTGTATATAATTTGATCAAATGTTTCTGGAACATGCAACTTATATTGCAAATTTTGATAAACATGTTACGATGAGCACTCAAATATATTGCATCAATGTTTAGTACATGTGTTTGTTATACACATACTGCCAACCTGTCATTCCTTCGATGACCAATTTTTTAGTTTTATAATACATCTAATTTTTATCCAGTTTCTGATCATGCTTTTAATATTGCTGTATTTTATTAAATTGAATATTCCCCCGGAAAAAATCAAATGAGCCAGATAATAAGTCAACCATCAGATGGAAAAATCAGTAATTTCGAAATCACCGTTATCTTTCTTTTAATGTTACTATTGTAAAGAATACAATTTTCAACTAGGTGCCATTATGATTTTAATAATTTTGTGACATCCTTGGTATTAATTTTTCTCTGGAAGCAGGACATACCCCTTTTGTACACTTTAATACAATGAATGTATTCTATTACATACAAAAGCTGGTCTTAGGATACATATTCTTCACTGATTTCAATTTTCCTGAACAACTATTATCTGTTGCAAAATTTAATCAATAATTGTCCTCTGTGAATTATTTGTATTTTCAATTTCATATTGCACTGCATTTTTTCATTGCAACTCATTTCATATATTGCTTTATATCTCATACTGATACACTTTATATTCCACACTCCTTATCTGGATCTTCATATTGCATAATATCCTGAGTAGGGATGTTAGGCGTTTCAAATGCTTATTTTCTAATTTGTGAACTTATCTAGAATGAGAGCAGCTTCAACTTTTCATATACTGTGTTTATTTTAAACATTGGTACTGTTTCATTTTGCTTACTGAATTGTGATGCTTCGAGTTTCATATATTTTATCTGTTTATAGTTTCTTAGATTAATAAAAGTGCTGAACATTGTGCTTTTTAATAGTTTGATCTATTGTCTGTAAGCTTTACGCTTTTTTGCTATTAATGATGCTTTTCTTTATGTTACTGTTATAATGAAATCTGATGAGATTTTCACAAAATATGGTTCAAGTGGGCTTCTTAAATTATTTTCGAATGTTGAAAAATGAAGCACTGATCAATACGTATGTACATTATTCGCACCGGTTAATAAAGACGCATGACCAATTTTTGAGAAAAAGGAGATTTAAAGTGCGCCTCATGGTCTGAGAAACACGGTATAAATATATATATAAAATAACTTCCAGTAAGGTACTTTCGTCACAAAAATATTGCTGAAATGATTGTTTTATAAAGCATATTACTCTACACATTACAATATTTAGGCTTAGAACTTTACATTCTCATTTTACATGATCTTGGATTGGACCCTCGAGTATTGTTTATTTTGGGATCCCTTACACAATATTTATTGCCAGATAACTAAAATGGCCAGGCCAAATTCTTTGTAACTCGACATTGTTGTTATGCATAGTGTTTTTGCTAATAGACACTCAATCCCAATATTATATTGCAACATCTTGCATTGTGTTTGCTAGTACATTGTTTGGTTTATTTTACTATTATTTTTTATGCTTAATTATGTTTCACATAATAATCTGTCTATCACCCACCTATGATCCCTATATCTGTAATCAATACTCCTCTACTAGTCACAATATGCCAATTCTCTGAACACGGTATGATTTTTAAACATAATATATTCTGCAGTTCAATTTGTTTATTACAGTAAATCAGGCGTTCCCAAGCTCTTTTCAGGACGACCCCAAGGACAACTTTCACTTGTCCAGTGCGACCCCAGGTCAATATATATATTTTTCCACAGGACTTTTGAGTTTGGTCATTTGGTGGTATTAAGTAAAATATGCTAAAACCAAACAGTGATGTCACAAAAATCACCTACATTTTTCATAGCATAAGCATTGAGGGATGCCTATGGGCCTGTTTTACAGTAAGCCATGGTACAAACTGCTAAATTTAACATGGTTTCTTCAGCGACCCTACCTTCTTATCACTCCGACACAATTTGAGGTAGCGACCCCTGGTTTGGGAACCCCTGCTGTAAATATTGCTGATAAAATAGTAATAATAAAACCAAACATTGTACTTGCTCTTTATTTGGCCTGGATTTCACATGATTATGTGTGCCTTACTATTTCTAGATTATATCATTTTTTACTGATTTCTTGTTGATAATTTGTATAATACACAACTGATAACACCGCATGTCGTTTTGCTTCCATACATAATCAGTGAAGGTCTCTCAATCCTGGAGTAAACAACAGCAAATATAGACAAAATTCTTTTATTATCTGCAATATTATAGTAAATCAATTGCATTAGCAAAGTGTTGTATTTGGCTTTCACTGAATCCCTCATGAAAATAATTGTTTTTCTCAACATCATTTGAGGGAAGATTGTCAATAAAATTTTCCGCAGCCTCCAATCTATCACTAGACAGATCTTTCCAAAGCATTGTCTTATCTTGACCAGGCATCAAACCTATGGGAAGACCACCTATATCACCCTTAAATAACGTCCACGAACTTGGATTATCAATCACAATAGTTTCGTTCTCCAAAAATTCTGTAGTTTGAATTTCACATGACCGAGTTTCTGCGATACAATTTTCTATTGTGATCAGAAAATCTTGTTCATTTTTAGGGTCAAAAGGTTTTTCTTGTAATATATCTAGATTTGAAACGGACAATGCTTTTTGCACGAGGTTTGGAGGGACATTTGCTAACACCAATTTTTTCAAAACTTCCAACCACGTTTCATTTGGAAACTTACAGCCATTGCAATTACTAAACAAAAAATTGATCCAAACATTGCATACAGCGGATGAAACAAAAGAAAACTTAATTTCATCACAAAACCGCAACAAAAAAGAACCAAAAATATTCCATTTCTTTAAAAAATCGAAGATTTTAACATATATATTTTGAGCCCATGATGAAATTTGTAATGTCCGACAATTGATTCTGTTATATATATTACAACTTTCAGAGCCTGTTTGTAACGGAATAAAATTAAAGTCCAGCAGAATCTCACACAGTCGTTCAGCCCTGAGTTTTCCATTTTGCTTTACAGAAATAATTGAATTGAGCTCAGGCAATGTTTTACTAGGAGTTGCTCTTTTAACAGCTTTTGTGAAACAATTTCTGAGAACCGCTACAATATCTCTATCTATTGAAACAACATCTTCGCCATTATTATCATCATTACTAGTCATTTTAATTTGTTTCTCGTGTAGTTTCTCCCAATGCACGGTCTTGAGCCACTCGAATGCAAATTTAACACCCTTGTCCAACATCAAGAACGATGGGACAAAACCATGTGCAGCTTCATGACGCAGATTCACAATCCATTCCGGTATTCCCATTTCTTCACCCCTCACATGAATGGGGGTGTGATAACCCGTAGTTTTAAGACTTCGTTCAGTTAATAAACCAACAAATTGCGACAGAGCTGTCGACATACATTGTCTCTTTGTCATAGTATTCGATCCACCTTCATGTAAAAAGCATTCAAAAAGTTGTGCAGTTGCTTCGATTGCTACAGGTATCCTGCCAGCAAACCTCGCTCTCCATATAGAAATCTGATTCAACGCTGCTCGGATTTGATACCGGTCGCCATAAAATAAGTTAAAGTAAACTGCTTCCCATTCAGATTCATCGGCCCATCCAACTACTCTCCAAGTTGTCATATTGTTATATATATTTTCTGGAAAATGCACAGAAAATTGATAATTGCATTCAAAAAGTGTACTAAGGCAATGTAATTTGACACAAATAAGTAGGTGCAACGTACAATAATACAAAAAAGGTCAAGCATGTGTAAACATAGAAAATGGCAAGAAAAAATTATCTACTAGATTGGATATTGCTCAAAGGATAATACACAAAACAAACACAGTTTTCCCTGATTAGAAAATAGCTACAGTGTCTGACACTTATTACTTTATAAGTATAATTACAAAAGTTAATATCCAATCATTTAGTCTACCGGAATTAAATTCATGTGTTATATATGAAATAAACTTAGTCACAATAATGTAAATGCTATGCAAATAAGAATATACAAGGATATCATGATGTCCCTATACCAATATGATTTCAAAAAATTCTCTACCAATCTATATTAACTGGATATTTTCCATTTAGACACGCCACACAGTGGCCATATTCTGAACAACCAGCGGATTTTTCATTTGAGGATAGACTAGATTCTTCTTCTTTATCTGAACTACAGCCGTTGTGTTTGTTTTTAGTCGTTATCCCTGATTGGACAGAATTGACCAATCCTGTTAGAGATAGATAAGCCAGACTGTCTGCATCAAATAACTTTGCAATCTCATCAACAGATAAACTGTTTGCAATTAGTTCTTTTGGTGTTGGTATATTTATACCCATATAACATGGATGGCGTATAGGTGGAGATGCAATTCTAATGTGAACTTCTTTAGCTCCACCTTGACGCAACATTTTGACAATCGGCCCCATCGTGTTACCACGAACAATCGAATCGTCTACCAAGACAACACGCTTCCCCTCTAAATTTTCTCGTAAAGGTCCAAATTTTTTAGATACTGCAAGTTGACGTAGCCTCTTGCTAGGCTGAATAAACGTTCTGCCAATGTAACGATTTTTAGCAAGAACTTCAACAAACGGCAGTTCAGACTTGGCTGCATAGCCAAAAGCTGCAGGTGTCGCACTTTCGGGAACTGTGCTTACAACATCCGCTTCCACAGGAGCTTCTATCGCAAGTTGGACTCCACATCGGTAACGTGCACTATACACCATTTGTCCTTCCAATACAGAGTCCGGACGAGCAAAATAGACATATTCAAATATACATAATGCTGGATTTCCTTGGTCAGGCCTTGGCACTTTGCCCAGCACAGAAACACCATTTTGCGTGAGTTTGATAATTTCCCCAGGACCAACTTCATAATGCAAATTCGCACCAAGAGAATGAAAAACACAAGATTCTGATGAAACTACCCATCCTTCCACCTCATTGTCACTGGGAGAAACGAGTTTCCCAACACAGAGTGGTCGATTTCCATAAGGATCGCGTAATGCATAAATTTCATTGCCATTCATAAGCAGCAATGAATATGCTAAAGGTGTTTTCTGCATCAAAAACTTTATCCTTGAAAGCCAATCGGGTCCAGAAGGCTCACCATCTTTTGGAGGAAAACATAAAATTTGTGTTATAACTTCACTATCTGAAGAGGATGACAATCCTATCCCCCATTTTAAAATATCTTCGCGTAATTTGTTTTTATTCACCAGTTCACCATTATGAGCGACTGCAATTTGTCCATGCATAGTATCAACAACAAAAGGTTGACAGTTCTGAAGTTCAGACTTGCCTTGTGTAGAATAACGAGTATGTCCAATTCCAAGATTCCCATTAAGTTTTGACAAGTTGTCTGCATTGTATATATTGCTAACAAGTCCCATCCCTCTGTGCACGTTAAAAGTATCACCAGACTCTCCGCTTCCAGTGACGATTCCTGCACTTTCCTGACCTCTGTGTTGTAATCCCACCAGAGCAAGAGATATAACATTGGCAACATCTAGTTGAGAAGGCCAAGGACCTGACGAAATACATCCAAATACCCCACATTCATGAGTAAGTCCCATATGATCATCATACTGGCTTTTTTCTCCACCATCACAAGAAGATCCGCTTTGCTCAAAACCAGACGTCGACATCTGGCAGTTTTGGCACAGCGTGTCAAATATTAGTATTTTGGAGATTATATACTGTATATTTTTTGATGATATATTAGATATAACAGCAATGTAAATTTTTATAATTCTGTAATTTGAATAAATAAACAGAACACATCAGACTTCACAGTTTAGGCTGGTGCACGGAGTAAGTCGGTAGAAACTACTTTATATACCGCACTCTTTTTATACGGTAGTTCTTTTAAATTGAATATGCACAAAGGTGTTGAATATTTTGCGGTTACTTAGTTTTCGACAACTCGCGTTTCCTTAACTTTTTACCCGAAAAGATAGAGTCACTAAAATACAGTTAGGCGCAGTATGAAATACATTTTCTGGCCAGACCGGACCCAAGGATTCAGATATTCAAGTTTTGTATACGGACCTTCAGCAAATATAGTTCAGTAGCCCTGGACTAGGCCTATACACTGATAGTCTATGTCTATACAAAAATTCACCGAATACAGGAATATTTATCTGCATTGAAATATCATACTTCTGTGTGCCTGTACTCAAATACCGGTATATGCATTACCGGTAACGGGACATACCTACTTTCGAGGTAGAGTTATATCAGTACCGGTACCGGTAGGTACCGTCTATTTGATTTCTGTACAGCTATACCTGTACACCGCCAACACCGGTACCGGTAGGATAGGATTTACATATCTATCCCGGGGGAGAGGAAAGTCGATAAGACGGCTTATCCATATGGCGAACCACGGCCTCTCGTCCGGTTACCATTCCAAGTCGGGTGTGGGATTAGTTATATCAGTATATTGTTTGTTTTCGGAAACATGGACTCGGTACCGGTATAGTCTACATATGTAGTATATCGTACATGTTTTCTATCAATATTATTTCTCAGTACGGTATCCTGTCACAGTTCAATTGAAGGTTTGATTGCTTTGGAAAATTTTCAAGTCGTTTTATACCAGAACAGTGTTCTTCACTTAGCGCTTTGGCAAAGCAGCGCTCGAACGGTAAATCAGCATGAATCCGAAAATCGCGCATTCAGTCTGCGAAGCAAATGTGGGTATTTTCACACGAAACACGTGTTCACACGCTGTTATTAAATAGCGGCGTAAACAAAGAGCGACAGAGCACAATAAAAAAAAAATTGGAACCGAGATTGGTGATCCCGAGAAAGACTATTCAAATCGAAAGAAGGAAGGGCTCTTAACTAAAGGCACATTATTGAATTCGACGGCTCATTCCGTTGTACAAATCAGGAATGGGTTTGCCAGTTTGATACAGATCAAGAAACCGCTTCAAACCTAGGAACGATCGCAACAACATGACTTGTCAATATTGTGGGCGAAGGCATGGTCAAGGATTAGCCTAGGTTGACTATGCCTGATAACTAAATATTAATGTAATGGCCGACCAATATAATTTCTGACGGGTGTTTTTTTTGCAACCAGCCTGAACTGTAAAACAAAAAATGCTGCCTATATGTCAGAAAATATAGTAATTACCCTCCTGTATCCCAACTTTGGTAAAGTTCGGTGATCAATCAATTTGCAGTTATTTTGCAAACATGAGTTTGAAATAAAAGCTGACCAATCCAAACATGTTTTTGACTAGATACGGAAAGGAAAATATCACAATGCTTGCATATGATACCAAAAAACGGCATTTTCTCCGTATGGCACTTCCTCCGTTGTGAAGATTTTGAAGTCTTACACCGAATGTAGATATAGTAAAACTTTTGCGCGTTTAAATGAGTTTTTGGCGTTTTTTGCATGTTTTAGCTTGATAAATGACTAATGTGTTTGAACAATAAAAGTGTTTGTTTTGTATGGCACTGTTTACCTATTCTTAGCACTATTGTGGCCCGCAAACAATACAAAAATTATAGTGTGGCCCGCGAGCCCGACCACCTTAGACCACCCTGCTTTAGATTCTTTGTTGGGAAGCTAAATATTGCTTCATAACCGTTTAGTTGGAATGAGACCCTGGTTGTCCGACTCTGACATAGGCCCAAAGACATTCATTCCACTCGAGGTGCCATGACTGGACAATGAACGTGGATAATCAATGTAGTGTAGAGCTTAGAATAGACTATGACTTCGCAAGATAGCCTTATCATACTCCGTAGTCCGTACTATGTGTAAATTCCGATGGGGTCCGTTATGTTCTGTTCGCCAAATTGTGTCGAACCTATCCAACCAAAGAGGTTTTAAAATCCAGGTGGGATTGCGTAGACCCTTCACATGTTATAGGATGGCTATAGTGGTCGCAGTTACAAAAGAAATACCACAAAATCCTGCTTAAAGTCTATGTTTACACAAAGATTGCTTGTACTGTATACTGATTAAACGCAAACTAATTTAAAAATTTTGTTCACTCAAAATTAGACCGATCGACCATATCAAACGTGGCGAGAGACGGGGTTGGGCACCTCTGCGCCAGTAATTTCCCTACATCCCCTATAGGGGGTGAACACCCCCTATTTTTCATCTTTTTATTCCCTTATTACATCAGCAACAAAATGTGAGTTATTTTACAAATTCAAATATTCCAGTCTGATAAGTCAATGAGTGCGGATATCTGCTAATGATGATAACACATAACCAATCTCATAAAAAAGATTCTCTATTTGGTTATAAATACTCGCCAACTAGACGCCCGATTATTAAACGCTGCGCGTAGTAAATGCGACTTGTCCGAGTTGTACTATGGGCTTGCTAATATCTGAATATAGGCGCAAAATGACACTTCATTATGAATAACATTTTTGGGCGGTGATCCTAAAAAGTCCAGCCTAAATCGCACAATGTCTGAGAATACTCGTGTTTCCGACCCAATGGCCCCATTATGGGCCTACTAGATGCGGCGTTTTTCTGATCATTTGAATTGGATTATTCAATAATTGTCAGAAGAAAAACTTTACCGTGAGTTTTACATATTAAATTGATAAAATCGTTGTGAAATTGTGTTTTCCAGATAGGAGGAAGGTTGGGACACTTTTTTTCTTTTGAGTCTTAACTTGCATTCGTTCATTTGACCCTTGCGGGACTAACGCAGAGAGGGGCAAATGTAGTTTTTATTCTCGACTAAGAAATTCCCTGGTGCACAATGGGGCGGTCGATTAAATTGAACGAAACATGCCGTTAAAATCAGCATATCAAGAACTCTGGGCATCAAATTCGGCATTGTTCCCTATAGGCATCAAACTGATTCAGACTAAAAGGATTCAAACATCGAAAACATACATAAATACGAAAACAATAAGAGTCGGAGAGCTGATACTCCAATATGCCCCACCTTCCCTTTGCCAGTTTTGTCTTTGAAACTATCAATTGCTCAGTGTTGGGGGCACATAAGTTAGTGAATGATTAATTTACCGTTGTTTATAAAAACTACTTCAACTCATGCCCTCATACACGAAAGAGCAGGGACTCCAGTATACAGTAAATCGACGCAATTTTTCAAATCCGTTGGGATTCCGTAATTGATTTGGATGGCACTTGACTCACCAACTCGAGAGTTATAAACTTTGGAAAAGTTGTCACTTTACTGAACTTGGGTGCCAATTCGATTTCAGCAATAATTCTAGCTATCGGCGTAATTCTATTTTTTCAGTCTCCAGATTATTGTCATATAAAATATTGAAATTTGTTGTTTTTGTATACTTATCCATTTTTTTAAAATTAAACTATTATTTTCGGGAGACACAAATACCACATGATTTATTGGAATTTACGATCCAATTCTATATTAGCTAAAATTAAAAGCTGGGGAATACACTGCTCTGCGTTGTTTAGTATTTTGTTGCAACTTCAAAAGCTTTGAAATTAGATAAATTTTAATGGGAATTTTTCCAGAGCCCGTTGTCGAGAACTTTGGCCAAATAAATTTCTCATAACCAAATAATTTCGTATACTTCAAGATTCAATTTAATGCAAGGGTGTCCTATCAATGTCAAACTCTGTCAAAAGCTTTGTACATTTTCAAAGCTGACTTGGCTGCACCACGACGATCCACAGGCCAATAATATTATATATATTATATTCAGTTACTACGACTGTCAACAAGTTCCAAAAGACGTATTGTTCATCGATTGGCAGCTCAGGTAATTGGAAATAAGGTGTAGTATTTATTCATTGAGTTGATCGAAAGAGTTGACGATTATCGACGAAAGACTATCAGGACTATAGGATTGGGGCGTACATCACAATTTGCGGAAAACATGGGAGTTAAACTAGCAATCGCGTTATACAAGTATTGAATGAAAAGTACGATAAATAGCCAGATTTGTAATAACAATTGACAAGAAATGGTGCATTTGAGAAAAATTAGTTGTGTTAGCGTCTTTCTAATCAGCACATTCAAAATTAGTGTAGAATTATGAAAGTGGGATTATTCCACGTAGCGTCAAATATACGAGAATAGATGATGCGTTAATACTGTATAAAAATATAGATGGAATAATTACTAAATTCAACTACGACTGGAACCATTTCAACTGGTTTTGGTCCTCCGGGCACCATAGAATGTTAATATAAGGTTGCATTTGATACTATGATTTCAACCGTTGTATTACCACGCCACGTTCGCAAAAAATCTAATTCGAATCTATTCGCCCACATGGTGTGACAAGAAATAGATTAATGGCTTTGTTATAAAGACTTTGGTCAAACCCTATAGATATCATATATATGGGTCATTCCAAGCAAAAGTTGAATTCCATCAATTTTTTAAAAAGTGTAGTGAAAGTAATTTTTTTTATTTCTGATATCAAAAGACATTGGAATGTTATTGGATTGCATTCATTTCATCGAACAATTTAAAATTTCACCCAGGTTTTTCATGGTTTATAAAAAATGGCCTGAAATGTAGAAATTTTGGTATAATTGACATATTTTGTGATGATTCCTGACACAAAGTGTTTGATTGTGTGGTACAGTTATTTCATATGGAATTGACGAACTGGATTTAAGTTAATAAAGTTTAAATGTTTGCAGTGCTGTAGGACATTTCTTCACCCATTTAACGATTTATTACCAGAATTTTAAGAGATGATAGAGGCCGCTATTTCGAAGTGGAAAAATAGTGTCCCGTAGTGTCACGTCCTGTAGTGTCATGCACATTATTGGCATGGATTTACAGTGTTACATTAAGTAACTTGAGCAACACATAGAGGGGTAGTTCAGCTACTGCACCAGAAAATATTATGGGCTCTTACTGTACCATCGCAAAAATTTACAGCACAATACAACGTACTGTTAGTGCATGGTGGATTTGCCGTCCTGTAGTGTCACGCTATATTTTACTATATTTTTTTTATCTACTAAGTAAGTCTTGGGTGTAACTTTTGTGCAATTTTTTACATATTCAATAAAGCAACTGATTGGACAATGAAACAAAACATGTAGCTGAAAATGTGAAAATATATTGCATCCAACAACTTGCAAAATTTCTGGAATTGTCCTGTAGTGTCACTTGGAACAGCCCATATACAAACGAGAAATAAATGATTGATAACAAGCAGCTACTTGGTACAAAAAGTAAACAGCACAGTGCGTAATAGTTACAGTACAGTGCTGCAGTTAGAGTGAAGGTGACAAACAAAAAGAAGATCACAAATCAGACAGGGCCAGCGAAGCATTCGAAGGCAAGCATGTAAATCAGTGGTTCTCAAACGGCGGAGCGCGCTCCACAAGAAGGGCGTAGACAATTTTTTTTTGTGGGGGGGGGGGTGAAGATAATTAAAAAGAAAAATACTTGTTAGATGTGTACACGTATTTTTATTTTGCCTCACCATCTGTTAATTGTGAGTTATTGTTAGCTGGTTAATTTTGGGGTGAGGCTGGAGACATGACAAATTCCAAGAAAGGGGGCGTGACTTAAAAAGTTTGAAAATGTAAATGCTTCTGATTGCTTATATAACTGGTTCTCACACCCCGGCCGTAAAAATATATAGTACGATGTTTAGAACTGAGTAGTCGTTTTGTCAGTCTTTAAATTTTATAATCATAATATATTTGAGAGATGAACCAGCTGTTTTATTTCAACGCGGACCTAGAGCAAGACTATGAATCGTGGATCAGATATATTTTCCCAAAGCCTATATATATATATATATATCCTGGGGCTGAATATATCCCGAATAAGCTGTGTAGGCTGACAGAATATCTGAAATAATTGATGAGGATCAAATTTTACAGCAACGACAAGGTTGTTCAGCACTGGACTAATAGAGTTCTTTGGGACGCGTTGACAAGCGACCTGCGTGGTGAATTGCCAACAGTTTAGTACCGCTATACTCTTTTTATCTAAAATCGAAAGTGCCACTTATCAGGCGGCGCGCACAATGTATAAATATAAACAGAAACCCAATCTAAGCAATTTATTGACAGTGCGCCTGATGGTAAATACGGTAATGATAACCAGTAACAAATTAAACAAAAGGTCGGAAATTTTTGCTGAGTCGAAGTTTTCTCATAAACCGTACATGCTCTTTACTTAGCAAATACATTTTTACATGTTGTTGGCGAAATGATGTTTCACATTTTTATTTTGTTACTCGCTGAAATCCATTCTACACGAGGACACGGAAGTCATAACATTCCTGTTTGCAGACAAGTTGAAGAACTTTACAGGAGCCTTTGCTCTGAGTCTCAAGAGGTGAGGCTCAGGTTTTTCAAAGACACCGCTCTGTTTCCGCCTAAAAGTAACTAATATATTCTGAAAATAAGCACAAATTTTTTTTGTTTGACATATATATCTTCAGCGCCTTCCAGAGCGTGATTTAATAAAGAAATCAATACTATGCGCAGTATTTTATTCTGGCTTCAGATTTATTTTAATTTACATTTTCTTGTGCGGCGATGTAGATAATTTTTAAATTGCGGTGCTGTTTTAAATTTAATCTAAGTTTTAAAGTTTTTTGTTTAAAATTTAGTTTAAGTACATTTTTATTTTCGACATTCAAAATATTGAACTGGTATTGGTTGTTTTAGGTTTTTAATGAAATGGATATATATAATTGTACTATGAAGATTTTTTGTTTTCATAAAATACGTTACGTTTTATATTGTAAACTATATATTTTGAAACAATGAAGAAATAGATCATCATTCCAAGATATAGAGTTAACGTGTTAAGCTCACTTCTACTACTGGTACATTTATAGATACTCGCGTAGTATGTGTACCAGGGTTAGGGTTGGGCCATAATCTTATTGTGACTCTCTTTATTTTAGTTCTAATACGATTTCGGGGACTGTTTGTGTGAACCCCCATTTAATTACAATGTTTCTTTATGTAACCTTCCATTTGCGTTTTCCTATAGTCCGACGTATCAGAACAATCAGTAAGTATACAAGGTTCTCCTGGTAAAAGAGGTCCACCAGGATTAAAAGGGGATGTTGGAACACAAGGACCAGTTGGCCCACCAGGAAATGTTGACTACGAAAATATTTCGACAGAAATCGATACCAAGTTCAGAGAATGTAAGTTGGTTTTTGCGATTTTGCGTTACAAGAGGCCGTGGTTCACCGTATGACTATTTTCCTTGTCGGCTCTAGCCCGTTCAACGATAAATATTCATGAAAACTCCACCTATTCGACGTGTATTAGCAAATTGTTTTACGTCGTTGCGCCTAACAAACCCCTATATCAAAATCTGCCAATAGGTATCTCTCTACATTGGGAGAGGCGGGGTCGTTTTGCTTCGGCATGTAGCCAACAGATTTGACACCATGAATATGTAGCATAAATGGATTCTGAACCCAATATGCCGTATCACCTTCGGCTTCCCTATCCCCTGCACCTTTCCTATCCTCAACCAACTGTCACATTTCCTTCAGACTTCCTATACTGGAGCCACTGTCCTATCTCGCTCAGTACGGGAGATCAAATGCTCTATAAAACAAAAGTATTACGTACAATTTGTATGGTTTAAAATATTTAAATGCCAAGATGTTTAATTGTATGTTTCAGCTTTCATAGGGAAATTTAAAAAGATATTGCGACATTGCCAATTCCCAGGCAAAAGAAATGCTTGGATGGCTCATGACATTCAAAAGTATTATAATTATGCAAAAAGTTTATCTACATACAATTACATCTCACCAATATAACAACTTTTATATTCAGTCCGAAATGTGAATGAACAAATTATTCAAAACTTGACGAATAACATCCAGCAATTAACTATGAAAATCAACCTTATGGAAACTGAGCTCGGAAATCTTTTAGAACTGAGTATACAGAAGTTTTTTATAATTTTTTCAAGTTATGAGCACTCAATCAGAAATGCAAGAGAGATTGATCACTAATCGAATTTTTTCTAATTAAAATAACTGCAAAACATAGATTTTTATCAATAATTTAAAACGAGTAGGAGAAATTACTTGCTATCAACTAGGTCCAAAAATATCACGTTTTTGACTAGGTCTCATTTTCAGGGTAAGTCTTATTTTTGGGGCTAGGTCTTATTTCCGGGAAACACGGTAATAATGTATACTATACAAATAAATATTGACGTAAGTTACGCTTTAGATAAGATTGAAGCGAGAGTTGAGGTAGTTCAGGTCAGTATGACCAGAAAAACAGTTTACAGTGAATTCCAGAAGATTGGAGATCTTAGAAAAATAATTCAGTCAGGAAATTTATCAAGAACGAGGTTGACTTTGCGATCAGAAACAAACTATTTGAGGAGAGCACAAATCTGACAAGATATAGCCTACCATGTGATCCAAGGCAATAGGCAATGCACGATACATTCTTTCAGTTAACAAATCGGCATTGGAACCTTTCAAAGATCAAATGATTCTAGGTGGCATGTAATGACTGTGTTGATAAGCGATTCAAACACTTCACTTAAGGTCGACAAAAGACTAATAGGACGTTATCTAACGGGATTCGTTCGATCGCCACGGGTCTTCGGGTGTTAACGATCATAGCACTGCGGGGCAAAGGGATCTCACACTAATTTGTTAAATATTTTCGATAAAACCGCATATAGTTAGAAAATATATTTCTAGAACGAACGGAGTGGAGTCGGAGCTTGGCAAGTAAACAGGTGCTAGACTGCAGTTGTGAAGGAACGTAACGATCAATTATTTCGTAAGATGAATGTATAATATCGGGACTGCTAACGAGACCGAGCCGAAAAAAATCCCGAAGAGTAGTCGAGAATATGGTTCCAGCCAGCACCCTTGCTGAGGAATGAACTATTCAATACTTGTACACAAATTAACTTGCCCAAAATCGACCCCGTTGTAGAATTGCAATTTAGCTGATTGTTTTTCTAATATTTTCTGTTTCAGTATTTTTCTGACATGCAAACATGGCATATACGCCCCAAAGATAATCGTATGAACAGAGCTCAATGCGTCAGTGGCCACCTGCAACTATTCTATCAGTCGCCTAATTCTAATTCAAGAAGGGCTACTACATTCCTAATGACACAAAAACCTAAATATTAAACGATTTTAAAGGATGAAGATGCGATATTAGATACGGCCACAGATGCTTCTGGTTGGAAAAACGACATCCCCAATTCAACTACGAAAAAGCTGTACAGATTTGTACCGGAAGAAATGGGTATCCTGCTAATATATATTCGAAAGATCACAATGATATTATAGGATGCTTGTTATCTTAAAGCAATCCTAAACAGCGCTTAGTGAAAAGCATAAACTCTCGGTTAATTAGAGTTTAAACCAGACTTCCAATTTCCCTCTGATTCAGTTAGGGCAGAGCTTAACCCAGCAGACAACGAATATAATACAAAGTCACCAACCTTATAATTCTTGTATTGACAACACAGAGCAGAATATAGATCAAGAGCAAAACCAGTGAGTTAATTTAAAGAATTATTGTCCGTTTATATACAATAGTCGAGACGCCTGTTATGCCTTTAGGGTTTAGCTTTTACGTGGATATCGTTTATAATAAATAAAGTAAGAATGCCGTAATTAAGTCTCGGCAAATCTTGTAAAACGATTTAGAACGATGTCTGTAGCCAATTAAATAGTTAGCTATAAGTGGCAGAGTGATTAAAAACTGGCTTGTACTAGTTTGTCTTGCTCAAGGGCAAGATAACGTGTTTTTAACTAACGGGTTATTCCTATGAAAGCCAATTAAGTATTTAACATAAATTTCATTTTTTCTACCTTTTTCAAATTCAGAAGATATCTTGTCCTAACTGGAATTACTTTTTTTCTTACTGTTAAAAATATGGTCTAATTAACTAATAATAATCCCTACATAATAATTCGGCCCTAAAGAACGGAGTTCGGGGTTTCGGCATAACAAACGTGTCAAAAATTGTACAGATTTCTAAAAAAATAACAAAGAGAAAAACATAAAATTGTAAGTGAAATTGAAAATATATCGTAAAATTGAAAATATAACGTCATAAATTGAGTGATTTAAAGTTATCCCTGATGATGAAATATTAATTTAAATTTAAATAACGAAAAACATAATAAAATGATATCAATAAACCAATATATACTTTTTTTTTTTTTTTTTTTCTTCATATTTTTTTTTTTATTTTTTTTTATTTTTTTTTATTCTGAAATATTTATTCAAGTATATATTCACCAAACAAAATATGTGATACAATACAATGTAAATAAGAAAAACATGTCACCAAGAGAGGTGAGAATTTCAAGAAGGAAGATTGGGGTATAGATTGGGTAGGTTATTGGAAGTATGGGGGGCATGTATAGGTACAGCAGTCTCAGTGTCTTCTCTATTTGTTCCATTTACGTTTGGCAAAGGTTCTACAGGATTAAGTTCCTGAGCGGGGTTTCTAAAATTCATCCAAAATTGTCTAGCTCTGTTATATACAGGCGTTGACGAGGTTTTGAGCATTGGTATCATACGCTTTATGACGAGTATGGTCAACACAATACCCCAAAACATTCCTAAATGCCATGCTAGCATGTAGAAAGCCGACAAAATTGGATGACTGATAAATGATAAAGCGTTTACAAAGTTGTCTTCAACTTGTTTTTAGTTGTAGTAAATTGGTTGTTTGTATTTGTTTCGGAGGACGACTTGTGATCCAATAATATCTTTTCTTTGATCAAGTTCAGGTGATTGATCGAAATTAGAATATTATTGAGATCTTCGAAGCCTGAGTGTCCTCCGTGGGGCATATCTTGGAATATCTTTTGATATTCCATTGGTTTAAAGGTTTCGTTGATTTTGGTTAAAGAAGGCCTTAGAGATTGTATGTGGGCATTTGTATGAGTTAGCGTGTAATTGATATACGTATAGTATCGCCCATTGATTGCAAAAGTAAACGTTCGTCCGGAGACGAAGTTTTCAAAAAAATGTATACCTGCGTAGACATTCGTATCTGTAAATATCTGCGCAACTATGGTAACATTATTTTTGTTGAGAAACGTTACAAGTGGCCTTGTTGCATAAGTATTATTATAGTATAGTGATCGTAATATAGTAACGTTTATTTGCTCACAGTGTATTTCTGTGAGGATATCCCCTACCGTTATAGCAGCATGTTTGCCTCCTAACACTTCATTTAAAATTTGACCTGGATATTGTTTACTTAGAGTTTTGTATATTCGGGTTAGAATACTTTCCAGTTGACACTCGAGGTAATTGATGTCTGATGATATATTAACAATCACCTCGGTTATCCTGTCAGTATTTTCCTGAATAAAGCCAGTCAGAGTGCTAGAAACAGAATCTACCACTACGGAATTATACCTTAGTTTTGGGTATTTAGAATTGATGAAACCAGCAGCTTTCAATGAAGAACATTTGTGAGTTTCAAATAAAAGTGCATTATTTGTACAAATGTTTTTGTATTAAAAACATCTTTGAACATAAGCACCACATGAACCCCATTGGTGGATGCTGGCTCCCAATTCGGAAAGTCTAATCGGTAAATGTCACCGACGCATTATAATGCAATGCCATTTTCGAATTGAAATTTTTAAAAGGGGGACAATCTATTAATGGGTAATTTTTCCAAATAATTGTTTGAGTACCTACAGTACAAGATCCGGAAGTAATACTGCAAGTGGATAATCCTGAAAATGGGCCTAAAAGAATACCTTTATATGGTCATAATAAATTGTTGTAAGAGCCAAATGTGCATTAAAAATTTTCCCAGTTGTGGTTGTTGGCCAATTATATTCGTATTTTACTTCATTATCAGTAGACCAAGTATTTTCTGAGGTTACTTTCAATCACCAATATTTTCAGCTTTGAGAGAATGAACCCCAATCTTGACAATATAAAAGAAGTTGGAGGATCGGCCATATAAGATTTAGATTTGTCATAAATCGAACCAAAAAAGAATCTAGTTGCCTGCCATTCTGTGACAGATTTTGGCAGACATACACTGTAATATTAGTGTATGCTGAAGATAATTTATGTACCGTGGCATCGCAATAATCTACGCGCGGTGATAGTATTTCGTTACAATTTGGTGGTTCCGGTATGGCATACTCTGCTACGGGTACTTTTGGATCACAAAAATTCACTGACACTGTTGGGCTAGGGGAGTTAAAAGGAAAAGCATAAGAATATATACATACATTTACGAGAAAACTAATAATAAGCGTAATCATGCTGGCGGTTGTGGCGTGTCGTTCTGCCGGAACGCGTTGTTGTTGGCGGTTCAGGCCTGTTTAAAAACAATAACGCTGTTTCAGTATTCGGCTCAGTTGGTATTTCTAGTTCTGTTTCGATATGCGCCGGTTTTATTCTATCTATACTAACAGTTTGAGGATTACCATTAATATCTATTTTATAGTACTTTGCATGTTTTTCTAACACTTGGAATGGACCAATATAAGGCGGTATCAAAGGTTTTTTAACTGCATCAACACGTAAAAATACATGTGTGCAATCTTTTAATTCTTTAAATATGAAGGTTTTTCTATTTTCTGGTATTCTTGGGTTTGTTGGTTTTAAGTCTTGGACGAATTGTCTAAGACGCGCTATAAATTCATTAGGTGATTCTAAGTCCAGGTTTATATTGTTTGAAAAAAAATCCCCAGGTAAACGTAAGGATGATCCGTATACTAATTCCGCCGAGGATAAACTTAAATCTAATTTTATTGCAGTACGTATCCCTAACAAAACTAAACTTAAATTTTGATACCACTCATGGTTGTTTGAACATTGTGCCATAAGTGAAGCTTTAATTTGTCTAATGGGTCGCTCAGCAGTTGCATTACTACAAGGGTGATAACTTGTAGTACATATATGCTGACTTCCTAAAAATTTTATCATTTTGTCCCACAAAGAACTTCTAAATTGAGCACCCCGGTCAGTAGTTATTACCGTTGGAGATCCAAATCTACTTACCCATGATAAAAGAAAAGTTTTAACGACAGTTTCGGCAGTTATATCTCGCATTGGCGTTACTTCGGCCCAACGGTAAATTTATCAACCGTAATTAATAAATAAGAATAACCGTTCGAAAACTGGCAAAGGTCCAATTATATCAGTATTTACTTCTGAAATCTTTTATTAGGAGCTAAAATAGGTTGTAAGGGTGAAATAGTATGTCTAGTTATTTTAGATTTCTGGCATGGGATACAAGCTCGACACATTTTCCTAATATCTGAATTCATATTTGGCCATGCATACCTAGCTTGAATTAAATGTTGAGTAGCTCTAAGTCCAGGGTGGCTAAGATTATGCAAAGTGTCAAAATTTGTTGCCTAAATTTCCTAGTCAACTGGTCTCTTATTGGGTAATTAGAATCACAAATTAAAGTTAAGCCTGGAACTGAGGTATCAACAAAGTCTAATTGTAAACTCATGGATTTATTAACAATGCTTGTATTTCTGGGTCCGTGTTTTGCTCTTGAGCGATAGAAGTAAGAGAAAGAGAAGGAGAAAGATCGGAAATCGCTGCAATTGTTGATCTGGATAGAGCATCAGCTACGATATTTGCAGAACCAGGTATATATCTGATATCAGAAAGTGAATTGACTGATGAAATCTAGATGTCTGCTTTGCCGAGGTGAGTTCTCTCCATGTTTTTGTGCAGAGCAAAAGAAAGAGGTATTGTGATCGGAAAGAATAAAGAATTCCCGACCTTGAACATAGTAGCGAAAGTGACCGAATACTCAGAAAACTGCTAGAAGTTCTCGATCAAATGTAGAATATTTTTGCTGGGCAGTATTGACGAGCTTTGCTGAAAACTGAGAGAGGTTCCCAGTGCTCTCGCTATCTTTGTTGTAAGATAGCGCCAACACCAGTTAGAACTTGGCGTCGACGGCTATGGAAAGTTCTGCATCCGGTTTCGGGTGATTAAGCATAATAAAATCACTCAGAGCATTTTTGGACCTTTTCAAAAGCTAATTTAGTGTCGGCTGTCCATATTACACGGCTGATTTTTAGAAACATAATTGGCTGCTAGTTTATGTAAAGGAGCTAAAATACAAGCACAATTGGGTAAAAACCGTTGATAATACGTGAAGGCGCCTAAATAACGATCGTAACTGCCGTTTTGTCTGAGGTAAGGGAAATTCTCTTAACGCTTTAACTTTAGATCCATTGGTTTAATACCCTCTTATCAACTAAAAAACCCAAAAAGATTAGCTTATCACTCCAAAATGAACTCTTTTCTCTGTTAATTACTAGGCCATATTCATTTAAAGTTTCAAATAATTTATGCAATGTTGCTTATGCTCGTCTACAGTTTTACTATATACAAGAATGTCATCAACATATGCAAATACATTAGTTAATTGCCTAGTAACATCATCTATTAACCGCTGGAAGCTAGCCTGACTGTTGCTAAGGCCGAAGGGCATGACGTTCCATTTAACCTTGTTAAACCCCGTAGTAATCGCAGATTTTTCACGACTATCCGGGTGTAACGGAATTTGAAAATAAGCCGATTTTAAGTCAATTTTTGAAAAAACATTACACCCCCTAACTTCATTGGTAAAAGATTGAATATGGGGTATAGGATAAGTATCCTTCTTTGTCTGTAGGTTGAGTAATCTAAAATCCCCGCATAGCCTATAATGGTCTGGGTTATTTATATCCCCATTTTTCTTAAGGACTACTGTGATGGGTGATGACCACTCTCCACTAGAGGGCGATACAACTCCCTGGTTTAACATTTTATTAATTTGGGGCTTTAACGGCGGCTGCTTTTAATGGCGCTAGACGTCGCGGTTTCGCAATGAACTGGAAATCCGGTTGTTACTATTCTGTGACTAACATTATGTTTACGCTTCGGTGACTTATAGTCTTCTATCAATATCTGTGGGAATTTATTTAATAAGGCTTCATATTCATCATCATTATTATTCTTAGGTGATGAGTACGCGGAAACAGAATTTAAATTACCAGTAGTTGTTCTTATAATGTTTTGAGAAAGTGGGTCTATTACAACCTTATTTTTAAAATCAATTAGAAGTCCATAATGGGTTAAAAATCATTTCCCTATAATTGGTATGGGCACATCAGCTATCGTAAATGACCACGGTAAAAGTACATCGTGGTTAAAAGTTAAATTTAAACGTAATTTACCAAAGGTAGATATTGAAGTACCATTAATTGCTTGTAAAGTTCCATGACATTTCCTATGAACGGCATATTTACTTGATGGCAAAATACTAATTTCAGCTCCCGAATCTATTAAAAACTTATTATTGGAATCGGGATCGTATAAAAATAATTGACGCTTATTAGAGTGAGATGTGCCACGCTTAGTTAGCGTCGAAAACTGAGTGGCCAGTCCTTTTCCCTGAAACGTACAACCAGGCTCGACATTTAAAAGCATTTCGACCAAAAGTCGAATGATAGAAACACCATCCGCTAGGAGATGAAGTGTTTGGGTTGGAATAACGGTAATTGAAATTACCGTTCCTAGGTGAATTTTGAAATCTATTTGGAGCTGAGAATCTATGGTTATTAAAGGGCTGTCTAAAGTTCGATTGAAAACGTCCCCTGGGCTGCCAATTAGTATTATATCTCGGATACCTCGGATAAAACTTAGTTCTAATATCAGTATTATTTGAAGTTAAAGTTTGATTTTGCAACTGATTAGTTAAGGCATTAACACTATCAGTTAACGTATTAATTTTAGCTTCCATCAACTTATTTTGGGTCTGACTTTTAATATAACTTGAATCAGGTGAATTATTAGAATTTCTATAAATCTTATCGGCCTTCTCTGCTAACTCTTCTAAACTATCATCGTCCGACGCAACTAGAATTGACTGCATTGTCTTAGGCAATTTCTTCCAAAAATAATTTTTTCAGTAAAGCACGAGCAAAAGGGTCCCCTCTATGATCTGGATTTATAAGTAATTTTAATTTTTTTAGCAAATCTGACCGGCAATTGGCTCACCTAAATCCCCTGAGTTGAGGAAATGACGAAATCATTTGGTCTTCCGTCGGTGCATAATTTTTTACTAGGGCTTCTCTAAGTTCCGTATACGGATTTGTAGCGCTTATGTCTAGCAAATCCGCCCCCTATTTTTTCAATTATTGAACTATCAAGAACAGCTAATACTTCATCAAACATTCTTGTTTCTGATGTAATATCAGCTCTAGAAAAAGCAGATTCAACACATCGAATCCATAAAAGGGGAGAGTGAACCCAAAATTGCGGGATTTTAATATTATCACGATCATTATATCTAAAATGTGATAACGGTTTCCTATTTGACGACGACGAAGGTATAGGTTCGAATAGATCATAATTTTGACTAGACGACGGTTTAGGCGACTGCTTAGTTGACTGCATATTATTATTATCGGGCAACTGAGATTTAATAATTAAGGGTGGTTTTAATACGTCTTCTGGCTTAGGTAATTTACTACTCTTATCGGTTGGAGCTAAATTAGATTTGGCCTTTTTAAATAAATCAAATGGGAAGACACTAGCTCTCATGGGAATACGGATTATAACAAAAGAAATAGGAAAGAAAATTGCAGTACATACCAAAATTAATATGCAGTAAATTGAATGAAATACAGAATGTCCGTAGAAATATCCTTAGGCGATTTCGTCTTCTTCGCGTCAATAGTCGCTGATCCGGATCCTCGTGTCGATGTCGTAGAGTTGTTTTTTCGTCGATAATCGTAAAATGTCGTTAACTGTTGAAAGATAGGAGATCTATTAGATTAGCATGGACCCGTATATGCGACTTATAGGATATAATATTAACGTGAACTTATCTTGTGTTCCTCTATTTTTTTTTTTGAGATTCCGTGCATTGATCTGTCGTCGTTGCTGGTTGTGTTCCTCCGTTGATCTGTTCCTCTCAAGAAGGTTGCATTCAGTTGTTCAGGGCACCAAATTTATAGGATGCTTGTTATCTTAAAGCAATCCTAAACAGCGCTTAGTGAAAAGCATAAACTCTCGGTTAATTAGAGTTTAAACCAGACTTCCAATTTCCCTCTGATTCAGTTAGGGCAGAGCTTAACCCAGCAGACAACGAATATAATACAAAGTCACCAACCTTATAATTCTTGTATTGACAACACAGAGCAGAATATAGATCAAGAGCAAAACCAGTGAGTTAATTTAAAGAATTATTGTCCGTTTATATACAATAGTCGAGACGCCTGTTATGCCTTTAGGGTTTAGCTTTTACGTGGATATCGTTTATAATAAATAAAGTAAGAATGCCGTAATTAAGTCTCGGCAAATCTTGTAAAACGATTTAGAACGATGTCTGTAGCCAATTAAATAGTTAGCTATAAGTGGCAGAGTGATTAAAAACTGGCTTGTACTAGTTTGTCTTGCTCAAGGGCAAGATAACGTGTTTTTAACTAACGGGTTATTCCTATGAAAGCCAATTAAGTATTTAACATAAATTTCATTTTTTCTACCTTTTTCAAATTCAGAAGATATCTTGTCCTAACTGGAATTACTTTTTTTCTTACTGTTAAAAATATGGTCTAATTAACTAATAATAATCCCTACAATATGATCATGGCATATCTCCGATCTAATATTGCATATAACTTGGATTATCTTTCTGTCTGGATTGGCATGTACCAGTCGGTAAGTCTTTTTTCAACTGGCTACAAATGTAACACTATTTTGTGAAATTTGTTTAGACTATTTATAGCCTACTTACGGTATATAGGAAATATTTTAGATATTTTTATCCTTCAACTTAAACAAGTGAGCTATGCTTTAAAAAAATTTCATGCGATTGGTGATCTATATTGTTACAATGTTGTATATTGGAACGGTCATGCAAACATCTGTCTTACTATGTTAACATTCCGTACAGGGAGGACAAGTTTACTTCGTTGATGGCAATCGAGCACCATACGTTCAATGGTACGGTGGGAAAGATTCGCGTTATCGTGCCATGTGCATTTTTCAAGGAAGTTCAACTAGAGAGGATAAACGTGCTGGTACGCACACTTGGCTGGCTTCTTGGACAAGACATGGCGTCATATGCGAAACCTAACCGGTTCGGAAACGACATAATTTGCCGATGAGTTTGAATTGCTTAAATTTACAATTACACATACTAACTAGTTTATGGACCTGATAAAGTATGAGAAAGGTCTTAATATCAAATTGTTTTATTTAATCGAAACAAATATATCACTAATGCTGAGCTTTATCGAGGACTGAAACGTTATTAGATATCAGAAGTGAAACCGACTACTCAGAGGTAGGCTTGCACGTAATTTACGGATTTACGGAATTACGTAATTATTTGGAGTTACGGAAGGGAAGTTACGAATTACGTAAAGTCGTAATTATTGCATTGAAACGAGCTTTCTTCAAAGCAGTCAATTTCGTCGATTGCGAAAAATGAAAGCTCAACAAGTAGAAGAGAGTTCCGGTATTCGCAGCCGTTTTTCTCTCTCTTGTTACGTAGGTGAAGGAAGGCATGACGCGTTGCCATTTACTAACCTATTATCAACTTCTCTGGCATGGCCAATGTAAATTATTAACGTAGTTAAGGAGGAAGAACTGAGTAGGGCCGTTTGACGCCAACACACCTGGTTTTAACTTCTCCCGTAACCTAACCGTAGATAAGGGATAGAATTGCGTTGAGACCGATTGACGCCAACACATCTGGTTTCAACTTCTCTCGCTTCTTATCTAGCATGGCCATGGCCAATGTACATAATAACCGTAGATAGGGGGAAGAATTGTGTTAAGACCGGTGGACGCTAACACGCCCGGTTTCAACTTCTTCGGGTGAAATGACTAATGAACGCAGGAGATCAATCTTTCAAACACGGTCTATCAAACATTTGTATCCATTTTACTTTTATTTATTATTTACTTGTTCCAGTTTTCCGTTACTTATGGTATATAATATATATGTTCCGTTTCTATTTTATTCTATTTTATAGTCACGCGTTTAAATAGTGGGAATTCCCCACCAAGCGTGGATTATCAATGCTTAACCATTCTTTATTGTTAATATCATCACTTGATATATGAACATGGAATATCATACTGTTTTTGGCTGTTTTATTTCAGACTTGGGGTATAGACAGGAAAATATCCATAACCTTTCAACACGACGATCTTGTGAAATTTAACGAAGAGCTTTCGCGACGAATTGGAACCAAATAAGCGAAAAGAGCGATTGATCACTCGCGCCAATACCTCGCCGTGATAATTAATGTCGCGCTTATCAAATAGCAATATGACGACAAAAGAGAGATTGCGTAATGAACCAACGCAACTTCGTCTTCTCGGCAGCGGTAAAGCGATTGAGACGGCAGAGAAACAGCAAAACGATGGATTCCTCGCGGACCGCTATTTAACTGCTATCATATATAATCAAATATGAGCCAGTGTGTTTATTCTGTGCGAGATCCATTTTCTATTACAAAATCTTGATGTTCTGTTAACGGTTTTATCGTTATATATCAGTCCGAACTTGCTCATGATGTTTTTCACAATTCCTCTCAATATTTCGGCCATATATGATTAACTGTCTTACCAAATGCGGCAACTTATTTTGATTTATCGTCGACTTGAATACCACCGGCACTCGACCAAACTTGTGTCAATCTTGGCCGATAGGATCGCCGACTTGAGTTAGCAAATAAATGTCGTGAGTGTAAAATAAATGTCACAAAATGCATTGTTTTGCGATATAACTTTGTGTTTTTGGAGAAGGCATATCATATAAGTTCCATATTTAAATTATACTCAAATAAATGATATTTGATCTAAATTTATCGCAAATAATGTTATAAACATTCAGTCCGCGAAATGATTAAATGTAAAATGAAGCATGGTAATCGGAATATCGTCAATAAGTCGACATCAATAATTATTATTATAAAATGCTAACAAGGCAGTATTGTCGGATAATGCAGAAGACGCTGCAAAAACAAGTCTTCGTCGCGAGGAAATCGCAAGTATAATCAAACGAGAGAATACGCTCGTCGTTAGTTAATAAATTAGAAACCCGTAATTTTTATTCAGTACTAAGGTAGTTTTAAAAACTCGTTTTCATAAATATCCGTATACCAGTGTCGGTAATGATAAAATAAAATTGATCGCATAAAAATGGGACGGGTAATTTGCGAAGGTGATAAAGGAAAACCAAAGCTAACACAAAAGATAAAAATCAGAATAAAAATAATTTGAATTCACTCCTTGATATTTGTCTTTAACATCTGCCGACGGCGTGTAGTACTGCCAAGAATATGAAAACCCAACTTCAATGTCCCATTCGGAAAGGAAGTGGATTTTATTGGTTGTTACTTGTTATGATAGGTTTAAATGCGTGGAAAAATATCGCAATTACGGGGTCATTACGTAATTGATTTTGCCGTAATTACGGAATTGATTTTTGTCAATTACGTGCAAGCCTACTCAGAGGTATGATGTTACATTTTTCGTTTACCGCCTCTGTACAGCTACTAAATATCATCTGTCAGAAATACTGGCAGTTTCGTGCTTATTTTGAGATCTCCTTTTTCTTCGGGCAGTCGGATTCAACAACGGTGGTAAATTTTTGCCGAGTATATTTGCAATGATACAATACAATGCCTATCTCCGCAGGTTTAGTTACATTTGTATTACATTGTTTTAAGTATAAAAAGCACGTTAACTTCAGATACTAACCAAATTATGGGGCAGTGGTGCTTGTCCAACCCGAAAAAATAGTGAAAAAGTCTTAATTATAGGTTTTGAAAAGTCCGACAATAATGGTACGCAGCAAGTAAACCTTTGTGGAAAGTAGGAGTCTCCACGTTGGCATGTATTTGCAATACAAAGTGTTCCAGCTTCTACGACCTGTGGTTAATGAATGACTGAAACTTGAAAGTGCTGATTGTAATAGTTTTTGAATGCTGAATTATTAATATTTATTTCATAGCCACGGTCAATAGAAAGAACAGTGCACTGAGAGATACCGCCCAATATATTAGCCGTATGTAGCATATCATATTTAAAAGAGTATGTTCTATTTTGCTTTGCATTTTTAGTACTTTCGAAAATCACCGATACGTCCGCGTAAAATATATTTTGAAATATGATAGAATTTGTAAAAACACAGCGAAACATCCAATCTTGCGCAGAACGCTAACCTTCCGTCATTGGTTTATCATTTGATTCCATCGAAAAGCGAACTCGTGTGTAGCAGCTTGTTTTGCAACTAGGAAAATGAAAAACAAATGAGTGATATATGGGTATAGCAATATAAAAAAATCCGTGATAGCAATTATATTTAGTGCAATTAGTTTTAAAATAATAGAATTAACGTAGAACCAATAATTGAGTTAAGATCACTCTGTGCATATATATATTCATTTGTTCGTTACATATCTCAGATGGCCGATAATTCTTTGCAAAAACTTTCCTACAGCACGTCACACGCTCCGGAGGAGAAATGAAACGAGTTCAACCAAGGCCGAGATCATAAGTGGCCGTCGAAATTCAAATTCGAAGCAATCAAATATAGTTTTAGGAACTCTAGTCGCGTGAGCCTGAAAAAACATTCCACTGCTCGAACAGTTTCACAGGAAACATAGCGTCAAGTCGCTTATTGAAATCAGAAGTCTATGGCGTTTGAATATTCAGGCAAAAATCTAAAATGAAACACCGGACGAAAAAATCGGAGGTTGATAATTGCGTATGTCTAATGAGAATCCTGTGCAAAACCAGTGTTTCTCAACCTATGGGTCGTGATCCAAAACTGGGTCACTAATCTGACACACACTGACCCTATTTCGTCACCCCTAACTTGACTCGACGACCCTATTTTGTCACCCCCAATTTGACACGTAACGACCGCATTTCGTCAGCCCTATTTTGACACCCCCAATATGACTTCTATGCTACCAACTAGAGATGTACCGATACCACTTTTGTCGCCGATACCAGCTAAAAACGCCGATACCGAAACCGATACTACAAAAAGGCCGATATCACCGATACCGATACTATGTAATTATTACTTAATTAGGTGTGCTGTGTAGGGCAGACGGTTTAAAACAATGGTCTTTGAGCGTTGTTCATAGTACACATTTTTTCAGATCGAAAAAAAAGATATATCACATAATGTGAAATTAATGTTTGGTGTTTGCTCTAACTGATTAAGATACATTGTACAGTAACGCTAGTAATCTCGGTGTTCAATTAGAAAACTCATAAGCCGGGATGTCCAATTTGAATTTAATGTTAATAACGCGACCTTCGAATATCGTTATTCGTGTTTAAAAGAATATCGAATATCACCCACACATTCTAGCGCCGCCGTCCTACGTTCAAATTAAAAGCATTTTACAAATATTTTATTTCGTGGCTAATCGTAATCGTCGACGCAATAAGTCAAAGCCAACATGAAAGAATATCAATCAGCACCGACAAAAAGAAGGTCTACCTATAACCGTCGAGAATGTTTTTTTACTTTACTATTTCATATATTTTGAGACAGTCAATATATCTATAAAGAAATTGTGTAGTTAAACAAAATTAATACC